TCCCCGTGTGGCGGCGCCGCGGCGCCCGCGGGGCTCCCACTGGCCTGCGCCCGGCTCCACCCCCTTCCCAGGGCGTCACCGGCTCTCTGCAGCGAGGGGGAGCCCCACGCCGCCTCCAGCCGTGCTGGAGCCCCTGGGCAGTCCAGGAGACGCGCGTGGACAGGCCATGCTGCGTCCACAGGGGGGCAGCGAGGGGCCAGGCAGTATGGGGCACCAGGAGCGGGGTGCAAGGCCTCCCGGCACCAAACTGAGGCCCTGGCCAGGTCACTGCCCTCAGCCCCTGGGACAGCGCCCTCCCCTACCCTGAGGGCAGCCGGGGTCCCCATGAGAGACCCCTTCCTGGGCTCGCAACAAAGCCCCTTTTCAGTTTGGGACCCTGCAGAGCCCCCTGGGGCCCCGTAAGACGTGGCCACCGAGCAAGTGGCTGTCTGAGGTGGGCTGGCCAGATCCAGAGTCGGGCCTGTGGGGCGCCTAGACGGTCCAGGAGAGGCCATGGCGGGTGCGCGCAGGCCAGGGCGGGTGGCAGGGCTGACTGGCTGGGCCAGCAGTGAGGGCGGCCAGAGGGCTCCAGGTCACCGAGGAGCCAGCAGCCCTGGACGTGCGGCTCAGGCCAGAGGGAGGCCCTCTCCAAGCTGGGAACCGTGGTCACCCGCCGCGGGCGGGCCTGAGCCGGTGCTGGGCACCCCTACCCTGGCCGCAGCCTCCAGGGAGGCCTCGATGGGGAAGGCCGCTCCGGAAAACAGCCCTCAGCTGCCTGGCGTCGGGGTCTGGGCTGTGGCTCAGCCAGCTGTGGCCCCGAATGAAGTGGTGCACGGGCGCCCCGAGCTCGCACGGACTCACATGGACTCATGCGGACACACGGGCACCGCCGGGCTCGCATGGACTTGCACGGACACACTTGGGCTCACACGGACATACACGGTCTCACATGGACTCACATGGACACACGCGGACTCACAGATTCACATGGACACACATGGACTCACGTGGACTCACACGGGCACCCCCGGGCTCGCACGGGCACACAGACTCACACGGACACACGTGGACTCACAGGGCACCGCCGGCACACACAGGCTCATGCAGAGGTGCGAACATTCAGGGACACGTGACTACACGGACACGCACAGTCACGGACACGCCTTTGTGCCAGGTTTGACGGCGAGGTCCGCGCCCTTTCTGGCCGGCGGCCAGGTGTCGCCATGCTTCTGGTCAGGGACATCCCTCGCCTGGGAGGTCAGCTGCCGGGGCTGCGGGCAGGGGCTGGGCTCTGGGGGGAGGCTTGCCCGCAGAGGTGCCTGCCGGCCCCTCTGCCCCCCGTCCTGCCTGGCGCGCTCCACTGGCCGGCCACTCCCAGGCCTGTTGACAGCCTGCTCTCCGGCTGGCCACAGGCTCACTGTCCCCTGAATGTGGATGACACCCCTGATGGCAGCCAGTGGTGGAGGTGGCCATCTCCCACTCCGCGGGCAGGCAGGGCACCAGGCTTCTCCTGGCCCTTGTCCCCTGTACCCCCACATGGGCAGCAGACCCAGCCAAGGCAGCACAGACAGGGAGGCAGCCTCAGCACCACACCTGGTCACAGGTGAGGCGCCCCCACAGAGCAGGGGCTGGGCATCAGGCCTGGCCACCTCTGTGGCCCTCAGGCATGTGGTGACCATCCCAGGGCCGTGTGTACTCAGCTGGCCGGGAGCTGCGGGGTCCCAGCTCTTGCTGTGTGCCGTGCCCCCCTCCCTGCCCAGGCTCCAGCAGAAGCTGCAGGCAGGCCTGGACAGCAGCCCCCGATGACCGCCGGCAGTAACAGGGTGGCCAGCAGGGGGCAAGGGAGGGCCACTGGACCTGCCTGGACCACAGGGTGGCGTCCACACGGGACCCTGCCCACCGCGGCTTGAGCAGGGCCTCGCCTCCCTGCACAGGCACAAGGGGACTCCCCCCTCCACGCTTGGTCCCTTCACCTCTGCCCACTGGGGGCCTCCCGGAGGGGGCCAGGCCGGGCCTGTGGTGCCGCCCCTTGCAGATGCAGTAAGGGCCCCCCCTATTCAGGACACCGGCTGCCAGGGGACTTCCTGGCAGGCCCTGGGGTCGCCCCGACTTCTGGAGGGTGTTGAGGGATCCGTGGGGCAGAGAGGTCACCTGCTGCCCAGATTTGCTGGGGCGGCAGGGGGTTCCCCCCCCCGGCCTGGCACAGCTCCGTGCGCGCCGTGGGGTCTCAGCGGGAGAGGTCATCCAGACCAGCTGCGGTCTGCGGTGCCCGGTGCGCCAGGCTCCTGCTGCCACCTCTGGCCCTGGCAGTGGCGTTTGGGGACCAGCGGTGATGGCTGCCAGCACTGGGGGAGGGAGAGGCTGGGGCTTCCCAGGCCCCGAGCCCCGGTGCTTCCTCCACCTGCTGAGGCCACCCTGGGCGGGAGGGGCGGGGCTGAGTGCCCTGTGGGTGCATGACTGACCAACGCGGCGCGAGGGGCAGGGGCATGCGCGGGGCGGGCGAGGGCAGTGCACCGTCCCTCTGACTCATCCCGGCTCTGCCCGTCCCTGAGAGAGGCCTCCTAGCCTCGCTGTTCGTGGGGGGCTGTCTGCCTGCCCCCGCTCTGCCAGCCGTGCCACGCTGAGCCCCTCCCCACCTCCCCTCCCGTGGGCAGCGGTCATGGCGCGTGGACCATCCTCTGCCTCCTTTGGACTAAGCCTGTTTTGTGTCCTGCTGCTCCCCATTTGCAGTGCGGTGTCCTCCGCCGGCGGCCGGGCTCCTGGGCTCCCCAGTCTCGGGCTGAGCCTGCGCTCCCCAACGGGGGCTGCCCCGTGCCAGCTCTGGGTCCGCGCCCTGCCCTGTGCTCCGGGGACCCGGCTCCGGCCCGGGGGTGCCCCGGGCTTTGTCTGTCTGGAGGGGCCTTCGCTCCGTGCGTCCTCAGGGCCTAGCCCTGGTGGGAGTGGCCAGTCTTCTGGTTTTGCCTCCTGGCATGCAGACCCCTCCGCCTTAAGCGTGAGACCGCTGCGGCCGGGCTGCCCTCCCCACTTGGGCCCCCCTCTGCGGCATTAGGGGCCCCCTCTCTGCAGCATTGGGCCCCCCGGCTGGGCTGTCCGTCCGCGTAGGCCCGGCTGGGGCGGGCAGAGTCTCTGTGAGCTGTTTTGAGGCCGCAGCCTTGGCACGCTCCGGTGCAACCAGCGCTTGTTTTAAGATGGTTTCCCTCGGCGCCCACGGGGCGGGGACGGCGCGTGTGCCGCGGGCTCGCCTGAGCTCTCGGTGCTGTGGCCGGGGGTCCCTCTGGGGACCAGAAGTCCCAGGTCAGAGGGGGGCCGGTGGAGCGAGGCCCCGTCTGCCTCGGTCCAAGACCGCTCAGGCTTCTGCTGCTTGTGGGCGCAGAATTATCCGTTCCAGCCTGGGGCCCTGGCCTGGCCCCTTGGGCTCCACACGTCTGTGTGTCCATCCGGGCGCTCGGCCGGGGCTTGGGTCTGCTGCCCTGCTGACGGCGGCCCTGCGGGGGGAGTCTCGGTCACTTCCTGGGGACCCAGGCACTGGCTTCTCTGGAGACAGGGCGCCTGGCGTGGCTCCCGGGGCCCGGGAGGTGCTGGGCCCCCCGGGGTGCAGGGTCTGCAGCCACCTGCCCCCCGCCCCCCAGCAGAGACCCGAGAGCCCTGAGTGGCCCCCTTGGCAGGGCCTGTGGGTGACCTTGGGGTGCCCCTTGGCCACCTTATCTGTGCTGTGGGTGATAATGGGCCAGGACAGGCGCCCGCGTGACCGGCTTATCTCTGCAGCTCCCCCGTGTCGAGGACGGGCGTCCCAGCCGCAGGGGTGGGGGGGCGTAGGGGCACAGGGTGGCGTGGGGGCGGCCCTCCCCGCCCGGGGTGCCTGTGTCTGTGTGTGTGTGCATGTGCACACGTGTGTGTGCCTGGATCTTGCCCACGTGATGCCATGGTCTGGTGCCCGTGCTGCTTGCTCATGTGTGTGCCCGGAAGGGCTCCGGGGCTCCCCGGGGACATCTTTGGTAAAGCCACGGGCACCCACCAGGCGCCGAGTCCACCCAGACAGTGGAGCCTTCTGCTCCAGAAAGGCTGCCCACCCCTCGCCCACCGCGCTCCCCCGGTGCCTGGGGCCCCTGCCGGCGGCCAGGGCCAGCGCGTGGGGGCAGCTCCCGGGGACAGCCCCTCTCAGGCTGCGGGGTCTGGGAGCCCCGCTCAGCTTGGCCGGGAGCCCCTCCAGCCCCGCGGGCTCTCCCTGCGGAATCTCATTTGCAGCTTCTCGGAGCTCGGGGTTCTCGTCAGGGCGCCCAGCGGGCCGCGGGCCACCTCCTGGCGGGCCTGGCATCACCGGGCGTGCGCGGTGGGCGGCAGGCGGCTCCTCTGCCCCTCCAGGGCTCCCCGGGCCCGGAGCCCCCCGCCCCGCCCCTCCCACGGCCCAAGCCCCCCATGGCGGGCCCCACTTCAGGGCCGCGGTTCCTGGCCCCGGGGACCCTGCCGCGGACCCGGCCCGTCTGGGGGTTCCCTGGGGCGGCCGCCGGGTCTTCCGCCCTCCGCGGCGTTTCCTGAGGGGCTGCGGCCCGGGGGTCAGAGCGTCGGGGGCGCCCCAGCCCCCCCGGCCGCGGGGCTGCCGCCGGCCACAGGGCGGGCCCCTCGGCGGGGCCGCTCCGGACCGGGGACCGCCGTGCCGGGCCGGGGCCCCGCGGGAGCGGCGGCCGCGGCGGGAAGGCCGGTGGGGTCACGTGGCCGGGCGGGGCGCGGGGCGGGGCGCGGCCGGGAGCGGGCGGGCTCCGGAGGGGCGGGGCCCGGAGGGTGGGGGCGTGGCCGGGAGCGGGGTGGTGCGGCGGACGGGGGCGTGGCCGGGGCGGGCGGGCTCCGGAGGGGCGGGGCGTGGCCGGGAGCGGGGTGGTGCCGCGGCCGGGGCGTGGCCGGGGGGCGTGGCCGGGCGGGGCGGGGCCCGGCGGGGGCGGGGCGGGACGGGACGGGGCGGGCGGCGCGGGCCCCGCCCCTGCGCCCAGTCGGGCGGGCGGCGCGGAGCGGGCGCGCGGGCGGCCATGCCCACCAGCTTCACCGTGGTGCCCGTGGAGGCGCAGGAGGACGGCGGCCAGGACGGGGCGGCCCGGCGCGCGGCGGCGTCGGAGCCCCCCGGGGCCCGCGAGCCCGGCCGCCCCCGCCCGGGTGAGCGCGGCCGCCCCGGCGCGGACAAAGGGGAGCCGGGGGCGCCGGCGGCGGGAGGGCGGGGGGCGCGCCCCGGCCCTCGGGCTCCGGGCGTCCCGCCGGGTCCGGCCGCGGCGTCTCTGGCCCCCCGGCTGGCGGGCCCCCCCCCGCGGGCCCGGGATCCCGGCGGGGCGCCTCCCTCGGCCCCCCACCCCCACCCCCGGCGCGGGCCTCCGCTGGCCCGTGGGCGCGGCTGCCCTGCTGGGCTGCGGACCCGGGGGCACCTCCACTTTCTCAGGGCGCCCCCCGTGCGCGTCCCCCCCCTCGCCGGCCAGGCCAGGCCAGCAGGGAGGTCAGAGGTCGCACCCGCACCCCCACTTTGGGCATCGGTCCTGGGGGCTGCTGGGTGGGCTGGCAGGTCCCCCGTCCCTCTCCCTCCCCCTGTGGTGTCCCTTCCCGGAGGGGCTCCCGCCCGCTGCCCTGGGCTCCGCCTGGCGTGGACACTGGAGCCTGGGGAGCGCGGGCCCCGCCGCCCGCCTCCTGGCCCCGCCGCCCGCCTCCTGGCCCCGCCGCCCGCCTCCTGGCCCGCGGGCCGTGTCCTGTCTGGCCTGCTGGGAGCCTCAGCCTGGGCCGGGGTCGCGTCCTCCCTGGGGCACGACCTTTGGCTGCTGGCCCCTTCTTGGCCCAGTCGCCTTTTCTGCAGGCTGCGGCGGGTCCTCCGCTGGCCTTCTTGCTGAGCTGACCTGAGCTGGGGTGAGGGGCCGTGGCCGCCCCCGCCCCGCTGAGCCCCTCCCTGATGCTTCTCAGCCCCGGGGCTTTGGGGTCTTGGCCGTGGGCGCCCACCCAGGGGCTTCCTCCTGAGGTCAGGAGCCCGCAGCCCCCCGGACCAGCATGTGGCTGGACTGGCCTAGCTGGAGCCTGGACTTGGGTGTTTGTGCTCCGCATGTCCAGGCTCCCCGACCGCTGTCCTCGGCACGGCCTGAAAACGCTGCCGGCCGCCCACGGCCCAGAGGCACCGCCTGGCTGGTGTTGAGCTGCCAGTGTGACGGGGCTGGATGCCGGCGCTGACCTTGAGCCACCCCTGGGGCCTGGCCCCTGCCCCTTGAGGTGTTTCTGGGCACGGCTGCCCTGGTGGGCGAGGTTGACAGGCACAGGGGAGGCAGGTGCAGGAGGAGGGGTGTCGAGGGCCATGCAGTCCCTACCTTGCGGCGGGGGCTCCATGCTTGGAGCCCTCGGTGGTCTCCCAGGGCTGGCCGTGGCCATGGGAGCTGGGTGCCCACCTGGGCAGGAAGGATGGCGGGTCCCTGCGTGCTGGATTCTGGGCTGTGGGGTGGCCGAGGGCACCTGTCCCTGACTGTTCTCCTGGGGACCCGCCCTGACGTGCTCTCTGGAGTGGGGCCTGCCTGGTGCCACCCCCCAGGCTGGGCGGGTGGAGGGTGACCGGCGCTGGGCCCAGGGCGGCAGGAGTGTCCCGTGGCCTCCCGGGGTTTGGGCTGGTGCTGCCCCTCCTGGGTCCCTGGCCCCTGTGCCCTGTTTGTGGCTTCTGGCCCTCGGGCCTCCCAGGCTGCTCACTGCCTCCAGGAGGGGGTCTGTGACCCTGAGTTGCTGGCCAGGGTCCTGTCAGCTGTGCTGGCCTGGGGCAGCAAGGGGCCACGGGACTCAGGCTGGGACCCAGACCTCACGGAGCCTGTTGGCAGTGAGCGTGACCTCTGCCCTCCAGCGGCTGCCAGGGCTGCGGGTCGAGCCGTCTGTGGACGCGGGTCCTGGGCGGTGTGGGGCCGGGCGGCCGGGACAGCCTGCCTGGGGACTTGCAGCGGGTGCTCTGCCTCCCAGACGCCATGGGGACCGTTCCTGGTGTGAGACGCGGCGCCGGCGACTCCAGGTCACGGGACACGTCTCCCGTCCCAGGTTCCCTCCCCGAGTGGGGCTGCCACGTGGACGAGGCTGAGAGCTGGGGCAGCCGGTGCCCTCTCTGGCTGGTCGGGGCCCAGCCGCCTTCGGGGCAGGGTCTTTCTTCAGAGGCCAGACCCCTCTGAACCCAGGCGCGTGTACATCTGCACGTGTGCCGGCTTGTACATGCATGTGCATGTGTGTGCTGGATGTGCACGCAGTGAGGGGCAGGCCAGATGGCGGTTGCCAGCACTCACATGGGTGCCCTGAGCCCCCCACCTCCCTGGCCACAGCCCCGGGGTGCAGGCCCAGGCCCCCTGTGTGCCCAGGCCCGGTGGTGCAACGGGCGGTCAGAGGGTGGGTTCCCCTCTCGCCTGGGGGTGGGAACCACGCACACGCTGCCGCCTCTAGCAGCTCAGCTTGGCTAATCTCAGGGCATCCCCCCGATGCCACCTGCCCAGGTTCGGGGGAGCTCTGCCTCAGGCCAGGTGGCGGCAGGGCCAGGGGACTCCCTGGGGGCCTGAGCCCAAGGAGCAGGGCCTGAGGCTGCGCAGTGGCTGGCGGGGTTCGGGCTGGGGAAATCTTCCAGGCCGTGTCCTTGAGAGTCATGGCGGGCACTGCTGGTGGCGGGTCAACATCCCCGCAGGCCCGCGTGGTCACGCTCAGGCCCACCGTCTGCGTCAGCGGTGCTCCCGGGCATGACTGGCGCATCTCCTGGTGGGGTCGGCTGGCCTGGTGAGCGGGGCTGTGCCCTCATGGCCCTGCACGGGGATGTGAGCGGGGTGGCGAGGGTTAAGCCCTTGCCTTCGTGAGCCGGGAACTCCCTCCTGGGCCAGAGCTGCTCCAGGCAGATAAGCCTTGGGCCTCAGTGCCCGCCCCCACCCCCCCACCTCCTGTGTCCATGGCCACTGGCCCGGGGTCCCGCAGCCTCCACCAGGAGCCCCGGTGAGCGCCTGTGCGGGGCGGGCTCCTGCCAGGGTGTCCGGCCTGCGGCCCTGGGCCCGGCCACCTTCTCTGGGTGGTTTGGTTCTGCAGAGCGTGACGCCGGAGGAGGCGGGGGCCCTGTGTGTGCTGTGGCCCGCGGGGTCGCCTGCATTCCGGGCGTGCCTGAGCCGCGGCCCGGGGCTGTCGGGAGGCCGCTGGCCCTCAGCCCGCCTTTGCCGTGGGTCAGCAATGCTTTCGGTTCCGGCCCGCACACTGCGGCTTCAGCCCTGACGCGCGAGGCCTGTGGGCGCCGAGTCTGTCCACGCGGTTGAGCGCCTGTCCATGCAGAGCCCCTGGCGCGCCTTCCCACGAGGTGGACTGGCAGATGCGAGCCCGCATGTTCTTGTGCCTCGGTTTCCCCTTGGGACCGGCTCTCATGACTTGGCTGACCTCAGCTCCCGGCTCCTGGTGGCGCTGCGGCTTGGAAGCGGCGGGCCCCTGGGGAGGGATTGGGTTGAGCCGAAACCAGAGCTGCCGGCGCCAGGCTGTTCTCGGGTGTCACCCCGTCTGCCCAAGGGTCCCCACAGCCAGGGGAGCCGAGATGGGGGCTTCCCCGGGGGATGGGGCGCCTCGGGCCCTGCTGCCCAGTCCCCCGGGGCGCCCACTGCACTGCCCAGGCCAGCCGCAGCCACACGGCCGGACCCACCAGCTCCCTTTCCCCTCGACCAGCCGCTCCCCAGTCAGAAGTTTCTAGAAAACCCTCTTTTCTGTGACTCTGGCGGGGGGGGGGGTCACCCACCCCCGCCTGGCCTCGCCGCCTCGGCTCTGGGCATCGCTCTGGGCAGGGACCTTCCTTGCTGGGAAGCCCCAGGGCGGGCTCAGCGCCCAGGCCGGGGCCTGTGCAGTGTGGGGAGGGCCGGTGGGCCGGCGAGCTCGCCTCCCGCTTCCTGTTTGCCGCCGGCTGCACTTCCTTGCGGGAACCCAGCTCCTCCCCCTGCCCTGGCCCAGGAGTGATTGGGTGTCCGATTCGCGCTGCCCCTGCTGCCCGGGCGGGGCAGGTGGTGGGGCCAAGGTCAGCTGTCGACCTGGGGGTGTGGGCCTGGCACGCGGGCCCTGGGGAGGAGGCTCTGGGGGCCCAGCGGGGTGAGCTGTGGAGGCTGCGTCAGGGTCGCGTGACCCCTATTCTGCTGGAGGCGTCTCCCCTGCAGCTGGCGTGGCCTGCAGGCCGAGCCGCTATCTGCGCCACTGGGCTGGGCGGGCTGCCCATGCTGGACGGCACACGGGGCAGTGGTGGCACCGTGGCCTGACCTGGGGTCGCCCACCCTAGAGAGGCCCGGGAGAAGCGCTGGCTGGCAGGGCTCTGCTTGACCCCGGGCTGCCTCCCGGGCTGATCCCGGCCGCCCCACCTGCTCTCCGGACAGAGCCCGCCCCCCTCCCACTGCATGCCGAGGGCCCTGGCGTAGCCCAAATGCCCGCCGCTTGCCTGGTCCCCTACCTGCCATGGCCAGGGGTGGCTTCAGGCTGGCCCGGAGGCTGCCGTCGCGGAGGCAGCTGTGGGGGGCGGCAGGGTCACGCCCTAGTTGCATCCCAGGGTTTTACTGCCGGAAAGATGCTCGTGTGAAAGCGGAACTGCTCTCTGCTGGGCTCGGCTGGCCACTGCCCCTGGCCGCCAGCGCCCGGCCGCACTCCCCACCCTGGGGCTCGGGCTCGCCTCAGACACGAGGGGCTCTGGGAATTAAGCCTGGCCTGCCGATGCCCCCCGGCCGCTGGCGGGGATCAGTGACCGGCTTTCTGTGCCGCCTGGAGACGGCGCGCGGGCCGGCCCCGACCCCTGCTCCTGCCCGGCTCCTCGGCGCCCCCCCCCTGCTCTCTGTGCGGCCAGCCCCATCGTGAGCGGGCAGGAAGGTGCAGGGAGCACGGCCGAGGTGAGCAGCCTCCTCCAGGATTGGCTCCTGCCTGTTGGGCTCCGCGGCCCTGGGAGGGCCGGTCAGGGGAGGCCGCTGCTCCCCGGCTCGCCCAGGAGGCGTCTGCGGCGGCACCTCAGCCTGGCCTTCCCCCGGGACCGCTCAGCGCTGGCCTCTGGGCAGGACGCCTGCGCCCGCTTCTTGGCTTCCTCTCTGGTGACCGAGGCCTGCGGCCTGGGGTCTGAGCTGCCTGCTGGGGTCCCGCCCCACCGCCTGGCCTGGATCCTCCAGCCCCGGTCCGCGCCCCCGCCGTCCCCGCCAGCCCCAACGCCTCGTCCTGGGAGACAGCGTCCTCGCTTAGGCCTCGTGCCGGCCCCGTGCATCGTGGACGCCGCTGGCTGCGGCTGGCGGCTGGGCCGGGCTGCCTGGGAGGCAGGCGGAGCAGATCTAGACCTGCCGGCGCCTCCTGCTCCCGGCCGGCTCCGGTGCCTGCCCTGGGCCCCTGCACTGACCCGGCCGCTTCCCCGACAGGAGATGGGACCCCCCGAGAGAACAGCCCCTTCATCAACGTGGAGGCCGAGGGCGAGAGTTTCTTCGAGGGGAAGAACATGGCGCTGTTTGAGGTGACCGGGTGCCCCGGGCGGTGGCGAGAGCCGCTGGTCAGGATGGGTGCTGCCTGTCCAGGGGTCACGCGTCCGCACAGGGCTGCGCTGCTGCAGCGGGGCCTGACCTGGGCGTTTCTGGGCCAGGAGGAGATGGACAGCAACCCCATGGTGTCTTCGCTGCTCAACAAGCTGGCCAACTACACCAACCTGAGTCAGGGCGTGGTGGAGCACGAGGAGGCCGAGGACAGCCGGCGGCGCGAGGCCAAGGTGCGTGGGCCCGGGCGGCTTCCTGCTCCCGGCGTCTGGCCGGTGGCCAGCGCTGCCTGTGGCCAGCCTGCCCACACATGCCGCCTCTCAGGGCCGGAGCCCGGGCACCCCCACCTGTGTGCAGGCTGAGGCCGGCCACTGTCCCTGCCCGTGGCTGCTGTCCCGTCCAGGGGCTGCTGTCTCGTCCAGAGCCAGCGTCCCATCCAGGAGCGCTGTCCTGTCCAGAGCTGTTGTCCTGTCCAGGGGCCGCTGTCCCGTCCAGAGGGCTCTGCCCCCACCCAGGGGCCACTGTGCCATCCAGGGCCTGCTGTCCCGTCTAGGGGTGCTGTCCTGTCCAGGGGCTGCTGTCCCCGTCCAGGGATGCGGGGTCGGTGCTGAGCCCTCGGGCTGCTCTGGCTCTGCCATCCCAGGGCCTCAGCTGCCCCCTCCCGGCACCCAGCCCTGCACGGCCGAGGGCACCCAGCACCCACTCTCTGTCCTGCAGAGCCCGCGCATGGGCACCTTCATCGGCGTCTACCTGCCCTGCCTGCAGAACATCCTGGGCGTGATCCTCTTCCTGCGGCTCCCCTGGATCGTGGGGGCGGCCGGCGTGCTGGAGTCGCTGCTCATCGTGTCCCTGTGCTGCACCTGCGTGCGTGGCGGGGCGGGCAGGGGCGGCCGTCCGGGAGGGAGGGAGAGAGGGTGTCCCGGGGACTCTGGGCCAGGGACCGCCAGGCGCCCAGCCCCTCTGCCCAGCGGGCGCGGCTGGTGTCCCTGACCCGCGGCCTCACGGCCCTCCGGGCCCCGCCTGTTCTCCCTGCTCCGCGGCGCATGTCGGGAGCGTCTGCAGCAGCAGAGGTGAGGTGTGGCCCCACAGGACCTCGCCGTGTCCCCCTGGCCCCGGGGCCCTCTGCCTGTGGGGGCTGCTTACCCGAGCAGGTGAGGGCCAGGCGAGCAGGTGAGGGTCCTCTGTGCCCACAGGACGGGCCTCCGGAGAGAGCTGGCCCCACACGGCCCCTCCCCAGTGGCCGCAGTGGGTGCCCTGGGCGGGCGTGTCCTGCAGCCCGGGGCCCCTCCGGCCTGGACCCGGGCCCTCCGCATGGGCTGGCGAGGGGGGTGTGGCCGCGCCGCCCTCTCAACGCGCCGCCTCCCCGCAGACCATGCTCACCGCCATCTCCATGAGCGCCATCGCCACCAACGGCGTGGTCCCAGGTGAGCTGGGGCGGGGCGGGAGGCCAGCGTGTCCTCTCTGCGCGGCCGGGCCCGGCGCCCGTGGGCTGGGTGGGTGCCTGGCCGTGTCCCCGCGGGCGCAGCCGCGTGGGGCTGTTCCGGGGTGGGGGAGCGTGAGGCGAGGGGGCTTGGGGTGCCCCGCTGGTGGGGGTGGGGCGGGTGCCACGGCAGGGGGTGTCTCTGGATCGGAGGGGGGCCGTGTCTGCCGTGGAGCGGGCCTGGGGGCGCTGGTGCCAGGAGTGTCGAGTGGCGGGGACGGCGGGGCTGGTGGCCTCCGGCCCGGCCCGCTCCCGACCACCTCTGCCTGGCGTCCCCACAGCCGGCGGCTCGTACTACATGATATCCCGGTCTCTGGGGCCCGAATTCGGGGGGCCGTCGGCCTCTGCTTCTACTTGGGGACGACGTTTGCGGGGTCCATGTACATTTTGGGGACCATCGAAATTTTCTTGGTGAGTGATTTGCCTGGGGCTGGACTCCCTGCTGCACCTGCGGCGCACGGCGGCTGGTGGGGCCTGGGGGGTGCCCGGCGTCTGCCTGGCCGAGGGCACACCCGTCCTCCTCCGCTGCCCGGGGCACCTGTCCCTTGGAGCAGGGCACGAGCCGTGCTCGGCCTGCAGCCCAGCGCCCCTCCAGATCCAGCCCGGCCCTTGGGTCTGCCCGCCGGGCCCTGCAGCAGCCCTGGAGTTGGGGGGCCTGGGGGGTCCTCAGCAGGGCCCTGAGCCTTTGGTGCGGCCCTGGCCGCCCGGCACGTCCAGCTGGGACTTCACTCCTGCAGACAGACATGTCGCTTCCCGTCAGGGACAGCGGGCGCTCTGCCAGCGAGCTCTGCTAGCCCAGGAGGGGCCGGGCCCTGCTTGAGGGTCCGCCCCAGTGCCTTCTGGGGTGTGGCGGGAAGGGGCCCCATGAAAGGTCTGGGGCCTGCTCCCCGCGGTGTGCGGGCGCCGGCAGCGCCCCTGACCCGCCGTGGCCCCCTGTCCGCAGACCTACATCTCCCCCAGCGCGGCCATCTTCCAGGCCGAGTCCGTGGGGGGCGAGGCGGCCGCGCTGCTGCACAACATGCGTGTGTACGGCAGCTGCACGCTGGCCCTCATGGCCGCCGTGGTCTTCGTGGGCGTCAAGTACGTCAACAAGCTGGCCCTGGTCTTCCTGGCCTGCGTGGTGCTGTCCATCCTCGCCATCTATGCCGGCGTCATCAAGACGGCTTTTGACCCCCCGGACATCCCGTGAGTCCCGGGCGCTCCTGACCCTGCCGCCCGGCCCCGCTCCGGCCTCTGGGCACGGCTGTCTGGGCCTGGGCCGGGGCCAGCCAGCCGGTGGGGCGGGTCAGCAGCCCCCAAGCCAGGCGGCTGTGGGCTCAGGTGGGCGCGGGCCCGGCGGGGCGCGGGCAGGGCGGGGCCGCCAGGGGGCGCTCCCGAGCCTCGTGGCTGCGGAGGGGCAGGGAGGCCCCAGGGGCCGGGCAGGGGGCGCTGCTGACCTGTGCTGGCTCCACCCACGGCCTGAGCCCAGCACCGGTCCCTTTCCGGGCGCCCCTCCCCGCCCCTCCCGCAGGGTCTGTCTCCTGGGGAACCGGACGCTGGCCCGGCGCGGCTTTGAGGCCTGCGCCAAGGTCCACGCCACCGGCAACGGCTCGGTGCCCTCCACCCTCTGGGGCATCTTCTGCAACGGCTCGACCCTCAGCGCCGCTTGCGACGGCTACTTTGCCCAGAACAACGTCTCGGAGATCCAGGGCATCCCCGGCGTGGCCAGCGGCGTCCTCCTGGGTGAGCCCCGCTCTCACCCGCCTGCCCGGGCTCACCCCGGTGCCCTGGGAAGCTGGGGCGGGCCCGTCCCCGTGCGCCCCACGACCAGCCGCTGTCCCCACAGACAACCTGTGGAGCACGTACGCCGAGAAGGGCGCCTTCGTGGAGCAGCCGGGCGTGGCCGCAGCACCGGTGCCCGAGGAGAACCGGGCGGCTGGGCTGCCCTACGTGCTAGCCGACATCACCACCTACTTCACCATGCTGGTGGGCATCTACTTCCCCTCCGTGACCGGTGAGCGCCCTCTGCCCCCGCCGCTCTGTGCGTGCGCGTGTGCGAGCGGCCCCACGTCACACCGGTGTACACGCGCCCTTCCCGAGCCGCCTCGGCCACCTGCTGCCCCTGCAGGCCCCAGCGGGCTGACCCCCGCCCTGGCACTGCCCTGCCCCTGGCGTCCTGGGTCCGCAGCTGTGGGGGGAGGGCATGAGCGCGCCGGGTGAGCGGGGCCAGGTGGCGGGGCCGTGGCGTGAGTGCTGGTGGGTCCGTCCGGAGCCCCCACCCATGTGGGGGCTGCAACCGGCCTGGAGCTGACCTGGCTGGTCACTGCTGGTCATGAACTCACCATGCCGGCCCTGCACCTCCTGCACGAGCCCAGGGGCTGGACGAGCTCACGGGACCCCGCCTTAGGGGGACGACAGAGGGGTCAGGTCCCAGCTGACATGCCCCGAGGTGGCCTGGGCAGCTTCCTGGGCGCCGGCGGTCAGCCTGCAGTAGGGCAGCTGTGCTTGGGGCGCCCTCACTCCCAGCCCTGTGGCAGCCTCTGGTGGCAGCTCCCCACACACACGGTGACGCCCCCACCCCACAGGCATCATGGCAGGCTCGAACCGGTCTGGGGACCTGCGGGATGCCCAGAAGTCCATCCCCACGGGGACCATCCTCGCCATCGTGACCACGTCTTTCATTTGTATCCTTAGAGGGGCAGGCACCCTGGCTCCCGGGGGCGGGCTCCCGGCCAGCCACGTCCCTCGGTGCCGCATGGGTCACGGGCCACCCCCGCCCTGGCACCCGGGTCCCAGGCAGGGTCCCTCGATGCCACCGTCCCACGCGGCTGTCCCCCCGGCTCCCACGGTCACGCGTGTCCTCGCTGCTTGCAGCCTTCCCAGTGCTGCCTCATCCTGCTGTGCTCACCGAGGTCCTTCCCTGGCAGCAGGGCCGTTCTGCTCAGGACACACAGGCTGCCCAGTGCCCACACCCACTCCCGGTGCCCACTGCCCACGCCCAGTGCCCACTCCCACTCCCGGTGCCCACTGCCCACGCCCAGTGCCCACTCCCACTCCCGGTGCCCACGCCCAGTGCCCACACCCACTCCCGGTGCCCACTGCCCAGGTCCCACACCCGCTCCCGGCGCCCGCTCCAGGCCCAACTCCCACCATCCTTGACGCGGCCGCAGACCTCTCCTGCATCGTGCTGTTCGGCGCCTGCATCGAGGGCGTGGTCTTGCGGGACAAGTACGTGTGTCCTCGCGCACGGCGTCCAGCGCCCTCTGGGGACACTGGCTTTCTTGAAGCTCAAGCCCTTGCTTCCCGGTGTTTACAGTCTTGTGGGGGCCGGGGGCCCCAACTGCCCTGCGCTGTGCGCTGATCTCTACCCTCCCACCCGCTCGAGCCCACTGTGGGGGCCACGGGCACCCCTGACCATGGTGGAGCTGGGGTGGGGCTGCGGGTGAGGCTGTGCCCGGGCTGGGCAGTATCTCTGTGCCCTTGCGGCCACCTTGCCCCCCAGTTCCCTCCTGGAGCCCAGCCTTGTCCCTGCAGGTTCGGGGAGGCCCTGCAGGGCAACCTCGTCATCGGCATGCTGGCCTGGCCGTCCCCCTGGGTCATCGTCATCGGCTCCTTCTTCTCCACCTGTGGTGCAGGGCTGCAGAGCCTGACGGGGGCGCCGCGCCTGCTGCAGGCCATCGCCCGCGACGGCATTGTGCCCTTCCTGCAGGTGGGCGCGGCTGTCTGCGGCGGGGGCTGGGAGGGCCTGGGCGGCCACTGCGTGGACCCTGGCCCCACCCCCAGCGGCACGTGCTGGGGTGAGGGCAGAGACCTGAGAACCGCGCAGCCCACTGGGCCTGCACGTCCAGGGGCTGGAGCTCTGCTGTGGCCCCCAGACATGGCCTGGGGACGTGGCGTGAGCAGGACACGGCTCAGGACCCTCTCGTGGTCAGGGCGGGCCCCAGTGCCGCTCCCCTCTGGGCGGCCCCGCCCACAGCCACCTGCCCCCCCAGGTGTTTGGCCACGGCAAGGCCAACGGGGAGCCCACGTGGGCGCTGCTGCTCACGGCCCTCATCTGCGAGATCGGCATCCTCATCGCCTCCCTGGACAGCGTGGCCCCCATCCTCTCCATGTGAGTGCCGGGGCGGGGGGCACCCCGCAGTCGAGCCCGGCCCTGCTGGCCGTCTGCCGTGGCGGGGCGGCCGCCGGGTGGTGACCGGCCGCTGCGCCGCGGCAGGTTCTTCCTCATGTGCTACATGTTCGTGAACCTGGCCTGCGCCGTCCAGACGCTGCTGCGCACCCCCAACTGGCGCCCCCGCTTCAAGTACTACCACTGGTGAGCGCCGGGGCCCGGGGCCTGGTGCGGGGCCGGCGGCCTCCCGCCTCGTCTGCCTCGTGGTGCCCTTGGAGTGACCGGGAGGAAGTTCCCGGAGGGGCAGGACGGTGGGGGGCGGGGCGGGGCCGCGGTGGGCCTGGCCGTGGGTCAGCGCAGCCTGTGTCCTGCAGGGCGCTGTCCTTCCTGGGCATGAGCCTGTGCCTCGCCCTGATGTTCATCTGCTCCTGGCACTACGCGCTGTTCGCCATGCTCATCGCCGGCTGCTTCTACAAGTACATCGAGTACCGCGGGTGAGTGCGGGCAGCGGGCAGCGGGCCTCGGTCAGGGCGCAGCCGCGCCGCCTTCCGTCTGCGCCTATGGTGGCCACGCTGCTCTGGGCCGCCACCTGCCCACCCCCCGCCCCGGCCAGCGGGGCTCTCTCAGCCGCTGTCTGGAGACTCTTGGGGTTGCACCCCGATGTGCGGTGCGGGGCCTTCGCACCCCGAACCTCACACAGAAACGAGGCGGACCCCAGGAAGGCGGGCCGCAGGAAGTAACCCAGAGCCATGGCCCCCCCACGGCCCACCAGGGCCCCGGCTGGACCGCGTGGCTGCGGCAGGGTGCCCACGTGGGGCTGCCCCTTCCTCACCTGCTCCGGCCCCGCGGCCTGCACCAGGCTGGGCCGCCCACCACGGACCAAGGCCGCTGGGCTGCGGGGCGGGGCCTCTGGGGTGGGGCTGGCAGGGTGGGGGCTCAGGGGTGGGTCTCGGGGGCGGGGTCTGCGGGGTGGGGGCTCAGGAGGGGTCTCGGGGAGCCACCCCAGGCGCGGGCCTTCGGGCTGCTGAGGCCCCTCCCAGGCCTCTGCGCGGGCTGGGGCGCTGGAGCCCAGGTCGCTCCCTGCCAGGGTGCCCCGTCCCGCAGCCCCGCAGAGACCCAGGGGCTTTCCGGGGAGCCCGGCCCGCAGTCTGGGGCGGCTCCGGGGCCCCGCCTCACCGCAGCCGCTGCGCAGGGCGGAGAAGGAGTGGGGCGACGGCATCAGGGGGCTCTCGCTGAACGCTGCCCGCTACGCCCTCCTGCGCGTGGAGCACGGGCCCCCCCACACCAAGAACTGGAGGTGAGGCGGCGGGCCGGGGCCGGGAGGGGGCCCTGGGCCCGGCCTGCGGTGACACGCCCGCCCCCCAGGCCACAGGTGCTGGTGCTGCTGAGCCTGGACGCGGAGCAGCGCGTGAAGCACCCCCGCCTGCTGTCCTTCACGTCGCAGCTCAAGGCCGGCAAGGGCCTGACCATCGTGGGCTCCGTGCTGGAAGGGACGTACCTGGACAAGCACGCTGAGGCCAAGCATGCGGAGGAGGTGTGAGCTCCGGGGTCGGGGGCCCTCCCGTCTGGGAGCCACCCCCATCCCCCGGGACCAGGTGCCCGCTGCTCCCAGGGGCACCTCCGGCGGCGCAGAGCCCCGGCTCCCTCCTCGAGGTCTCCGCTGAGACCTGCCTGGCCAGCCCTTCCGTGGTCAGGGCCCAGGACCCTCGGGCAGGCGGGATGCCGACAGGGCTGCCCACAACCCGCTGACCATGTCTGGGAGCCCGGAGGCCCACTTCCGAGTGCCTTTTGGAACTCGCCACCCCTCTGTGCCCACGTCTGTGCCCAAGGGGGAAGCACCTTTGCCGCCCACCACAGCCTCCTGCTGCCGTCCGGCTGGCTGGAGCGCTACTGGGGCCTTCTGCCCGCGCGCTGCTGCCCCCACGGTGCTTGCTGCCCCTCGTGGCATTGATCTCGGGCGCACTGCTGAGCTGGCACTGGCCGGCTGGTCTTCCCGGCAGCTCACGCGGGCGTTTGCGGGGTGACCAGCAGGGACAGGGTGACCCTGGCGGAGCGTGGCCGGGCTCCTGGAGGTCTCGGGTTCAGGGGCCAGAGGCCCGAGTTCTCCCACAGGCTGGTTGGGGCCTGACGTGCCCTGTCTCCCGCTTCCCCCTGCGCAGAACATCCGGTCTCTGATGGGCATGGAGAAGACAAAGGGCTTTTGCCAGCTGGTGGTGTCCTGCAGCCTGCGGGACGGCGTGTCGCACCTGATCCAGTCGGCCGGCCTGGGTGGCATGAAGCACAACACGGTGCTCATGGCCTGGCCCGAGGCCTGGAAGCGGGGCGACAATCCCTTCGCCTGGAGGAACTTTGTGGGTGCGTGTGGGCCCCGCACGCCTGGGGATGAGGGCTCCACGGCCGCCGCTGCCCCGGCTGCGTGTGAGCGCGCTGTCCCCCCCGCAGACACAGTGCGCGACACCACGGCGGCACAGCAGGCCTTGCTGGTGGCCAAGAACGTGGACCTGTTCCCACAAAACCAGGAGCGTTTCAGCGATGGGCACATCGACGTGTGGTGGATCGTGCACGACGGGGGCCTGCTCATGCTGCTGCCCTTCCTCCTGCGCCAGCACAAGGTGGCCGGGGCGCGGGCGGCGGGGCGGGCGCCCTGGGAGGGGCAGGTGTGGCGGCCGCCTCCAGGCGCTGGCCCCAGGCTCAGCACGCGCCCCCGCAGGTGTGGAGGCGCTGCCGCATGCGCATCTTCACGGTGGCCCAGATGGACGACAACAGCGTCCAGATGAAGAAGGACCTGCAGGTGTTCCTGTACCACCTCCGCATCAGCGCCGAGGTGGAGGTGGTGGAGATGGTGCGTGGCGAGGCGGGGCCGCGGGGCCGGGACGCCCGGCGAGGCCCGGGGCTGACGACCCCTGTGCTGCGGCTCGCAGGTGGAGAACGACATCTCCGCGTTCACCTACGAGAAGACGCTGATGATGGAGCAGCGGTCGCAGATGCTGAAGCAGATGCAGCTGTCCAAGAACGAGCGGGAGCGCGAGGTCCGTGCGCGGCACAGGGCGCCCTGCTGGCCAACGCCCTCCGCCGCCGCAGGGGGGCAGCGGCTGAGCGAGCGGCGCGCGCAGGCGGATGGGCGGCAGCGGGGACGCGCAGCAGGGCGGGTGGCGCGGGGCTGGCGTGTGGGTGAGGGGCTGGGGGTCGGCGGGTGAGGGCTGGGTGGGCAGGCGCGGGCGGGAGGACGGTGCGCGGTCCCGGGGACGGCAGCGCGTGCGCCCGGCAGCTGGGGAGCTTTGTGTCTGCTCCGGTCGACACGGCGTTCTGGGGTTCAGGTTTCGGGGCACCAGAGCCTGTGTTGGAGCCCTGGCCGTGGCTCCCAGGTCCAGGTGGTCCCGTGGCCGTGTCTGTCGGGCATGCAGGGCCCGGCCTCTCAGGGGAGCCTCGAGGCGCCAGGCACAGCAACCTTGTGCCCCCGCTCACCAGGCCCAGCTGATCCACGACAGGAACACAGCGTCTCACTCCGCGGTGGCCGCCCGGACCCAGGCCCCGGCCACCCCAGATAGGGTGCAGATGACCTGGACGAAGGAGAAGCTCACCGCGGAGAAGCACAGGAGCAAAGACCCCAGCTTCAAGGACCTCTTCAGCCTGAAGCCGTGAGTGTCTGGGCGGCCAGCTCGGCCGTCCCGAGAGCCGTGGGGCGCCCTGCTCCGGGGTGCCCGGCTCTTCTCAGTTGGCAGCTGTAGGTCGGGGCTCCCTCTGGGGCAGGTGCAGCCACTGGCTGGGGGCACCCCCCCACCCCCACCACGAGGCGCTGAGCCAAGCCCCAGGGTGGTCCCGTCCGAGGGAGGGGCCGGGTGTCACCATCCCAGAGCCCCCCGCCAGGGAGATCGCTGAGTGCCCCTCCAGGTCCTGGCGGTGGGGAGGACTCGGGGGGCGCCGTGGGGCCTGGCCTGGGGTGGGCTTCGAGGGGCACACGGGCGCCGTCTGGAAGTAACGTGATGTCATGTTTCTCTCCCCGTAGAGAGTGGGGAGCCCTGTAAGTGCACTCACTGCCCGGGCCTAGAGAGCTTGCCGCGCGTGCCGTGTTGCGAGTGCACGGCCATGTGCGTGTGGCGTGTGTGCATGTGCATGGTGCGTGTGTATGCACGGCATGTGTGCATTGCAAGGGGTGTGTGCATGTGCGCGGCGTGCGTGTGCATTGCATGGTGCGTGCATGTGCATGTGCACGGCGTGATCGCGCGCACCGCCATCAGCCCCCGCGTCTGCAGGCAGCGCTTGCTCCCGCGGCCGGGTGGAGCCGGCTCGCCTGTGCTCAGCGCGGACCGCACGCCCCAGCCTCATCCTCCCAGTGGCGGAGAAGGGGCCGGGGACGGCGCCGGCCCCATGGAGGGCAGGCGGGCTGGCCGCAGCTAGTGCGTCCTCGCAGGCTGGGCCCAGGGCGCCCGCGGGATGGCGTCAGGCCCCTGCCCCGGAGGGGCCGCCCCTCACCTGCCTGGTCAGGTCCTCGGTCTCGTCTCGGGGCAGGGCCCAGGCGGGGGAGGTGTCCTGCGCTGTGGGAGCCCACTGCCTGCACCCCGACCACGCGTGGTGTCCCGGCCTGCATGCAAGAGCCAGAACGTGAAGCAGAGATGTGGGGTGAACTTGTACCCCGGCACCCCGCACAGCGGCAGTGTCAGGGCGCCCCTCTCTGCCCTCTGGAGGAGGCGGGAGAAGCTGCGGGAGGCGGGCCCTCGGGGCGCCTGTCTCCAGTCCTTGCTGCAAGCTGGCCCCCGCCGCCCGCCGGCCCGTCCGCCTCCACGGCCGCCCCGGCCCTGCCGCAGCTCAGCCACATGGGGCGGGGCCGCCTGGACCCCCCAGTGACCTGGGGGCGCAGCCCCTGCCAGGCCTCGTCCTCTCCCGGTCTCTGGCTTAAGGCGGCGTTGCTCCGAGGCTGTGCCGGGTGTTCTCCCTCCCCGCGTCTTTCTGTCTGTCCGCCTGTCTGTCCCCCGTGTCCGGTTGCCCGTCCTGCCCTGCATGCCCCTGGGCAGGTTGAGTCCCGACATTTGCCCTTCAGCCTGGCGTCCCGGCCAGGACCCTGACAGTGGGCGCGCGCGGCCCCCGGCCTCCCCTCTCCCTGCGGGCGCCTGGGCCCAGCCGACCGGCGCGGTGTGGCCCCCGGTTGCCGGCAAATAGACTAGACGCTTCAGCTGTGGTGACGCTTGGCTGAGGAGCGGCCGCGCGGCCGGTGCCAGCCCCGTGTGGCCCGGCAGGGCGGGCGGGGCAGCACCCAGTGACCCCACCCCTCCGCGCAGGAACCAGTCCAACGTGCGCAGGATGCACACGGCCGTGAAGCTCAACGGCGTCGTCCTCAGCAGGTCCCAGGACGCACAGCTGGTCCTGCTGAACATGCCGGGGCCCCCCAAAAACCGGCAAGGGGATGAGAACTGTATCCTTTCCGGGGTGTGGCCCAGCGCTGTCTGGGGCACCGCAGGCTGGGGCGCTGGGTGGGAGCGGGGTAACCGAGACCTTGCTGAGGCCGGCACCTGGGGGCCTCCCCTACACCAGGCCACAGCGGGCGGTGGGGGCTCCTGCTGCCCCCGCCTCCCAGGCCCGTGTGGCGGCAGCCATGCACCTCTCGCTGGTGAGGAAGGGCTGCTGTGTGAGAGCTGCCAGGGACGGGCCAGCCGTGGGGCGTCGACGAGCTGATGTGCTCTGGGGGCCCGTGGGGTATGGGCACTGAGGATCAGCACGGCACGGAGCCCTGCACCCCTGCACCCAGAGGAGGGTGCTGCCTGTCCCTCACCCCGATGTTGTCGTGAGGCCAGAGGCCGGGGTCTCCCAGGTCAGGCTGTCCCCACGCCCAAGGGCTCCCTGCTCACGCTTTTCTCCCGCCAATCCCTGATCGCGGCCCCCACCCTGCCAGCCGCCCGCCCGGTGCCCTTAACTGCCCCACAGACATGGAGTTTCTCGAGGTCCTGACCGAGGGCCTGAACAGGGCGCTGCTGGTGCGGGGCAGCGGCCGCGAGGTGGTCACCATCTACTCCTGACAGCCTCTGGACGCGGGGCTGCGGCGGCGCAGCTCCCTGCCCAGGTTTCCAGAACCCCGCCTGGCCCTCCCAGCCGGCAGGACCCCCAGCTGGACACAGCCACGCCCCAAGCTCCGGAAATGACCGCTCAGCCGCGCCCCTCGGCCACCACCCCATCCAGCAGGACGCCCACGAAGCACCGGCCACCCCGAGGCGCGAGTCACCCCGCCCAGGGGCCCCAGCTGGGCCGGCACCGCCTTGGGAAGGGCAGGGCCCCGTGCGGCCGCTGCACTTTACCCCAACTGTCCGGGTAACCGTGCGGGCGCCCCGCCGCCAGGGCGTGTATTTATTTGAACGTGGATTTCACGCCCTCGGGGAGAAGAACCTCCTGCAGCTGCCAGGGTCCTCCGGCCCCGGACACCTCGGCGCCTCCCGTGCAAGGCTCCACGGGGCTCTCGAGCCCTCGCCCTCTGGTGGCCGCTGGCCGGGGAGCCGGCCACCCGCGACCGGCCTGTGTTGGTGCCCGGCCCGCCCCCCCCCCCCACACACAGTAGTCCGCGAGCCGGTGCAGCCGCACAGCAGCCACGGCGCCCACGGCCACCTCACGGCCTACTAGGGGCCTCTTCGTATGACTTTGTTAGTGGAATAAAAGCGTCTAAGATCTGAGTGCCGAAGGCCTGTCTGGTTCAACGGGGTCAGAAACAGTGGGGTGCACGCCCCACCTGGGTGTCCGGGCCCGAGCGGGGCAGACACGGATGTAGGCTGCAGAGCCCGTGAACCACGGCCGACTTCCCGGGGGCTGTGTCCACCTGGCCAGGCCCATCCCGCTCCCTGCCTCGCTCCATTCTGCTGCCGCGGAACACGGCACTGGGGCTGGCGCCCGCTCCACCCACCCTTGGCGGGGGCTTGGCACCTCCAACCCTGAGACCACCCCAGCCTCCCGCTGCAGACCCCCACCACGGCCCTGGTCATGGGTCACCTGGGGTGGAACCTTCAGGCCCACCTCCCGCTCCTCCGCGCCCCAGCGAGCCGGGTCCTTGGCAGGCAGGACGGGCTGGGCACCCCACTCCAGACACCACAGCCCACGCGCAGCAGAGGGCTGCACCACACCTCTACCGGCTCTGCAGGTGGTGCTGCCCCCTAGCGGCCAGGCTGCAGTCACCAAGCTCCAGCGTGCACCTCAGGACAGGTCCCCAGGCCCCCCACCTGTGTGACATGTGCACCCCCAAACTTGAGAAATGAAGTGGGAGGGAAGCTGAGGCTGTTTTGCGGACCCCGTCTTCAGACCCTGCTGCCACCTGCCGCCCTTCTGGCTTGGATGGGCTTCAGCTTAGGCCCTCGGCCCACGGGAGGTTTAAATAAAATTCAAGTCACATGAGCGTTAAAGAAATAAAAGAAAGTTCTGGAAAAAAGTTTAATACTTAAAAAACCTGTAAGAAAAGAGAACATATCCTGTAACAGGCACAGGCGCCGAGAGCTTCCTCCCGGGGGACAGAGCCGTGGGCCCCGGGCAGCCTGGCTGCCAGGGGACGGTGCGGACCACCTCCCCAGCGGGCCCCAGGGCACCGCCACCAGGAGGCCAGCCGGCCCCTTTCTCAGCAGGGCTGCCGCGCCCGCGCGGGAGGTGGCACGGAGACCCCACAGCACTTCACGAGGGCAGAGCAGCCGAACAGCCACCTCCAGGCCCGTCGAGAGTAACGTGCACACCCCCTGGGGCGGGGGCCGGCGGGTGGGGCAGCCCTAGCGGGTAGGGGACGTGCTGCCTGGTCACTGGCAAGATGAAAGCTGCTTCCTCTCCTCAAACTGCTTGTCCACCGCCAGCGACAAAGCCTGCAGGAAGCCCTCGATGGTGACCGTGGGGGCCTGGGGAAAGAGGGTGTCACGCGGCCCCACAGGCCTGGCAGCACGAAGCGCGACGGAGGGAATAGCTGCATGAGCTTGGGGCACGCGGGGCACACGTGTGTGAGCAGCCCCACCCCGCCCCAGGTCGTCCAGCCAGGGTCCCGGTGCAGCAGAACGAGGGGACGCCCCGTGGGTGGGGGTGGGGGCGCACCTGGATGAACAGCGCGTGGGCCAGGAAAGGCAGCTTTCTCAGCGCACGGCCACTGAGGCCCTCGCTCTTCCTGTGAAGGGGCCACCGGTGACATCACCCCCAGGCGCCTATGGCGCTGGCCACCACACGGCGTCCCTCGTGCCCATGGCCCTGCCCGCCCTTCCCAGGCAGCCTCCCGCCCTCCTCTCCCCACGCAGACCCTCCTGAGGCCTCATGGCTCCGGGTCTAACCCCCCTCGGCAATGCCAGGCCCAGCCCATCCTCTGCAAAGCGGCCCCTTCTTGGCCAGACCCTGATTGCTCCGAAGGCTCCACTGGCCCCACCCTGTGCAGACTCAAGGCCGCTGCCAGGGTCCTTGGGTGCCAGGGCGGCGGCAGCTGGACATGCTGCCCCAGGAGCCGCACAGGACCCACAGCTCCCGCTGCCTCCTCTGAGCCACCCTGGAACACGCAGGTGTTGGGTGCGCGACACGGCAGGAAGCCAAGACAACCTGCTCAGACGCACCCCAGGGCGCATGCCTGTCCTGCCGCGGCAGCCCAGCTCCTCCAGCCAGACGTACCTGGAGATCTCGCTCAGGAGAAGACTCAGCTTGGACACGTTGTTCTCGATAAATCCGATCATCTCCAGCTCCCGCAGGGTCAGCAGCTGCTGCCGGGGGTAGATGATCTGCCGCTGGGGACACAGGCAGGCCAGGGCCAGGGTGAGCGGCAGCCACCGCCCCCCAGGGCCCACAGAGGGCCACAGCAAACCCCAGTGGGGCCGGCGAGCCAGCGCTCCTGCCTGAGACCGGCAAGACGGGCTCCCGCTGGGCCTGGGCGCCCGGGCCCATCGCGCGGCCTGCGCGTGCACACCCCTAGCAGCCTCAGTTCCTCTCAGCAACAGAAACCGCCTGGCCTGACAGCAGGCTGCGCCGCAGGACGGGCCACCCAGGATGTCACCCCAGGGAGGGCCCTGGGACCCCAGGCCTGTGGGGCCAGGGGGCGGCAAGGAACCCAGGACGCCGACCATGCAGCGGCAGGTGGCCCAGCTCGTCACCAGCCTCGCTGGGCAGTGCGCCGCGGCCGTACCTTCATTAGCTCCTCCAGGCAGGAGAGATAGATCTTGAAGATGGCAGCCGCAGAGGGCGGCCCGATGTACTGCCTGATGTCCGCCCTGTCCACGAAGGCCACGTCGATCTTCTCCGTCATGTTGGATGTGGTCAGGATCACCACGTTGGAGTGCCTGGGGGTGGAGCGGGGTCACGCCGGCCACCATGGCCCCGCGCTGGCGCCCCCAGCCCCCCGGGCCTGGCTGGCCCGGCAGCTGCCCTGGGAGCACAAGGAACCCCACCGTTTAATCTGGTCGATCTGGGTCAGGACGGCGTTGACCACGCGGATGGCGTCCGAGGGCTCGGTGCCTGCCCGACAGGCATTACGGGCAGCCGTGAGGCTTTCCACCTGCAGGGTGATGCCGACAAGTGAGGCAGGCAGGCCCGCAGCAAAGGCACCGCACAGCACGGAAGGCGGCAGGCACTGCACAGCGCGGAGGGGTTGGCAGCTGCCCACGGTGCGTCCTGCCCACCTCATCGATCAACACGAACACCAGCGCGTCCTTGTCGTCAATCAGGTCTTGTATCTTCTGGAACATCTTCGTGACCAGCTTGCCGCTCTGGAACGAGACGCCCTTCAGTGCGACACCTCAGGTGGGCGTGCTGCCCCACCAGCCGAGACCCCCAGGGTCAGAGGGCCCCGACCCCGAGCCCCCACCTCCTTGTCAGCCAGCCTCATGCCGACGTGTCCCCCACCAGCCCTGGACGGACCTGTGGATGTGGGGCCTGGCACCCGGGCCACAGGAAAGGAACCAGCACATCCCCAAGCTCCACCCTGTCCAGTCCGGTGGACGCTGGGCGCCAGTCAACAGCCCGAAGGCCACTGCGGAGGGTCCTCTGTGTCAGATCGCCCCCACATTCCTTTCCTGCCCAGCTCTGCCTCAGCCAGAGCTCTCAGAAGAACCCAGGGTCAGGGCCACGCTCACCTCGGAGAACCACTTGGAAAAGAGGCTGTGGCTGTTGATCTCCACCAGCTGGCCGTAGCGGTACCTGGGGACAGAGAAGCTCAGGCAGCCAGCCTGCCGGTCCACCACCCCGGCTGCCAGTCACTGGCAGGGAGCCAGCGGCCGCACAGGCGCTACAGGATACCCCGCGGTCCCGCTGGAGGCCGGGGCCGCATGCCGGGACAACGTCAGAAGGGAAGCCCCTCGCTGCCCCTCACAGCGGCTCGTGTCCCGGGTGCTGCGGCACTGGCGGGTGCAAGGTGAGGCACGAGCACCAAGCGTGCCTGGGAGGGGCCGGTCCTTCCACAGGATGCAGGGGCCGCACCTGTCCACACACCTGGCCTCCCGCCAGGCGGCGCCCCGGACACCTGCGGGCAGGCCGAGCGCCAGCAGCCATGGCTCCGGGTGCAGGCAGCCGAGGGCCACACCCCCAGTTCCGACTGACACCAAACAGGGACTCCTGACTCCTTCCCGGTGCCTCTCACGGTTGTGAAAGCAAAAGGCTCTGTAGAAATCTCTCTCAAAAGTCGAAAACCAGTTGCTAAAGCAACTTGAGGGCGGGCTGAGGAGAAGGCTCAGAGGAGCGGCCCTGGGGCCCTGGCGTGCGGCCGGAGATCCCAGGAGACCAGCAAGAGCCCTGGACGAGCAGGGGCTCCCGCAAACCTGGGCCTCTTTCACGCGGCCTCATGCAAACCCCAAGGGCAACCCGACTCCAAGAGAGACGGCGGCCTGGACGCTGCAGCTGGTACACGGGGCTCACAGTTGGGACAAAAGAGAAGCGACACTCGGTGACCAGGAGAGCGTGGGGGTGCGAGGGGCCCCTCAGGCAGGGGGAAGCGCCCCCAGCCATGCAGACAGGAGCGCAGAGGACCGCGAAGAGGACGGCGGCCTGCGGGCCTAGGGCAGCCTGGCTGGAAAGGGCGTGGAGCCCAGGTGCCAGTGCTGCCAGAGCTCGAGCGCCGTGCGGGTGGGGAGCTGGGGCTCTTCCTGAAAGGGATGCTGGCCCCCTGGCAGCAGGGAGGCCAGCTAGGGGGTAGGCTGGAGGTGCTGGGGCAGCCGCGGATCAGCACTGCGGCCACCCACAGCTGAGAGCCTGAAGCCCAAACCGGGATCACCGCAGGGGGCCGGGCGGGTCCACGCAGAAGGGCGGGGGGGGCCGGGCCGGGGCTGCTGGCCTCACCTGCCTGAGAGCCTGATGGTCAACTTCTGCGCCAGCGCTTTGCACAGCGAGGTCTTCCCTGTGCCCGGAGGCCCTGCAACGAGACGAGAAGGTGGGTGTGAGCCAGCCCCACCCCAGCGCGTGCTGCAGCCGGCCACTGCGTGCAGCCACCCACCATGCAGCAGCACCACGCGGTTCAGGGTGATGAGGGTGCTGTCCACGTTCCTGTCCGAGAACAGCAGCGTGGTCGTCACGTAGTCAAGGAGCTGAACGGAGAAAGGCAAACGCAGTGAAGGCCCAGCGGGGCCGCGGGCTTGGCGGGAAGACAGTGCTACCAGCATCAGGGGCCTGAGGGCCAGCTCGGGGCATCACAGGCAGCACCACTGACAGGGCGGCCCGGGTGGTGCAGGCGTAGGCGCCGAGGACCAGGAGCCTCCCGTCCAGGCCCGCACCAGCCTGACAAGGGGCCCCTCAAGTCGTCTTGCCGCTTCCCGCCAGCCCCCCTCCCCCTGGGGCTCCCCAGGCCCATGGCGGAACCACCCATCCAGCCCGTGCCGGGGCGCAGGCCCAACTCACGTGAGACTTGACCTCCACGTCGTAAACCAGGCTGTCCCAGAGCCCATGGAACTCGGCTGCGACAGGACACGAGACCCACTCGCCACGGGGCTGAGCCGCCGGCCACCCCCGCAGGCTGGGCCCAGCGTGGACACGGCTCCCCGTAAAACCTGGTCGTCCTCAGCGTGAGGGACGCAAGCCCGGACAGTGGGTCCCGGGGTGGGAGGGGAGCCCCCACCGGGTTCTTGGGCTGCCTGTCCCGGGGGTCCACTTCACCATAGCCATGCTGGGGAGGAAACCCCAAACTCCACCTGCCCTGACCCACACACAGCCCACAGGGAGCAGCGTAAGATACTACTGCACCCCACGCAGCCCAGGGCAGCTGAGCGCTACGCTGCCCGCCTGCAGGACAAAGGCAACAGCGCTGCCTCTGGGGGTGCCCCCGCCCCCACCCCTGCGCACCGGCCGGCAGGACCCAGTGGCTGGCCGCCACGATGCTCTCGGCCTCTTCCTCCACGTTTTCACTGCTGGGCCCATCCTCGTTCAGGTGGAAGACGTGCACGGCCACCGTGCAGGCGCTGAGGTCGATGGGCTGCGCGGGGAGACCGCGAGCCGCCACACGTAAGCCCAGGACGCCCAGCACTGCCGCCTGAGCCAAGAGCCGGCTGCTCCCGGAGTGAGTGTGCCCACCCAGCCTGCAGGCCCCTTAGCCAAAAAAAGCACCTGTCAGCTCTAGGGCCATTACAGGTGCCTGTAACGCAACATGACCAGTACCAAGACCTCGCTCCATGCTCCTGCCACGTGCCTCCACCTGGCACTGCCAGAGCCAGTTCTTGTAACTCTGCCTGGCTACCTGTTGGGAGCACCTGCTGCCCACAGCGCCTCAGAGTGGAGGAAAACGTTTAAAATGGGCAGCGACCGGCCCCTGCCCGCAACCTGACTGACGTGTGAAGTCACCGGCAGGTATTTCGCGGGCCCCCTCACTCTGAAGGGCTAGAGAGGCAACCCAAGGCCAGACCAGACATCTGTCCGCCTCAGGCGGGTGGCTGAGAGATGAGGGCGCTGGCTTGCTCTGACTTGCGGCCACGCTGTCCCGCCTCCAGGCCGACTGGCCGCCCCCACACAGTGCCCTTCGCCGAGCCCAGGTCCTCAGCCCCTCAGGTGCCTAAGGGGCTGCTGGCACCGCGTGTGGGGAGTTACCTGTGGATCTTTTGCCTTCAGTTCCGTATCCACGATGGACACAGACTGGACATTTCTTGTCAGAAAAGGGTCATCGAACTCGGTCCAAGAGTAATCGCCAAACACGATGTTGTGTCTGCTCAGCAGCTTACGGACGCTGCGCTGCACATCCTCCTTCTTCGCGGTGCTGGGACAATGAGGCCCGGGCAGGGGCCCAGAGGGTCGGGCAGGGGCCCAGAGGTTCAGGCGGGGCCCGGCCCACGTGCCGGCACAGCAGTGGGGAGTGTGGGAGCCCCATGCAAGCCCCGCCGGTTGCCAGAGCTGGTCACGCACGAGGCTGAGGCTCCCAGAAAAGCCTAGGCTTGGACGGTGCCCCTTGTCTCTGCCCTGACCCCTCACAGCCCAGGGCAGCCGGTGTCCGCGCCCTTTCACGAGGCTTCCACCACCGTCTGGGGCAGCGACCTGAGTGCCCCTGGGCTGCATCAGGGTGTCTGCGGCCACAAGCCTTATGATAGGCTCGTGGGGCAGAGAAGCTGGGTGGTTCTGGGGTGGTGTTCCGGGGTGGTGGGGCAGCTGGTGGAGTGATCCCGCTGGAGCACGAGGGGGGTTTGCCGTGGGCAATGGAAATGGGGCGGCAGCGGGGCCGGAGGGTGGCCGGGCTGTGTGTGGAGGGGAGTGCAAGCGGGCTGTGGGGCCCGGAGCCCGGGTCGGGCGGGGTCGACCCAGGGATATGGGGAGCGGGCGAGGCGCGGGATCCGGGTGGGCGGGGTCCGGGCGGGACGCGCGGGGTTCGGGCAGGGGGCGCGGGGTCCGGGCGGGGCGCAGGGGCCGCGGGGGCCGGGGGGCTCACCTGCCGGCGCGCTGGTGCACCTCCACGTGCACGGTGGGCGCCTCGCCCACGCAGGGCAGCGCCTGCTTCAGGTCGCCGACCGCCTCGTCCATGGCGCCGCCGGGGACCCCGCCCGAGCGAGGCCGCCGCCGCCCCGCGCCCCCCGCAGCCACCGCCACGCCGCCGCCGCCGCCCGGGCGCTTCGAATCGGCCGCGCCGCCTGACCCGGAAGCGCTCGCGCGCCACTTCCGGCGCGGCCTCCCGCGCGTCACTCCGGGCGCGGCCCCCCGCGCGTCACTCCGGGCGCGGCCCCCCGCGCGTCACTCCCGGCGCGGCCCCCCGCGCGTCACTCCGGGCGCGGCCCCCCGCGCGTCGCTCCCGGCGCGGCCTCCCGCGCGTCACTTCCGCGGCGCTGGACTCGGCGGGCGCGCGGGAGGCGGGCTCGCCGGGCGGTCCCGGGCTCGCGATGGGCAAGAAGCACAAGAAGCACAAGGCCGAGTGGCGCTCGTCGTACGAGGGTGGGCGCGCGGGCGCGGGCCTGGGGGGTGCGGGGGCCGGGGGGAGCGGGGCGCGGGCGGGCCGTGGAGTTCGGCGTCTCTCAGCCTTTGCGCGCCCCGAGGCGCGGGTGCCCCTTCTCCGACTCGCCCCTCTCGGCCCTGCCTGTCGGCGCCCGGGGCTAGAAGCGGCGGCGCGGGGAGCGAGGGGGCAGCAGGCGGCTCCCGGGCCGGCACCCACCGAGCAGAAGCCCCCTCCCTGCCGCGCTGGCTGTGGGCCGGAGGCCTGGCAGGGGAGGGGCAGCAGCCGCGCCGGGGCCCACTCTCCACCCCTCCCGAGAGCGGCCTCCCGCCCGCCTGGCGGCCTTCCTGCAGCTGGTGGTGAGGGCTTTTCTGCCTCCAGATTACGCGGACAAGCCCCTGGAGAAGCCCCTGAAGCTGGTCCTCAAGGTCGGAGGAAGCGAGGTGACCGAGCTTTCTGGCTCTGGCCACGACTCCAGCTACTATGACGACAGGTCGGATCCTGAGCGGGAGAGACACAGAGAGAAGAAAAAGAAAAAGAAAAAGAAGTCGGAGAAGGAGAAGCACCTCGACGACGAGGAGAGAAGAAAGCGAAAGGTGGGAGCAGCCAGAGCTCTGGGGTCAGTGGGGTCTCGAGGCCCCAGTGGTGGCTCCTGAGCAAGGGAGGCGGCTTGTGGCCACCTGCAGACCAGGTGGTTGGCTGCCAAGGCTTCAGAAGGAGAAGCCTTGGACACGGTTTCCTGCTGCCTGTCGTGGCCGGGCCTTTCCCAGGGCTGGTGCCACTCTCCTCTCCAACGCCTTGCAGGAAGAGAAAAAGCGTAAGCGGGAGAAGGAGCAGGGCGACCCTGAGGGCGAGGCTGATGATTTTGACCCCGGCAAGAGAGTGGAAGTGGAGCCACCCCCCGACCGGCCAGTCCGGGCCTGCCGCACGCAGCCAGGCAAGTGTGGGTATACAGTCCTGTAGCCCCAGGCTGTCCCTGCACCATGGGGTTAGGGTTAGGGGCTGCAGGCCTACACACATAGTCAAGTCTTGGGTTAGGTCTGGGTCTAAAGGCCCAGGCCATGGCTGGCAGCCATCTGCCCCCAAGGGCCAGGAGGCTTGTGCTGTGTTACCACTGCAGACATCACAGGCACCCAGGAGGAAGGGTCGGTCCCATATCTGCTGAGTTTCTCTTTTCCTTGGCTCTTGGGAGGCCCCATTTGGGTAGTTGGTGGTCCCTGCCATGGCTTTGAGCATGCCTGGGGTGCTCAGGGGGTGCCGGATGAGCAGGCAGACACATGGGGCCTGGATGGGGTCGAGGGCTGGTCAGGGCCAGGCAGTGTGCAGCCACAGAATGCTCCCCACTGGAGTTTGCAGTAGCCTTCGCTGTCTTTGTTTGCTGTTGTCTGGAGTTTGCGCCTGGTCCACGCAGCAGGCTCCAATGAGGCTGTGTCTTGAGCATCTGTCGCTCCTCTGCGAGGGCCACTGCATGCACGGCGTGTCTTCCGGGGCCATGGCCTGGGGATTACAGGCCAGTGACAGTTACTGGCGTCACGTGCATGGGGTGTGGGCCGCACTCTTGTTGGGAAGGGCATGCTGCCCAGGCTGGTCCCAGCTTCACTGTGAGCTGCGGAGTGGGGCTCTTGACTGCATGGGCCCAGGGCCGGGAGCAGTGGCAGGGAAGGTGCCACTGCATGCGGCAGTGCCAGGAGTGTGTTCCGACACCCGCAGCCTACGTGCTGGTCTCAGGCTAAGCGTCGCCAGAGTCACAAGCCCACAGCCGAGCTACACTGCTCTGCGTGGTCACACATGGGGTCAGTTTAAGCTGTCTCCGGGGGCGCCAAGGACGTCAGCAGAGACATGACTATGTGTGTGTAGGTTGTGTCCATGTCTCTGCGCTGGTCCCGGAGCCCCATGTGTCATGCCTTTTGACCTCACTTTACAGACGGGGAGCTGGGGGGACCCGAGGATTAGAACTCTAGGATGGTCACTGAACCCTGACTTGCTTGTTGGCCCAAAGCGTTTGTCCTCAGACCTCACCCAGATGCCCGGCCCAGGGTGGTGCTGCAGGTGGCCTGGCAGCCCTTCTTGCCCAGTTGAGCTTTGTGGGGCCGAGGCTAGACGGCTACACCTTCGTAGTCCAGTTGTTGAATTGGGAAGAGTTGTGAAATACAGAGCCATCCAGTAACCAGCTCCTCGTCTGGTCGCGTTATCAGCTGAGAACGAGAGCTCGCCGATTCAGCAGCTGCTCGAGCACTTTCTCCGCCAGCTGCAGAGGTGAGGGGTTGAGGGCGCGGGCAGAGGGGAGGCGCTGAAGGCATGCCAGCCGCCTGTCTTCTGTCCCTGTGGCACAGGCAGGCTGTGTGCAGACCAGGGTGGCACAGATCCCCCATGCCGCCGCGTCTCTGGCAGGGGGGTCTTGGCTGGTGTGTGCCTGGCGCCTGGCAAGGGTCCAGTGGCTTTGGGGTTTCTGTTTCTGCAACAGCTGTCACCCCTTCGAAAGCGTGAGCCTCGAGCCAATCTCTCAAACTTAACGTGGAGTTAGTTGTGTTCAGTTTGTCTACGGATCCTGCGGTGTCTGGACACTCAGGGGTCAGGGCCTAAGTGAGGCCATCTGTGTTTCCAGGAAAGACCCTCACGGCTTCTTCGCTTTCCCCGTGACGGATGCCATCGCCCCCGGTTACTCGATGATCATCAAGCACCCGATGGACTTCGGCACCATGAAAGACAAGATCGGGGCGAACGAGTATAAGTCGGTCACCGAGTTCAAGGTGTGTCGCGGCCGGACCTGGGGTGGGGCCTCTCCCTGGCGGTGCGCTTAGGGGTCGGCCTCAGCAGGACACCTGGGCCAGTGAGGACGTGTCCGGTTGGCACAGTCCAGAGCGGGTTCATGTGGAAGAGTCTCCCAGTTCCGGCTCTCCCTCGTGGCGGCTGTGGCCTCGCGTGGGGCATGGTCCTCTGAGGCCCGCAAGGGGCACAAGCAAGGCGGAAGCCCCTGCTTAGCTGGGAGCGGGGGCAGAGCCCTCGTGCCCTCCCGAGGGCCGGGCTATGTTTCTGTTCCTGGGGGACATGCAGATTTGCCTCCCATGGAGCACCCTCCAGGAGGGGGGCCCTCCCAGGAGCTGGGGCAATGGGGACCTGGAGTGGACTCGGGGCAGGTGGTGGCCTGAGGCTGGCCCTGAGGGCCTTCACCCTCCCAGACATGGGCCCTGGTTGGGTCGCTGGTCAGGGTGCCGCGGCGACCCTCCTGGCCCACGCGTGCCAGGCGAGTGGGTTTGTGTCCCTGTCTGGGCTCTGTCCTGGCCCTGGGTCTGGGTCTTGGGAGGGCCCCAGCAGCAGCTCTGGGTTGCCTGGGCAGGTTCAGTGGCCATGGTCCATCCTGTTGCCACCACTTCTGGCACAGACATGTGCCAAGGAGCCCAGTTGGGGAGAAACACGACGTGTTGGGTGATTCATTCTGGGTCAGGTCTGGCCCTTTTTGTTTCAATGGTCTTGGTCCAGTGTCCATGGTGCAGGGCAGCTCACAGACATTCGGGAGGGAGGCGGAACACACCCTGGCTCTCAGCTGCCCTCGACTTGGCGGTCAAGACGCTGCGGCCGGGCGTGCGGCCGTGGGGAGCCGTGGGCGCCGGCACATCTGCTCGCCGGCATGCAGTGCTGGTCAGGGCCCACAGGCCGCTGTGTGCATTCTGAGTGCCGAGCTGTATTCCAGGCGGAGCGGCTAGTCCAGTGCTCCCCGCCCAGGTCTGCCCGCCCTCCTGCGGCCTCCGTGCTGCCGTCCCGTCCCGTGGTGAGCCTGGGTCGCGCTGTGTGGGCTCAGCAGGCGAGCCTGTGTCTTTCCAGGCAGACTTCAAGCTGATGTGCGACAACGCCATGACGTACAACCGGCCGGACACGGTCTACTACAAGCTGGCCAAGAAGATCCTGCACGCTGGCTTCAAGATGATGAGCAAAGTAAGGGCCGCTGCCCGCGGGCGGAGAGTGTCCGTTCCACGCCACAGCCTCACTCGCCGACGCTGGTCCGCACCATTCTCCTGCCCCGCCAGCCCGCGGGGTGCACCCAGCTCTAGGCTAGCTGCCCCCTGCCGCCTGCTCTGGCTCCTGCCCTGCTCTGCGTCCCCGCCAGGGCCCCAGCCAGTCCTGAGCCTGGGCGTCCAACCATCAGATTGCAGCCAGACCGGCGGGTCTGTGTGGTCTCTTCCCTGAGCCAGACAGGCCTCCCGATCTGCCGGGGTCGGGCCCACGTCCCCACGTAGACCAGACATGGCCAGTGGCCGCAGAGGTCCCTCCCGCTCTGGGGCTGGTGCTGGGCAGCCTGGGCGCTGAGCCCGCAGGTGGGCGGAGGCAGGGGAGCTGCAGCCACCCCACCGCACGCTTCGCCGGGCGCTGCGGGGCAAGGCCGAGCCTGCTCTCCTCTCTGCTTGCAGGAGCGGCTGCTGGCCCTGAAGCGCAGCGTGTCGTTCATGCAGGACGTGGATTTCTCTCAGCAGGCAGCGCTTCTGGGCGGCGAGGACGCAGCCGTCGAGGAGCCGGTGCCCGAGGCGGTCCCCGTGCAGGTGGAGACCGCCAAGAAGTCCAAGCGGCCGAGTAGAGAAACTATCAGGTAAAGGGGCACCGTGCACGGGGGGAGCCGCACCTGCGTGGGCCGGCCAGGCCCTTCAAGCAGCGTCTGGCACCCAGCGGGCCACCTGGGCCAGGGCCTCCCCGCGGGCGTCTGTGGGGCCTGGGCTGCTGCCCGAGCCCTCGTGACTGCCCTGCACCCCACTCTCCCAGGGCCCACAGGGCAGGGAGCCTGCAGTGGGGTGAGTCCTGGTCTCTGCACTCCCGTCCCAGTGCTGTGGGTGCCAAGCGAGGGCGTGACTGCCCGGTGCTTGGCCCCACCACAGGGAGGACCTACCCGCTCCCCGAGCTTGCACAGAGGCCACCGCCAGCCCTTGGGGTCTGTGCTGGGCTTCCTGGTGGTGCTTCTGGGGATGGTGCCATCACTGCTAACACGTTCTGCAGCCCCTGAGGTGGCGGGAGCCCGTACAGTGCCCTTTGCTGCCGGGGCTGCCGTGGTGACCGTGTCTCTGCCTCACAGTTGCGTGTTTGAGCCGGAGGGCAATGCCTGTAGCCTGACTGACAGCACGGCTGAGGAGCACGTGCTGGCGCTGGTGGAGCACGCCGCCGACGAGGCCCGGGACCGTCTGGACCGCTTCCTCCCAGGTGGCAAGGTAGCACCTGCCCGCGCCCCCCACCCCTCCACCCCCGCCCCCGTCCCAGGCTGCGGGGTCTCGGGCGAGGCCAGGCCAGCTCAGTGTGGGGTGGTGCCTCTGGCCGCCCGCTGACTACCCGCCAGGCTAACTGGCAGGCAGGAAAGAGCCCCGAAAAACTGTGGCGAAAGAGGGTGCAGGAAGGGGAGCCGCCCCAGTGGGTGAGGGCGCCTGGCGGGGCAGCTCCACTTGTGTGGGCGGGAAGCAGGACTGGGTCGGCCTGAGAGAGCCTGGCGGTGCGAGCTGTGAAGTCCGGGGGCCCCAGCGTCCTGTCTCTGCCCTGTCCTTTGTGGTGGTTCTCGCAGCGGCTGCGACCATAAGAGCAGCAGGGATGGGCAGGGCCAGGAGACGTTGTTGCCCCTTGGGAGCCCGCCTGCCGGGCCCTCCCCCAGCTGGCCCCGTCCTGCCTCTTGGCGCCTGCAGCGCGGTGGTGCTCTGACCCCGTGGGCGGCCTGGGTGGCTGGTCCTCAGCAAAGGGCCCATCCTGTGTCCTCTTGTGGCAGAGGACTAGGTCCCTGCCCAGCATCCCCTGGGGAGCGTGGGTTCCCACGCTGCTGCCCCCGCCTTGGGGTCGTCATGACGAGGCCACCATGGCAGTCCTGACGCCCCTGACAGGACTGTCCGGGATGCCCAGCGAGGGGCTCGGCCCTCCCCATGCCGTCCGCTGTGCGGGAAGAGCCCGCAGTGGCATCCAGATGCGGTCCTGCCTGTCTGGTGTTACAGGAACTGGGCGTGCTGTCACCCTCCGAGCCTGCTCCCTCCTGGGTGCCTCAGGCCTCTCTGTCCTTTCAGCTTGGGGCTCGGCGAGTACTCAGCATCCCGCTGCTGCCCCGCGCTCAAGTCTGAGCCGCTGCTCTCTCCTGGACACCCGTGCTGCCACTCATGGCGCCACCGCCCCAGCCCTGGGGCCCACATGGTTACGGGGATACATACCCTTGGCATGCGGCCAGCTGTCGCTGACCAGGGGTGACCCGCTGCCTTGCAGATGGGCTACCTGCGGAGGACCGGGGAGGGCAGCCTGCTGTACAGCGTGGTCAGCGCCGCAGAGCCCGACGCCGATGGTGGGTGCTCCCCCCCGCCCACCCTCCCTCCCCCCCCCCCCATGCACCGCCCTGGCTTTCGGTGGCTGCCCCTCCCCGGAGCTTTGGGGAGCCCCCGTGCAGCTTGGCGCAGGAGGGCCACATGTCTCGGGTAGAGCAGCTGCCGAGTGACGGGTGCCCACGGCCAGCCTGGCACGTTGGGGCCTCCTGCCACGCCGTGGCTTGGCTCATGGCGCCTGTGCTCTTGCAGAGGAGGAGACACACCCGGTGGACCTGAGCTCCCTGTCCAGCAGGCTGCTCCCCGGCTTCCCCGCGCTGGGCCTCAAGGATGAGCGCCGGAGCAGAGGTAGGTGGGCGTGGCTGCCTCTTCCCAGGGCCCCGCTGGGGGCCAGGGGCCGCCTATTGGACGGGGGCTGTGGTGGCACCTCCCTGGCTCTTCGCCACACGTGCCCCACCCCAGGCTCAGCTCCCTTTGTCCTGGCACATCCACCAAGCTACGGATGGGCGGGGTTGCCTGCAGATGCCCCAGTTCCTGGGGCCAGAGAGGGGCTGCTGGTGTTGGCCCCGGCGTCCACGGCCGGCACTGGGGTCAGGTCCCCGGGCTGGGCCCCGCGCATGGCGCTCACACACTGGACGCAGTGGGGCCGCGGGGCTGAGCCTGGCTCCCCCTTGCAGTCACGTTCCTGTCCAGCGCCAGCACCGCGCTCTCCACGCACAACAACTCCGTCTTTGGCGATCTCAAGGCCGAGGAGGCCGAGCTGCTCTACTCGGCCTACGGGGACGAGACGGGCGTGCAGTGCGCGCTGAGGTGAGCCCAGCTCCCGCCTCGGGCAGTGCTGGGCACAGACACGCCAGCCTGTGGGGCCTGGGGTCCCGGGGGCACTGGCCTAGCTGTTGCCCCTGCAGCCTCCAGGAGTTCGTGAAGGATGCCGGGAGCTACAGCAAGAAGATGGTGGACGACTTGCTGGACCAGATCACAGGCGGGGACCACTCGCGGGCGCTCTTCCAGCTGAGGCAGGTGAGCGCCGCCCCTCCAGCCGCTCCTCCCGTGTGGACACTGTCTGCTGACGGGCCCTGCCGACGGCCGGCGCATGCGCCCTGCCAGCCCGCCCCCGCTGCGCCCTCTCCCCGCCCTCCGGCGCCCGCCAACCCCGCATCTCGGGAGGGCTCTCGTGCCTCCCTGGCCCGCGTGCAGCCAGCGCTGCCCTGCTCAGGTCCTGCGGTCACCCCGCCCGTCTCTGGGCTTCGGCTCTGCTCCGCCAGGGCTGAGGGCTGGCCGGCTCGTGCACGTCGCCAGGCCTGGCCCTTGCTCCGGCCCGCCGGCCCTGCGTGTGGCGTCTCCGGCGCGGTGGGCGTGCCAGGCAGCGCGTGACCCTCGAGTCCCCACAAGCTGGCGCTTCCGCTTCCTCCCGGGGGTCTGCTGGCCCCTTCCTGAGAGGGCGCCTGGCCAGAGGGCGCGGGCCGCAGCACGAGCGCGTCTCCTGGGGAGGGGACTCGGAAGTCACGGCCACGGTCCTCTTCCTGCCGGGAGCCGTGAACTCCCGACGCGCGTGTCTCCGTGTCCTCTTGAGCGCTGGGAGCCGGGCCTGGAGCGGGCCGAGCCCTTTGCGGTGGGCGGCAGGCAGCCAGCCCCTCGCTCTCCCACTGCTGGCCATTCGGGGCTCCCAGGTGGAGCTGCCCCCACGTCCCCTCACCGTCACCCCCTCGTGGCAGCCACGGGGGCAGCGTCCCTGCCGTGCCCCCCCACCTCACCCTCGGGGTTCTGCCCAGCACCCCGTGGAGCTGCCCCCTGTGTCCCCTGGCCCGTCCCCGTCTGCCGCAGCTGGTGGGAGCAGGGCCCTGGGCCTGGGGGGAGGTGGGGATGCAGCCCGTCCCCCGGGCGAGTCCCAGCAGGGCCCCCTCCCGCGTGCTCTGTGTTGCAGAGGCGGAGCGCCCCCGGCGAGCCCTCGGGTGACGCGAAGGTGAGTCCTGCAGGCAGCCGCGCGTGGGGCCTCCGGGGAGCGTGCTCCCGGCGCCTCATTCGGGGTGGGAGAAGTCAGGGGTGCCACGGGGGGTAAGCTGGGTGAGGCTGGCCCACCCCTGGGGGCAGTTCTGGAAGGCTGGGCGGCCAGCCGGACGCGGCGGTCCTGCTCACGGCGGGCGTGGCGGCCGCCTGTGCTCCCCGCCTTGTCTGTGTCCCGCCGGCAGGTGGGGGACTCGCTGGGAGACGGCAGCTCCGTCCTGGACTTCATGGCGGCCAAGCCGTATTCCGACGTCTCCCTGGATATCTCCATGCTGGGCTCTCTGGGTAGGTGGTCACGCGCCCCCGTGGCCCCTACCCTGCTGGGCCGGCTCAGCACCAGGGGGCAGCCCTGTGCCCCCGGGATGTGGCCGGCCGCCCAGTGGCCGTGAGCTGAGGGCCACTGTCCCTGGACCTTCCTGTGGCCCCAGACCCTTTCCTGGGTCTCCCAGCGACACCAGGCACGACTGGCACCTCCGGGCTGCACGCCCCGCCCCCACTCCCGCGTCTGAGCCCCTGTCGCCCAGAACGCTCCCCACTCCTCCAGGTGCAGCCGCATCTCCAGCTCTTTGGTGTCGCTCTGGGGGTGCAGCAATGCACCCACACCCCTTGGGCAGCGTGGCCCAGGTCGCGGGGTGAGGCAGGAGGGGTGCCAGGGGCCTGGGCTTGGGTGGTGGCATGGCTGTGGTGGGCACCGCGGGGCCTGGAGCTGATGCCCATGTGCAGGCAAGGTGAAGAGGGAGCTGGAGCCGGAGGACGGCCCCCTGAGCCTGGACGAGACGGCCCGGCTGCTGCAGGACCTGCAGGGGGCGCAGGCGGAGCGCGGGGGCTCCCAGCCACCCTCCAACCTCAGCTCACTGTCCAACGCCTCCGACCGGGAGCAGCAGCACCTGGGTAGGCCACCCCGGGGTCCCACCTGTGGTCCCCACGGCCCTCCCCCAGGCGCTGCCCGCTCCGCCCTCCAGCGGGCCGGTGGCACCTCACACCGGGCCAGGCTGTGCGTGCGCTGGCGGAGGCCGTGGACACGAGGGCTCAAAGGCTCAGATGGGCCTCGGCTCCCGGTGCAGCCCAGCAGCCCCTGGGCCGAGCTCCCCAGAGTCCTGCTGGGCTGGCGCAAGGCCTCCCTTGGCGGGGCCCCGCGCACTTGAGAGTGGTGGTCAGTGCGTTCCTCTGCCCAGCTGCTCCTTGCCTTGTAGGCCGCGGTGGTGCGCTGGCCTAGGGGTTGCGGCTGCTGAGGCCCAGGTGCTGAGGGTGGCAGCACAGCTGCTACCGTCCGATGCCCGTGGCGGGGCTGGTTGGGGCAGGGCTGGGCACCCTGCAGGGCGGCTGCCGGGGGTGGGACACAGTGGACTGGGGAGGGCCCAGGGTGAGGTGTCCCCCCGCTGTTGCAGGGAGCCCTTCACGCCTCAGTGTCGGGGAGCAGCCAGAGGCGACGCATGACCCCTACGAGTTCCTCCAGAGCCCGGAGCCTGCCGCCCCTGCGAAGAGCTAGCGCCAGCCCGACCCCACGCTCGGGCGCCCGTGGCAGCGAGAGGACACAGGAGCCGGCATGGCCCGGCCCTCTGAGGTCGGGGTCGCCTGCCCACGCGCTGCCCTGCAGGCGGGCGGGTGTCCTCCAGCCCCCTGTGCTCTGCCCGCTGGTGCCAGCCACACTTCTGGGGCAGGTGGGGCCGCCAGGCAGGCCGCAGGGCTGCCGCCTCCTGATGGGCTGGCACTGCGTCCACACGCGACCCTCGGCCCGCCTGTCTCGACGCCCGTTTGCTTGTAAAATGCGCGGGTTTTAATAAAGACGTGCAGCGCGTGCAGTGTGGAGCTCGCGTGCGCGGCGGCTTCCTGCCCTCTGCTGTCCTGTCCACATCAGCTGGGCCTGGGCACCCACAGCTCAGGCCCCGACCCGCGCAGCCCCACACTGCCCCTCCCGGCTGCCCACACGGTCGTCCGGACTGGCTGAGGCCCCGCGACTCTTGGCTGATGAGGGACGTGGAAAAGGGAGTCTTGCCTGGTCGGGACAAAAGGCCTTGGGGGTGCTCATTGGAGCCCAGGAATGTGTCCCCAGGCTGCAGAGTTGGGCCTGGACCCTGCAGCTGGCCCTCTGCGGCCTTGGCCCCCGCCCTGCCCGTCCCTGCAGGGAGGCTGGGGCCTGGGGCAGCCTCAGCCTCAGGGCTCCCTGGCACCGCCACTGCCTGAGCCCCACAGCAGCGGGCCAGGGTGGGCTCGAGTGAGACCCGAGAGTGGCATGAAAAAGTTCCAAGATGGGCGGTGCTGGGCCACTGGGCTGCAGTGGGAGGCGCTGCTGCCCGCCGCCCCAGCCAGTGGGGGTGGGAGGGACGCCCTGCTGGTGTTGGCCTCGGGGACGCCACGCTGGCCTGGGGAGACGGGACAGGGCCTCCAACCCAGGCCCCTTTCTGGAGTCGTCGAGGTAGCCGCTGACGGGAACGCGAGCAGCTCAGCAGCATTGGGCACTTCCGCCACGCCCCTGGTGCTGGAACATTCCGTGTCGGCAGCCACCGGCGCTTCCTGGCCCTGGTGCCCACCCCACTCGGCCTTTGGGTGTTGCTGAGACTCAGGGCAGGTGCTGCCCAAGGTGCCCGGGTGTGACCTGACCCTCGGCCGTGGCACCTCGGACAACGGCCCGCCACAGCGCTCTGCTTCCGAGATAACTTGAGAAGCTGGGAAGTCAGACCCTGCTCCCCCCGAGAAGCCTCGGGGGACACAAGAGTGAGGACCTGCCGCCTTCAAGGGTCTCAGGAGCCAGGACGGGGACCCGTAACCTGCACCGTGGCCCTCCCGGGGCTGCTCGGGCAGGGCGGGCAGTTGGTCACTGCCGCGCTGGGGAGGCGGGCCGGGGCCCCAGCCGTCCTATGCACGTCCAGCTCGCGCCTGCAGCAGCGACAACTTGGGCTTCCCCGTCGCCGCCGGCCCAGACGAGCTCGCGCCCACCAAGACGGCCGGGCCACGGGCGGGCCTTGGGGCGGGCGGAGATGGCAGGCGCAGGCTGCCTGCTGCTCAGCCCCTGGCGGAGACTGGGAAGAGCCGAGAGGTGGCGCTGCGTGCCCAGCCCCCTGCCTGACGGCCTCTCCGTGGCTGGTGCTGCCATCGTGGCCTGGAGGGTTGTGCCAACGCCAGCCCAGCTGGCCAGTGGCTCTGGCTGCCAATAGCGTCAGCGGGAGCGGCCAGGGCCCTGCTGGCCCCTCAGTCCAGGGCCCAGCCCACCCAGGCTGTGACCCGAGCCCCAGGGGTCCGGAGCCCCGATGGGTGTGTGACGAGGGCGGTTCTGCCCCACACCGACAGCTTCATGGACGGCTTCACAAACAGCTGCATGGACACAGGCCCAGGCTGCCCAGCTGCCCCCTCCGGGCTGCTCTGGGGCCCCTCCCCTCCTGCTAGGATGAGGCCCCCTCTGACCAGGAGCCGCTGCCGGCTGTCGGAGGCACAGCTCCAGGCCTCTGCAGCTCGAGCCCTGGTCCTGGTGGGTCTGGCCTCGCACCTGGAGGGCACCACACTGCTGCCTTGCGGGGTCCTGGGGGGCACAGGCCAGGCTGCATCGCACCCGCCATGCAGGCCGCCCAGTGCCCATCTGGTCTGGCCATGGGCACCTGGGCCTTCACCTCAGCCGGACGTGGCTTTGGGGCAGGGGTCAGTGTGGGCTCGTGTCTGCTCAGGCCCACCCACAGGTGAGGCCTCGGGCCCTGGTCCCTCATCCCCGGGGCCCGAGGTGGGGACTCCCAGGAGGCCACCTGGGCCCTCTCCACTCCTGTCCTCAACCCGCAGGTTGTCCGGGAGCCAGGCCTCCCTGTGCAGGCCCCCCCACCGCCCCTCAGGCCAGGCCGTTGGCAGGAGACAGGCTTGGGCAAGCGACACTGAGCAGGACAGACGTTGGCCTGGACGCTGCCCACTGGGTAGCAGGCGGCAGCCCTGACTGGCGGGAAGACCCCCACCCTGGCCATCCCACCGGCGGCCCTGGTGCCCGCTGCACCCCCCGGACCTCTCCTCAGCAGCAGCCTGGCCTCCACAGTCCTGTTGGTGCCGCTCACCCTCCCCTCCCCGAGGCCTGTGGGGGGCCATGTGTGGGGGCCTCAGATGGGGTCCTGGAAGCAGGACTCCTTGAGCTGCTTGCACAGCCTTGTTGGCCGGCTCAAAGGGGACCCTTGGCGGCACCCCCGCCTGCGGAGCTCACAGCAGGAGCCAGAGGCAGGTCCAGCCTGCCCTGGCACTGAGGCCCCTGCTTGCCCGCTCCTGGGCGGGGAGGGCCAAGCACCCAGCTAGGGGCAGCAGCTCCCGGCCAGAACTCAGCCAGGAGGGTGGAGTCCGGCCCCTCCCGAGCCCCGGCCTTTGTGACGCTGCTGGTGTCCTCACTGCTATGGCAACCAGCACAGCTGCCCGAGGCCCACACTGACCACGCCAGGAGATTGTCAGGTGGTGGAGGTTGCAGGTGCTTGGCACACCTGGTGATTCGGGCCCTTCCGCCCTCTGTTCTGATCGGAACCTGCTTGGTATCCGCTTCTGTGAGGTCCGTGCTGGCCCGCGCAGGACAAAGGGCCGCGTGCGATGGCGTGGCCGCCCTGCCCACGGTCACTGGAGCGGCCCTGACGGGGCAGGGCCGGGGTCAGGCTCAGGGAGCTGAGGGGCACTGCGTGGAGAAAGGCAGATGGCGGCCCTGGGGGGCGGGGTGGGGGACAGACTGGCGGTGGGGGTCCGAGTGGCTCCTGTGCCTTCCCAGGGGCCGCCACCTGACCGGCCCAGGCACGGCTGCTGGGCCTTGTGGGGGGCGGCGGCGGCAGGCCTGGCCAGTCCGGCCCTCGCAAGGTCTCCCCTGCACGGCTCACACTTGGTGAAGGGCTCACGTGGGCTCTGGGGGGGTGGCAAGCATGCCCCTGCGAGGGGTGGGGTGCCTGGCCTGTGCCCGGCGTCCAGCCCACCCCCTGCCCCGCAGGCCCTGCATACCCAGGAGTCCGCACGCCCGCACACGCGCACCGGCACTGCCGGGCAGAACGCTGGCCATGGGCCTCCAGGTATGTGCCCTGGGTCTGCAGGGCTGCAGGCCCCGTGGTCGCGCCACCTTGCCAACGTGGGCCTGGCTGGCCATGTACCAGGCCGAGCCCAGTGGGCTGAGGGTCACCCGCCCCCAGTCTCGGGCGGCTGACGGGTCGGCCTCTCCCCGGGGCTCCGGTCCCGCCCACACGCTCTGTCCCGCAGGGTCTCTGCTGCAGGCCCCCGAGGCGGACGGCCCTGGCCGAGGGGGCTCCCGAGGTGCGCCACGCCGGCCCGCCCGTCTTCTCCAGGGTGAACGGCTGGAGCCGGCCCATCCACCCCCTGCAGCTGGTGCACTGGGCCGCCTTCCTGTTCGTGGGGGCGGTCACCTTTGGGACCTTCCTTCCCCTGCTGCCCGGAGGCTGGAAGGTCTTCGGCTACTCTGTATCCTTTCCCGGGTGCTCCCCAGGTCGCCCCGGCCTCCAGTCCCCCGCGCCCCTGCCCACGGCGGGCCTCAGCGCGCAGGGCCACCTCGCCTCACGGCACAGAGGCAGGGCCCTGCGCCGCACGCCCGCTCCCCCTGGCGAGGACCTCGGCTCTGCGTCCCTCACCCAGCAGGTCAGCGGGAGTCCGCGTGGGCCTGGGGCCCTCTGAGCCCGCGCCTGCGGCTGGCCAGCGGGGCCGCGCACTCACGGAGGGCCCTTGCCCAGGGCTCGCCCGGTGCCCTGTGTCCCGCGCTCCCCTGGCCCTGGGTGGTGTGCGGGCGCCGCTGCGGGCAGGACCGCGAGGGTATGCGGGGCCGGTGGAGCGGCCGCAGAGGCAGGGCCCGGAGGAGGGCCTTCCTGCAGGGAGCTGGCCTCCCGCCGCCCCCCCACCCCGGCGCCGACCCCCAGGTCCTCCAGCAAGAGGGGCCCCGCAGGTGGGCCCAGCCCCGCCCCACGACTGACGGGCTCTGTGAGGATGGCAGTGTTGGGGGGTGGGGGGCCACGAGGGGCCTTGATTTTGCTCTTGGAGCCCTGAGAGGCCCCGGAGCCCTGGGGGTGCTCCCACTCACCCTGGGGCTCCCGGCCGGCTCAGTCAACCCTCCCCCTGCTCTCTGGGGCGCATGTCCTCTTCCTGAGCCACACGCGCCCGGTGTCCAGCATCCCAAGGGCCCAGGCCTCTGGAGGCCAGCGGGTGCCGCCCTGGCCTCTGCCCAGCCCGCGGTGGGCCTCCCTTCCCCTGGGGGCCGCTCTCGGGCCGGGCCTGTCCCGCTGGCCACGCAGTCCCGCCACGGCTGCCCGGGGGGGGGTTGTCCTGCGCACTGGCCCTGGCCAGGGCCCGGCGGGCCCCCGTGTGCCGCCCAGGCCCAGCTGAGTGCTCCTTGACGCGCCGCAGGCGGCCGGCGGGCTGTTCCTCCTGCACCTGGTGTCCTACCTGGCGGCCGTGTCCCTCGACCCCGCGGATCCCAGCGTCAGGGTGGGGAAGGACTACGCGCAGCCCATGCCCTTCTTCAACAGGGCCGGGCACCCCCACGTCATCGACAACCAGTACTGCCTGCTGTGCGAGGTCGCCGTGTGAGCGCCCGCCCCCGACCCCCCCCCCCCGCGGGCCCCGGCAGGCCGCGCCTGCAGCGACTCCAGCGCCCGCGGGGCTGGGGGGAGCCCAAGGCAGGGGGGCCGCGCTCTGCCCCCCACACAGGCTGCTGACCCAGCCCTTCCCCAGGAGCCCGAAAGCCAAACACTGCAGCGCCTGCAACAAGTGCATCGCGGGCTTCGACCATCACTGCAAGTGGCTGAACAACTGCGTCGGGAGCCGGAACTACTGGTGAGGGGCCTGGGGCCGGGGGAGGGGGCTCTGGGGGAGGGGGGGAGCCTGGGGGGGCCTGGGGGAGGGGGTTGGGGGAGGGGGAGGAGGGGGCCCCCAGGGGTCCCTGGGGAGGGGAGGGGCGGGGTGGGGGCGGGGCCCCGCCCCCACCTTTGTCTGTGCTGACGGGCATCCGTGGAGTCTTTCCCGGGCACCCGGGGCCTCCCAGGACTAACCCGGAGCCCCTGGGAGGGCCCGAGGGACGCCCCGCGGGAGACCCCTGCGGTGGCCTCGGGCGGGCGTCCCGCCGCAGGGAGCTTTGCTCAGTGCGTGTCGGCTGCCGGGACAGACGCAGCCTTGGGGGCACAGGGGACACGAGGGGTGGGGAGGCCTGCGGGTGGCCACTGGCCGGCTGCTGCCGCGCCCCCCGTGCCCGTGTGGGGAGGTGCAGAGCCCTGCCCAGCGGGTGTGTGGCGCTGCCCCCGCCAGGGCTCCATCCGCAGGGGGTGACCCAGTCCCGCGTGTCTGCAGGGGCGCCTGGCCCCTGGCCCGGAGAGAGGACACGCGCCCCGCCCCCGGGTGCTGCCGTGGCCTCGAGGCCGTGTTGCCGTCACCGCAGGACCCTGCCAGCCCCTCCCCGGGGGACACCGTGGGGGCCGCGGGGTGTGGTGCTCAGGGCTCCCGTGCAGGTCCCAGGACGTGGGCCGGGAGCCCCGCCCCCAGGCAGCTGCCCGCCCGCAGCCAGGAGAGGTCAGTGGGGAGAAGGGCCGGGAGGCCTGCGGTGCCTGCCCATCAGACGCTGGACGGCGGGACTGCCATGCCGGGATGTGGCTGCTGAGTCCTGGGGAGCACAGCGTCCAGCCCCCACGAAAGCAGTTGAAGGACGAGACCCGGGGCCTCGGGGGCACGTCCCTGAGCCCCATCCCACCCTCTGCCCGTCCAGCAGCCGAGACGCAGGGCCTGGGTGTGGCCGCTGGGGACCGCGCCCCCCAGCCTGTGGCTCTGCGGGCACGGGGTCAAGTGCCTCGGGGTCCACCTCTGTGTGGGCGCAGCCCACTGAGCCTGCAGGCGGCCGAGGCCCCTCAGGGACCGGCGGCTCTGTGGCCGGTGGGAGGGGCAGCGTGTGGAGCCCAAGGGCTCACACCAGGGCCGTCCACTCAGTGCCCACAAACCCCAGCCCGGGCCGGGAGCCCGGGGCGCACCCCACGATTCAGAGCACCTGTGGGGGCTGTGGGGGCTACCATGCCAGCCTCGGATTCCCTCTGCTCGCCTGCGGGCCCGTCCTCCCAGCCTGGCCGTGGGGGTGAAGATGGGCCGGCGGTGCCCGCGGCCCTGAGCCAGCCCTCCCCACAGGTCCTTCTTTATCTCGGTGGCCTCGGCCTTTGCCTGCCTGCTGGGCCTGGCCCTGGTGATCCTGTACACCATCATCCAGTACTTGGTTGACCCCAGCCCCCTGCGCACGGACGCCCACTACGCAGGTGCGTGGCCGCCCGGCGGGCCCCGGCTCCTGGGGCGGGCGCGGGCTACGGACACAGGCCGGGCCAGCAGCCGTCCGCTCCGGCTGGGGCGGCAGCTGCACCCCTGCAGACGTGCCCTCTGGCCAGGCTGTGGACAGAGGTGACGACCTGGGTTTGTGACTCCAGAAGACTCCAGCGTGTCCTCGGGATGCTCTGCGTGAATGGGGGGGGATTCACGCCCCCACTCGGGACGGACGCGGCTGAGGCCCCGCAGCTGGCCCTGCCCTGTGCCTGCGGAGCTGCCGCCCCAGGGCCCCCGGCCCTGCCCGCACACCCCCGCGCTGGCCACAGGGTGTGGCAATGGCCCCCAGCATGTTTTCCTTGATACCTGACTCTGGGAAGGAGCCTCTGGCCACAGAGAACTGGGCACCAGTGGTGGTGCCGCCTCCCTGCGGCCCCGGAGCAGCTGGTGGAGCGCGGGCAGGGCCTGCAAGCGGGGGAGGCGGGCCCTGGCAGAGGGCCAGCGGTGACCAGGGCACTGAGCCGCCCTCGCCCGGCGTCCCCGCCCCCAGAGGGCCAGGGTGAGGCGGGCCAGGGCCCGAAATGGGCAGGGTCTGGCCTGGGCACAAGGCTGCCCCTCCTCACGTGGCCCTGCCATCCAGCCCTGCCCAGGGATGGCCCGGCAGGCTGCGTGGTCACTCCTGGTCTCTGCAGGTGTTGACAGCAGCATGTGGCTGCTGTTCCCCCAGCTGCTCCCCACGAAGATGACAGGCATGGTGCTGCTGACCATCTCCGTGTCCATGCTGCTGCTGGACTGCGTGGGCCTCCTGCTGCTCGGACACCTGTTCTTCTTCCACCTTTTCCTGAGTACGTGCCCAACGCCCAGCCTTGGGGTCGGCGCAGCGGGCAGGGAGCGCAGGGCCTCAGAGACAGCGGTGCAGGCGGGTGGGAGGCAGGCAGAGGTGGGAGAGCAGGCGTCCAGGAAAGTGCCTCATGGGGACCTTGCTGGGGGGCGTCAAAGTCCGGGGCTGGGTGTCCACGGAGGGCAGGGCTGGGACTGCGCCCTCTGGGGCTGAGTCGCGCTGCCTGTGGGGGATGACACGTAGGCTCTGGGCGCTGCCCAAGCCCGGGGTTGGGCCCTCGCCTTCCCAGGCCAGGGGCCCTGCCGGCCGGTGCAGCTGGGGGCTGAGCCCAGCAGGGTGGGCCGACTGCACGACCAGGCCCTGGGGAGTTGGCCAGGGTGGGGGCCCACAGGGCCAGTGCATGGGGGCACCAGTGACCTGGCTGTGCCGGGTTGGCCCGGGCCCCGACAGGGTGCCCAGGGGAGCCACCAGCCCACACAGAGGCCCTTCTTGCGCCCGCACACGCTGCCCAGGACATGTGACCAGCATCTCCGGCTGGGTCCCGGGCGGGCAGGTGCCCTCAGCGGGACTGGGGCACAAAGTACCAACTAGAGTGTCATTTGGGGTGGCCGCCCCTCACGACCAGCCCAGCAGTGACCCCTGGTGCTCCCCCAGCACCTGGCAGCCACAGCCTGGTGCCCAGCCGTGCGGCCCCTCCAGCGACGGCAGAGCGCTCTGGGGCTCCCTTCCCGGGGCCGGCGGTGCGAGCACTCACGGAGGGGCATCACAAGGGCAGTGGCCGCTGCCGCGGGGCCTGGACTGAACAGAGGGGCCTCCATGGGCTCGGCCCGGGCATCCCGGCGGGGCCACCACCTGCCGCTCCCGCTGGGAATGGGCTTCTGGGGAGGCCCCTCATGCCCGGAACAGTCACGGCCTCTGTCCACGCAGTCCCCCAGGCCTGGGTGCCTTGCACCGTGCCGGGCACCTGGGCCATCCTCCGTCCATGCCCGCTGCACCCACCTGGGTCTCAGGGCACCGTGGCGAGTGTCGGCAGGCGGCGCCTCCAGGGTGGGGGCTCCCCGTGCATCCCCCACTGGCCACAAGCCCTCTGGCCGTGCCCACGCCCACTCCGCCCCGAAGACTCTGACACAGCTGCCCTGCTGCCCACGAGAGGCCCCCAGATCCGGCCCTGACCCTGCTGGACATTAGGGCCTCACTCGGCCGGGGAGCAGTGGCAAGGACCCCACACGAGCCGAGCCCCGGGCAGGTGTCAGCAGCCTGGGCTCTGTGCGGCTGGCAGTGGTGGCCCCTCCGCTCTGTCCTTGCAGTGGTCAAGAGGATGAGCACCTTTGAGTTCATCACGCGGGGCCGCGAGAGGCAGACCCCGAAGGGCACCGGCAGGAACAAAGGCCCCCCCGACCCAAAGGGGCAGCCGCCGCAGGTACCCCCCGCCTTTGCCTGACTGGTGCCAGCTCGGGGCCTGGGGCCAGGCCGCTCCGCTGTCCTGTTAGCTGAGGCAGGGCCACGTGTGCGCAGGGCTGCGCGTGTGCTCACTCCACCTGCACGCCAGCCCCCCAGGCCGCCATTCTGTTTCCCGCTAAACTGGAGACGGTCGCTCTTCCGAAGGTTGCCGCCAGGAGAGCGGAAGTGTGCACCACAGCCCCCCACGGGCCCCCACAGCCCCCCACGGACTCCCACAAGCCCCCACAGGCCCCCAGCAGCCCCCACAGGCCCCTACACACACGACACAGACCCACACAGGCCCCCACAGGCCCCGCTTGCCACAGAGCACCCGCAGGGCCGGCTGGGAGAAACGCAGCCAGACGGGATGGCTGCGATCTGGCCCTGCGTCGGCCCAGGGGGGCCTGTGGGCGCATCAGCTGGTCAGAGAAGTTGGGCTACGCCAGGCCCGGGGGCAGCCCCGCCCTGCCCGCCACAGGCCTCAGCCGAGGCCCGAGGCCCGGGACGCAGGCTCCCCGCGGTGAGAGGGCGGGGACGCTGCCGGGGCCTCCACTCCGGCTTCTGGCCGCCGGCGTGCACGCCCCCCCCAGAGACGGAGGCCTGGGCTCCGCGGCGCCCGGGACGTGGGCCTTGCTCAGCCGCAGCAGGCGGCCGGGTCCATCCCAGTGCCAGTGCCAGTGCGGGCGCCGGGCACCGCCTGGGGTCATTTCCTCCTCCTCTTTCACCCCACAGCAAACAAAGAGCCCTCCACACTCGCCGGCCCCTGGGTAAGTCGGGGCACCCCCAGCCATCCGTGTGAGCCCAGCTCCCGTGGGCCATGCTGGCCCCCGCTCCCTCCCTGCCCGCCCACGGGGGTTTTGGCCCAAGGCTGGAGAACCCCGGCCCCTCCTGACACCCCAGGTTCCGGCAGCGCCAGGACAGTGCTCTCCAGCCTCACCCCTCAGGCCGGCAGCTCCCGTGGCGTCCTGGCGGCCATTCCCGGCTCCGGCGTCTTCCAGTCCCGCCTCGCTGGAGCGTGGGTGGAGAGTTGCGTTCCCGCGCACCAGCCCCACACAGAAGCGCCCCGGGGTGCTCCTCAGGGGCCTCCTAGGGGCCTGGCGGTGTGCCTCGCCGGCTGCCCAGCCACGGGGGGCGGGCGGCTGTGGGCTAGGCGTGGCTCCCAGTCTGCGCCCCGCAGGGCCACCTTGGCCTCCGGATCTGGGGGGGCTCCCTGCCACGGGTTATCGCTTGGGGGCCCCTGCTCCAGCCCGAGCTCCCCTCCGCTGCCCGGGTCCGCAGGCCCCGCTTGGCTCCTGCGGCCGTGGCCGGACTCGGCAGGGCTCGGGCAGTTGGGATGTCCTCATGCGGCGGGAGCCGCCCCAGCCCTGCCAGGACCGCGCATCCTGCGCTGACTGTGCCTCTCCCCTGCCAGAGGGAAGCCCCAGAAGTCCCGGGGGCCCTCCCGGCGCCCCAGCCAGAGTTCCTCCGGGGCTTTGCACTCCGGGGGCTCCTCGTCGCTGGAGGTCAGTGGACGCCCTGCCCCAGGCGGAGGCGGGAAGTGGACGGTGTCCACAGGGCCTCCTCCCAGATTCAGGAGGACAGCGCGTGGACGGTGGGGGGTGTGTGGCCTGTGTATGTGTGTGCGTGTGGGGTGCATGTGGCATGCGTGTGTGGAGATTGTGTTGTGTCATCACGACCTGATCGGGCCTGGGGCACCATCAGCCCCGTGGCCGTCCCCCGCACGCATCCCAGCTGGTCTACGGGTGCTGGGCCCCAGGACCCCGCCACGTGGCCGCCAGCAGTCAGCCTGGACAGTCCCTGAGGGGCCGTGGTCCTGCCTGGTGCCCCTGGGTGCGGCCCAGCAGGTGCCCCAGGGTGGGAAGGCCACACAGGCCCTGACGGCCAGTGGACATGGCCTCTGGGGCCAGCGCCCGCGGCCACTGCTCCCTCCGTTTCAGGCGCTGTCGACCTTGCCCTCGGAGGACCTTGGCGGCCAGCTGTGCTCACCCCCCGCGCTCTCGTAAGTGGGGTGTGGGGTGTGCCCCGCCGGGCCCATCCGGGAGGGGCTGCTGCAGCCGTCGGGCGCCTCCCTTGCTCGAGAGCTGCTGCCACCCCCGGCTGGTGCGGCCCATCTGCAGGCCGAGTGGGCGCCGAGGTGGGGTCCGGCCACCCTGGCCAGGCGGGGTGCGCCCGGCGGGCCCTGGCAGCCCAGCCCAGGGGTCTCTGCGGACGGGCGGGGCGGCCGCTTGGAGCTGGGGCCGCGGCAGCAGCCGTTTCCGGACCGTCCGGGCTGCAGGGCCTGAGAGTCCTGGGGCCCCTCTGGCACAGCTGCCCTGGCCCGGCCGCCGCCGTCCTGCGGGGTGCCCCCCCGGGATTCGGGCGACCGTGGCGGTTCCGGCCGGGCCCGAGCGCGGGTCGGCGGCCGCCGAGGGCCCGTGTGGCCAGGCACGACCGCGCCCGCGGGTCCGTCGAGCTGGCGAGCGGGTCCCCGGCCGGGCGGGTCTGCGAGGCGCGCCCCGGGGTCGCCGGCCCTGGCCGTGGGGACCGGCCGAGGGCGGGCACGGCGGGCCCTGACCGCCCCGCCGTCCGCGCAGGGCGACCTGGCGGCAGCGCCTGGAGCGGGCCTGCGGCGCCCTCGGGGCTCCAAGCTGACCCTGCGCGCGCACAGCGCCCCCGCGCTGCCGGTGAGGGGCGGGGCGGGCGGCGGGGCGGGGCGGGGCGGGGCGGGGCCGGGGCGGAGGGGGCGGAGCCTAGGCGGAGGGGGCGGGCCTGGGCGGGGCGGGCGGAGGGGGCGAGCCTGGGCGGCGGGGCGGGGCCTGGGCGGGCGGGCGGAGGGGGCGGGCCGGGGCGGCGGGGCGGTGCCTGGGCAAAGGGGCGGTGCCGGGGCGGAGGGGGCGGTGCCTAGGCGGAGGAGGCGGGCCTGGGCGGCGGGGCGGGGTCTGGGCGGGGCGGGCGGAGGGGGCGGGCCTGGGCGGCAGGGCGGTGCCTGGGCGGAGGGGCGGTGCCTGGGCGGGGGGCGGGCCTGGGCGGGGCGGGCGGAGGGGGCGGGCCTGGGCGGAGGGGCGGGGCCGGGGCGGAGGGGGCGGTGCCTAGGCGGAGGGGGCGGGCCTGGGTGGCGGGGCGGGGCCTGGGCGGGCGGGCGGAGGGGCGGGCCGGTGCCTGGGCGGCAGGGCGGTGCCTGGGCGGAGGGGCGGGGCCTGGGGCGCAGTGGGCGGGGCCTGGCGTCCCTCCCTGGGGAGGCTGAAGCGAGGAGCCCCTCGGGCACCCCCGGAGGCGCCGCAGAGGGTGTGGGGCCACGGGCGTGACCCCTCTGGCCAGCAGGGCCCCTTCGCGGGGCTGTGACGGTCTCGGCCCCGGCGCCGCCCCGCACCCCGCGGCCCGCCCGAGCCTCCGACGGCCGCGCTGCGTCCGGACCGCGGCGCGCGCCGCCCTGGCCCTTCGGGGCCGCCCGGCCCGCGGCGCCTCCCGCCGGCTGACCCGCGCGCTCGGGGCCGGCGCAGGACGCTGCTGTCCCCGCCTGCGCCGCGCCCTTTGCCCTTCGGCAGAGCAGAGCCGCACGGCGCGTCCCCTGCCGCCTCTCTGCCTTAGGTCGCAGAGAGTCGCCACCGAGAGGCAACATGTCCTGCAGGAGGAGGCAGGGCTGGACACCAGGACTCGGCTCCAGGTCAGGGCTGCAGGTCAGGGGCTCCAGGTCAGGGCTCCAGGTCAGGGCTGCAGGTCAGGGCTCCAGGTCAGGGGCTCCAGGTCAGGGGCTGCAGGTCAGGGCTGCAGGTCAGGGGCTCCAGGTCAGGGGCTCCAGGTCAGGGCTGCAGGTCAGGGCTGCAGGTCAGGGGCTCCAGGTCAGGGCTGCAGGTCAGGGGCTCCAGGTCAGGGGCTGCAGGTCAGGGCTGCAGGTCAGGGCTCCAGGTCAGGTGCTCCAGGTCAGGGCTGCAGGTCAGGGCTTCAGGGGCTCCAGGTCAGGGGCTGCAGGTCAGGGCTGCAGGTCAGGGGCTCCAGGTCAGGGCTCCAGGTCAGGGCTGCAGGTCAGGGGCTCCAGGTCAGGGCTGCAGGTCAGGGGCTGCAGGTCAGGGCTCCAGGTCAGGGGCTCCAGGTCAGGGCTCCAGGTCAGGGGCTGCAGGTCAGGGGCTCCAGGTCAGGGCTGCAGGTCAGGGGCTGCAGGTCAGGGCTGCAGGTCAGGGCTCCAGGTCAGGGGCTCCAGGTCAGGGGCTGCAGGTCAGGGCTGCAGGTCAGGGCTCCAGGTCAGGGGCTCCAGGTCAGGGCTCCAGGTCAGGGGCTGCAGGTCAGGGGCTCCAGGTCAGGGCTGCAGGTCAGGGGCTCCAGGTCAGGGGCTGCAGGTCAGGGCTGCAGGTCAGGGCTCCAGGTCAGGTGCTCCAGGTCAGGGCTGCAGGTCAGGGCTTCAGGGGCTCCAGGTCAGGGCTCCAGGTCAGGGCTGCAGGTCAGGGGCTTCAGGTCAGGGCTCCAGGTCAGGGCTGCAGGTCAGGGCTCCAGGTCAGGGGCTGCAGGTCAGGGGCTCCAGGTCAGGGGCTCCAGGTCAGGGCTCCAGGTCAGGGCTCCAGGTCAGGGGCTCCAGGTCAGGGGCTGCAGGTCAGGGCCTGCAGGTCAGGACTCCAGGTCAGGGGCTGCAGGTCAGGGCTGCAGGTCAGGGGCTGCAGGTCAGGGCTGCAGGTCAGGACTCCAGGTCAGGGCTGCAGGTCAGGGGCTGCAGGTCAGGGTTGTGCAGCCTGGTCGTGCTCGGGTCTCTCCGGCTTTGGCTCCTCGAGACCTAGATACTTGCTGAGGGGCCGAGGGGGCGGCGAGGGTGAGGACACGTGTGTTGAGTGACTGTGCTGTCCCGAGGCAGCGTGGTGCCAGGGCCACCATGTGTCCACCCGAGGCATGTCTTGCAGATGACCCTGGGTGTGGGGACCTCGGGTGCCAACCTCCCACTCACCCCCACACGGCAGAACCCCAGCCTAGTCATGCCCACAGCCCATGCTATGCCGAGCTTCTGAGGCCACGGGCCAGGGGGCCCAGGATGCCCGCCCTGTGGCAGAGGGGGGCTGGGCAGCCCCCACCTGCACACCCACCGCACACACAGGGTGCACCGCGCACACACACCACAGAAACCCCCTTCCTAGCCTCGGCCCTCTGGGCAGGGAGGGGGTGGGGAGCCTGCTGGGAGGGCCCCGCGCTGGACCCAGACCTGTCCCGGTGCTGCCCGGCGCTGCGTGTGGGCGCTCGTCAGGGCTCACAGGGGCCTCGCTTCCCTGCAGGAACCCAGGGGCCCCAGCTGGCGCTGTCCCTCTCCCAGAAGCTCTGCCAGGCTCTGCCGGAGAGGCTGGGGCAGCTGTTGCAGCACCACAGCCAGAAGGTTCTGCCCCTGAGGCCCCCGGACACCCCGCCAGGGAGCCCCGGCGCGGAGTCCACCACCATCTACATAATGGAGGAGTCGGAGTCCTCGTCCGGGGAGTTGTCGGGGGAGGAGTCGGGCCTCCAGGAGACGCACCCTCTCCAGCACAAACTGCCACAGCCTTCCAAGGAGGCAGCCGTGTGCATCCCTGCGCCGAACCGCCAGGCCGCTGCGGACCCATCTGCTCAGGGGGACACCGTGATCGACATGGCCTGGGCCCTGGGCCCTGCGGACAAGGTGGCGCCCCCTCGGCGGCAGCCATTCGGCCTGGAGCGGCTGCTCTGCTGCAGCCCTTGACGGGCGGCCCCTGCGCAGCCCACCCTGGCCCTAGGTGACTGTGGGTGTGGACATCGGAGCCGAGGACAATTCGGGTGGTGGAAGTTCGGGGATGGCCTGGGGCCTGCTTTCTGGATCACTGGGCGCCGCACTGGAGCCGCCGGCCCGTCTCTGCCTCACAGCGGGCCCATCCCTCTGGGCCGCCGGGCCTCCTGCCCCTCCAGCTGGCCTCCGGGCCGACCGTGGGTGTCACCCTGTGCTGCTGCAGGTGACCTGAGCGGGGCTCGGAGGTGCTGCTGCCCCCTCGGCCACCCCCCGCAGGTGCACCTGCAGCCTGGGGGCCTGGGCACCCTCAGGGCACGCGCCGGGCCCTGCGCCCACAGCCTCTGCTCTTCGGGAGCCCAGAGGCGCGCCCCGAGCGCGGGTTCTGGCCCCCGAGGCCCCGGTCGCCGCAGGGACCTGGAGGCGAGGCCGGCGCGCGCCAGTGTTCGTTGTTGGCCAGAAGGTCCCGCAGCTTTGCAGGAAATAGTGAGCGAAACGCCAGGAAGTCGGTCTCGCCGCGTTTTGATGCCTCGTCCTTTGGGCGGGATGTTGGGGGCCGGAGGGGCGTCAGGGCGGACCCCTTCCCTCCGCTCCCCGGGGCCTGCACCCCGCCCCGCCCGGAGACCGCGAGCGGGTGCCGGGGCGCGTGGGGCGCGCGGGGGCGGGGCGCGCGTGGGGCGTGGGGCGCGCGGGGCGGGGCGCGCGTGGGCGCGGGCGCGCGTGGGGCGGGCGGGGCGGGGCGCGTGGGGCGGGCGGGGCGCGCGGGGCCGCGGCCAACGAGCGCGCGGGGGCCGGGCCGGGGCGGGGCGGGGCGGGGCGGGGCGGGGGGGCGGCGGCGGCGCGAGCGCTTCCCGGCGCAGGGGCGCGCGGCGCAGTCGCGGAGGCGCCGCGGAGCGAGGCTGCTCGGAGGTAGGCGCCGAGCGGGCGGGCGGGCGGGCGGGCGGGCGGCGCGGGCAGGGCCGGGTCGGGCCGCGGCGCGCAGGGTCCCGCGGTCCCGGCCGCCCCTGAGCCCCGCGCGCTCTCGCGGCGGCGCAGCCTTGGGCCGGGCGGGCGCAGGTGCCGACGCGCCCCGCTCCTGCCCGGCGCCCCCGCCCGCCTCGCCGGCCTCGCCAGGGGCCCCGCCCGCCCCGCCCGGTCCGCGGCCGGCGAGCCCGCGGCGTCGGGGGGAGCCGGAGCCCGCGCGCCCTGCGGCCCGGCCCGCGCCCCCGCCCGGCCCCTGCGCCCGGGTGCCGCCGCCCGGCGCGGGCAGACGCAGGGGCTCCCGGCGTGTCCCCGCCGTCGCGGGGAGGCGGCGGGGGCCGGCGGGGGTGTCCTTGGCGGAGGCCCCGCAGCCCGGCCTCGGTTATGTAAAGGCGCCTGGACGCGGGGGGCGGGGGCCGGCGCCCCGAGAGGCCGGAGCCGCGCGCCCGCCGGGCCGGTCCCCACCGCGGGGGCCGAGCGCGCAGCCCGGGCGCGGGGCCGACAGCTCCGGCGCGGAGCTGGGGGTGCGGGCGCCTCCGCAGCCCACACGGCCCGGGCCCCAGTAAGCGCCGGCCTGAACCCCGGGGCCACATCCGGGGGCGCGCGGGCGGCGGGGGCTGCGGGCCTCGCAGGACGCGGCTCCCACGTGGGCCCGGGAGTGCTCCCGGGAGCTGGCCCGAGGGGCCCTGGGGGGCAGGCGCCGCGCAGGGCTGTGGGGCCCGGGGCCGGGTGCCGTGCGCGCGTGACCAGGGCCGCCCCGGCGCGTGCAGTCGCGGCCCCGAGGCTGGAGAGAAACCGCAGCCCAGGGGACCCCGCCGGAGACGCCCCCTGACGCCCGCCGCCCCCGCTGGGACGGGCAGGTGCGGGCGCGGCTGGCGCCCCTGAGCTGCCGGGGCGGTGGCGCGCAGGCCCCGCCTCAGGCCGCTGGACGAGGGGTCCCCTCCCGCTGCTGGGCGCGGGAACACCCCGGGGGCGCAGCGGCCCCTCCAGCGGGGAGGGACAGGCTCTTTGGGGGCCCAGGGGCCGCCCCTGCAGCCTCCTGGTTTGGCGGTGCCGCCCCTTGGTGTCCGGGCAGCTGCGCAGGCCCTTATGAAGAGGGGCTCCCTGCGCTCCCCACCAGCTGGCACTGAGCTGGGGGGGCTCTTGCCCTTTTCTTTCTTGAGTGAGGTCTGGGCAGGGTCGGGGCCTTCTCCGCTAGCCCGCGCCCGCCGGGGCGTGTGTCCGGCGCGTCCAGCGTCTCTCCTGGCTGGGCTGTGGGCCCCATGTGGGACCCCAGGGAGTGGCCCCCCGCCCCTGCCTGGTGATGAGAAAACCAGGCCCGTGGGGTCACCCCTGACCTGAGACCCAGCGGTCGCGTCCCCTCTTGCTGCCTGGGTCAGGGTCCCGGCTTCTGCTTTTTCTCGATGCTTCGGCAGGACCCCAACCCTCCGGGCGCCAGGCAGACGGGCAGTCGGGCAGTCTGTCGTCTGCTCCACGTTCCCCCACTAGGGCCTGGGGCCCCTGCCTGACCAGCCCCCTCCCGCTGCCCGGCCCCCGCCCCACCCGCTCCCCCAAGCTGCCTCCTGTGCGGGTGCCGCTGGCCCCCGGTTCTGGATCCCGGCTGTCCCCTCCGGCCCGGAGCCCCTTCCTTCCCTGGACCTGGGGGCAGTGCCAGCTGCTGCATTCTGGGGGCCGCCCGCCCACCCCCTGACACCCGCTGCGTCTCTGGGCCACCACCCGATGGTCCCCGGGAGCTGGCCCCGAGGGTGGCCCCTGTTCCGTGGGGGGCGGGCGCTCTGCAGGGGTTGGGGCCAGGGGCGCTGAGTGGCCCCCGTGGGGCCACGGAGATGGACTTGGAGATGGACCTGGCCTCCTCTCGCCGCAGGAGATGCCCTCGTGGGATGCGGCTGTGCGCACCCATCCTCTGCCCCTGGCACATGTGCCCAGGGCCCGCATGTGGGACGCAGCGTCTGCACCCAGGACACAACACACCACACACCACAACACGTGCAGGGCGTGGCGCGCGTGCACACGCCTGTGGCAACATGGGCAGGCACCCTCAGGGAGGACCTGTGCGCACGCTGCAGGGCACACGTGCACCTGGCTCGGGGCGGTTCCAGCGGCAAACGGCGTGCCGGTGTGCACACGTGTGCTCGAGCACACCAGCGTCCTCCCGTGTCTCCCCGAGCTGTGTGCACACCCGCCCTGCACACCTGGGCACTGCGCCGGCCTGGCCGGGGCTGGTCAGCGGTGGCAGCCTCGCGGCTGCCTGTCTTGGCAGACGGAGCCCGGCCGCGTGCTTTGGACGCCCGTCTCAGCCTCTGCTCGCACGCGGCGCTCCCCACCCTCCGCGCTCCCCACCCTCCGCGCGGGCATGTGGCTCTGCCCCCAGCGCTCCGGACGCTCCTCCCGTCACTTACCTGTGCCAGGTGCCCCCGGGTCCGGCCGCCGCCCGAGCTGCTCCCCTCAGACCGGCCGCAGCGGCCCTGGGTGAGCGGACCTCGGGCCTTCCTGCCTTCCCAGTTGCGGGGCTCCAGCCTCTTGGGGGACACCCGATCAGCCCAGCCTGGGCAGCCGCCTCCACCGCTGGCCGAGGACACCCACAGGGACCGCTGCAGCTGCTGCGTCCCGGGCAGGCGTGGGCACCCCTGCTGGCCGCGGCCGGACCCTGGGGCTGTGGTCATGGGCACAGTGTGCGCCCTCTCAGGACTGGGGTGCTCTATGCAGCCCCTGCCCCCCACGCTTCAGTGCACATGTGCTCCCCAACGCCTCCCCACTGTCATGGCTGCCAGGGTCAACGGGGGTGCAGCACTGTCCCTCAAACCCTCCTCCTCAGGGCTGGGGTAACCGGACCGCCTCACGGGAGCCCTTTGTCCCGGGGGCCCTAACTGTAGCACCCCACTTTCTCGGAAAGACAGTTCAGGAGGCCCTTAGGGGTGGGACCCTGGGGTGGCTGGAGGTGGGGGGCTTGGGGAGGAGCCGGACCCCAGCTGGGCCGCAGCTTGGGGTGGGCGTGGGGCCGAGGAAGGCTCTGAGGGTCCCGGGCAGCTCCCTGGCATCCTCGGGGAGACGCGTGTCCTGGGTGGCCAGCGCCGAGCGGGCAGGCGCGGGGATCGCGCCGCCAGTGGCTGCCTGAGGGCCTAGCGCTCAGGTCCCGGGGGCACGAAGGGGCCTCTGGCTGAGATGGCCTTTGTTCAAGCTGCCTCCCCTCCCCTGCCCCCCAGCCATGTCCATCCCAGGAGCCATGTCCATCCTGGGCTGTGTCCCTGGGTGGCCATGCGGGGGCCATTGAAGCCCTGATGCAGGCCTGGGCCTGGGATCGCCCTGGTGGGGCGGAGGGGAGAGCACGGCAGAGCCAGGTGGCCGCCATCTGTCCCTCCTCCGGCCGCTGGCCGCGGCTGTGCTGGACCCAGACTCCCCACCCTTTGCGCTCAGAGGATCTCGGGCACGGTGGCCTCGGCAGTGTCCGGGAGGCCATGTGGGGGCCATGGGCCAGCTGGCCAGGTGAGTGGCCTGCAGGCGGCCCCAGCCTGGGACTGCTCCCTGCCCCTCCCTCCTGTGTGGGCGTCCTGCGCAGCCCTGATGGGGCCAGCGGGGCGGCCTGCAGCGTCCAGAAAGGCCCATCCTGTCTTGCTGGGCTGGCCCAGCTCAGCCACGGCCTCCTCTGGAGAGGCCCCTTCAGGGCCAGCCCAGGGAGTCTCCAGAAAGAGGGGGAGCAGGGAAGGGGGTACTGCAGTGGGCCTGGGGCTCCCTGGTTAGCCTGGGGATGTCCAGGGGGCATAGGCGGTGCCAGGGCCGTGGGGGCTGGGGTGAAGGGCACCTGGCCAGCAAGAGGGGAGGGCCAGCCCCTGCTGCCAGGTGTCACGAAGCACCTGCAGGGGGTGGTTCAGGCCAGGTTGAGGGGGCTGTGGAGGCCTTGGGGGACCTGAAGGGGCTAGAGCCAGATGCCCCACCGTCGTGCGGGCACCATGCAGCCTCGCCCCAGGAAGGGAGCTGCTGTTCTTGCTGCCTTTGAGACACACCTGGCCCCCCTTGCGCACGCCTGGTGTCCCTGACACGCGCACCTGGCTCCCCTCATGTGAGTACCTGGTCCTTCACACATACCTGGTCTCCCTCATGCACACCTGGTTCCCCTCACAGGCGCACCTGGTCCCCCTCACACACACCTGGTCCCTCCTCACAGGTGCACCTGGTCCCTCGCGCACCTGGCCCTTCGCGCGCACATCACTTGGGCCAGGTGTGCAGCCGGACTGCGGGGTCCCGGCTCCGTGGCCCCTTGGCTCAGGCCGCGAGTCCCAGGAGGGGCAGGGACGGTCCTTCTGAAAGGGCCCTGGGAGCAGCCTGCAGGGCTGGGCAGGGCTGCCCGGGCTGTGTCCCCAGGCAGCGCCGGTGCCAAGGGCCTCCCCACGGCTCCTCCTGCGTCTGTAATTCCACCTCCTGCCCCCAGCCCTGTTTTGAAAATGCAAACCCAGTGACCCAGCCTGTCCCTGGTGTCCGCTCTCCCCTCACCTGACCCGGGGTGATGCCCCAGGGGGCCACCTCAGTGCCCTCCGTCTCCTGGCTTCCCCCCTGCTAGCCCCACACCCTGGGGGCATTGCAGGGGGCTGCTGGGTCAGCATGGCTGGGACAGGGAGGCTGCACCCCTCACCCTCCTGCCTGGGGTCCCCGGGGCCCTTTAAGGGCGCCCTGTGGGCTGGTGCCTTGTCCTCAGTGGCCGCTCCATGGTGACCTGGCCCTTGGACTGGGGCAGCATGGGTGGGACGGGCAGGAAGATCTGTGCCTTTGGGGTTCGGTCTCGGGCCCTCCAGACTGGTGGGTGCAGAGTCTTGCAGGGGCTGGCTGAACCCCTGGACAGCCCAGGCGGTGGGGGCAGCAGTCAGCCCCTGCCCGGCCGGGCACCCCGTCCGTGCCCCTTTCTGTTCCTAGAGCGGGGGCCCCCGCCGCCACCTGGCCCGCTGTGGGCTGACCAGTGGCCTGTTCCCGAGGTGACCGGTGCTCGCAGTAACACGGATGGGGCCCAGGCTGACTGCCAGGCCAGAGCCCGCGCCGGGCGCTCTGTGCCCGGCCTCCCAATGCCCGGTGAGGACCCCAGCGGGCCGGACACTGGTGCTGGGCCTTGCTGGCCAAGGGGCCCTGCTGCTCACGCCCCCGCCTTCCCCGAGTGTCCTTCCACCCAGACCCTGCGCCCCTGCCGGGGGAGCCCGAGGCCCCCAGCTGTGGGCAGTTGGTGGGCTCTGGAGGTGCCTACTGGTGCCTTCCCGCCCGCTGGCCCTCTGCTGGCCTCCGGGGACCCTGCAGCTGCCCTCTGCTGCTTGCTCCGGCCCCGCCCTCAGGTTTGGGCTCGGGAGGACGCGCCAGACCCCGGCTGCGTGGTGCCCGCGAGGGCCCCCCACAGCTGCAGTCCCGCTGCCCCGCCTGCGTGTGACCTGCCTCCGCGTCCCCACATGGAATCCCCCGCGCGGCGGTGATGCGTGTCCGGTGCCGGCCCCTCCGAGGCTCCCGGAAGGCGGCCTCCAGGCGCACGCGGGTGGTTCTGTGGCCCTAGGGCCGCATTTGTGGGCACTCCCTGTAGCGGAGAGCCCCTCACCCAGGGGCCGCCCGCCCAGTCTGGTGTTTTGGGGCCCCCAGGGCGTTCCTGACCGTCCAGAGAGGCCGGGGCCGCTCGGCTCGCGTTGCCCCCTCTCTCGTCCCGGTGGCCCGGGCGCGGTGGCTCTGGCGCCTGCGACGCTCCGCACCTTCCCTCCGCGCCGTGGGCGCTTCCAGGGCCACCCGATGCTGGGGACGCCCCATGCCGCGGCTGATTCCAGAGAACCGGTGTCCGCGACGGCTAGGCCCCCCCTCCCGCCCCGCGAGCCCAGCGCTGCCCCCTGCGCGGCTGGGGATCCCAGGCTCGGGCTTCCCGGGGCAGCCCCCCCCGGGCTCTCCTGGGGTCGGGTCCCGGCCGCTGGTGCCCACGGGGCTGGCGCACACGGCGGCCGACCGACCCTCGCCCTTCCCCTGCAGCGCCATGGCCGACGGCAAGGCCAAGCCCGCCAACAAGACGCCCCCCAAGTCCCCAGGGGACCCCGCGAAGGACAGGGCGGCCAAGAGGCTGTCGCTGGAGTCGGAGGGCAGCAGCGAGGGCGCGGCCGCGGGGCCGGAGCTCAGCGCGCTGGAGGCCGCCTTCCGGCGCTTCGCGGTGCACGGGGACACCAGGGCCAGCGGCCGGGAGATGCACGGCAAGAACTGGTCCAAGCTGTGCCGCGACTGCCAGGTGATCGACGGCAGGAACGTGACCGTCACCGACGTGGACATCGTCTTCAGCAAGATCAAGTGAGCGGGGGCGCGAGGAATGGGTGCCCCGCCTGCGCCTGGCCCCCGCCCCGCCCCGGGGGCGGCCCTTCCTTCAGGTGTTGGCGAGCCCCGTGAGCGGAGGCCGTGCACGGCGGCCCGGGTCCCTCCGCACACCCGGCTCTGGCCGTGGCGTGGACATGGTGTCCCCGGGGCTTCCCGAGACGGTGACCATGTCACCTCTTTGCTCTGTGGAAACCTGTGTGTGGTGGTGAGGTCTCCCCGAGTCCCCGGGTGGCCACCCATGCCCCCCCAGTCGCCCAGCAAAGCCCACTGGTCATTGCTGTTACCCCAGGAATGCAGGGGTGCAGGCGGGGCAGTGGGATGCCCACGGGGGGTGCAGGCGGGAGAAGGGAGGTGTGGGGGGGAGGTGGGGTGCGGGAGGGGGTGGGGTGCAGGCTGGTGAAGGGGTGGGAGGAGAAGGGGTGCAGGCGGGAGGGGGCTGCTGGGTGGCCGGGGCAGCTCCTCTGGGAGAGGGAGCCCTGGGGGGCCCCGGGCCGCGGCCGAGCGAGTCTGCGCTGGGTGAGGTGCCAGGTGGGGGCCGGACGCTGGTGGGGGCCGCGGGAGTGTCCCGCAAGGGCCGCGGAAGCCTGAAGCCGGCTGGACAGACCAGGCCCGTGTTTGCGCGTTGCCAGAGGCGGCGGCGGGCGCCCCGCCAGGCCCCTATCAGCAGCCCTTGTTTGGGGGGTTGCCATGGCAGCGCTGTTTGTTGTGATGTTACCCGCGTTACAGTTTAAACAAGTCGCTGCCCCGGCCTGAGCCTGCCCCTCCCTGCCGGTCACCGCGGGCGGTCTGGGCACGGGCGGGTCCCACAGCCACCTGGGGCCCCACATCCTGCGTGGCTGCGGGGAGCGCCCCGGGCCCGCTCTGGGGTCTGGGTGGCCCAGGAGTGCACCCCGTGTCCTGCCCGAGTTCTGGGGACACGGCCGTGGGGTGTGGTCTGCGCGGCCCGCAGGCAGGGTGAGGACCCCCAAAGCGGGCGTGCGGCCAGCATCCCCAGAGCGGCAGGGCTCTGCCCGGCCTCGGTGGGTCCCGCTGAGCTCGCTGGCGTGGGGTCCGGTGTGTCTGCCGGCCAGTCAGGCGGCCAGGAGCCGGCTGCTCGCACTGGCCACTGGCCCCTTGTCCAAAGAGGACGGGTGGTGGGCGGCGGCCTGAGCCTCATGGACACCCAGGCCCTGCCCAAGGCGCACGCGGGTGGGGGCTTCATGGTGGTCCCCCTGGGGGGCCCAGCTGCCCAAGTGGGCGGTGATTAGGGGTTATGGCTGTCCCTGTCCCAGGCCCCCAGCCCCCCACTGTCCGTGCAGCCGGACTCCATTCCGGGTCCCTGGACCACACCCCAGGCCCAGGACCTCCGAGTGACCTGAGGCCGCCGCTCTCCGGCCCTGGACGGTGCCCGCCCCTGCTGCGTGCTGGCCCGCGGGCTGCTCTTGGACAGGCCTGCAGCTTTGGCTGCTGCCGGCCAGGGGAGGCCGGGCGCCACCTCCACCCCAGGTCCTTGGGCGCCCGGCTCGCTGGCCCTGCCTCAGAGCAGCCTGAGACCCGTGCCAGTGTGTGGGAGTCCCTGAGCCGCTGGCCCTAAGGCTCGGACAGGTTCTGGGGCCTGTTGGGCCATGTCCAGCCCTGAGGTACCCCTCGCTGGGCCTCAGTGCTCCTGGGGGACCCTGGGAGTGCCGGGCCTGTGCCTGGCCGTGACCCGGTGGCCGGCTTTCCGGCAGGGCCCTGGTCAGCCGGGCGCTGCGCTGGAGGGGGGCGGGGAGGCCGCGTCCCAGGGCCGCGTCATCTGAGCAGGTGTCCCGGGAAGAGGCCAGCATTGTCATCTAGGGCTGGGACTGCCCTCCGCAGCCAGGCGCCCGGCGGTCACAGGGGGACACACGGGGACACCCGGCCAGGCGGGTCCCTTCCCCCGACTGAGTGACTCACACTGGTGGCGCCTGGTGCCCGGCAGCCGGGCCGGGCTGGCCATCGGGCCTGGCCTCCACACACGCTAGGCCGGGCTGTGGACAGGGACAGAGTGCCTTTGACAGCCCGGATGGACAGAGAGGCCTGGGCGGGGGATGGGCCTGGCAGGGCTCTGAGGGGCACAGGGCCTGCCTGTGCTGCCCCAGGCACCTGGAGGGATGGCCGTCCTTGACCCCGGAGGGACGTGTGCGCCCAGGGCTGAGCCCCCCCACCTGCCGGGCGGCTAGCGGGCGGGGCTGTGGGGGCAGACGTGGGTGCGCCCTTGGGTGGTACCAGTGCCCTGCCTGGCCGCTCCTCGTGGTCCTCAGGGTCTCCCTGGACCCCTCTGCTGCCCTTGCTGTGCGCCGACCCGACCCGGTCCGGCCCGGCCCGGCCGCGGGTGCAGGCTGTGGTCAGCTCGTGGCTCCGGCCCGCCGGCCGCCCTGCCCAGGCGCGGGTCGCATACCCAGGGCCACCGGGAGCCGCTGCTCAGCTGAGATCACGAAATGGCGCAGACCCGCCGGGTTGTCAGTGCCCCGCGGGGGCCGGCCACACCGTGATGGCCTTGGGGGCTGTGGCTCTGGTGGCGTGGGGCGCCTGGGGGCGCCCCGTGGGAGGTGCTGTGGCGGGTCCCCTGGGAGGGTGGCGGGGAGGATACGGGGGGCCATGGGAGGGCGAAGGGGTGGCCCTGGGAGGGTGCTGGGGGGTCCCGTGGGAAGGGGCGGAGGGGGCGGCCCTGGGAGGGTGGGGGGCGTTGGGGGTCCTGGGGGTCCCCACCGGGCTGGGCCCCTGGCTGGGGTCTGGCCGGCCCGCCCGAGTGACGCCCGCTTGCTCACAGGATGTGCTTCCTCCAAGCCTTTTTCCAAGACAGTTTATATTTGCGGCCATTGCCGGGGCAACGGGAGGCGGCGGGCGGGCGGGCGGGCGGGCGGGCGGGCGCGGGCGGGGCCTGACGCGCTCTCCGCAGGGGCAAGGGCTGCCGCACCATCACCTTCGAGCAGTTCCGGGAGGCGCTGGAGGAGCTGTCCCGCAAGAGGTTCAAGGACAAGGGCCGCGAGGAGGCCGTGCGGGAGGTGCACCGGCTGGTGGAGGGCAAGGCGCCCATCATCTCGGGGGTGACGGTAGGCGGCGCGGGCCGGGCGGGGGGTGGGGGCCTGCACCCTGGGCGCACGCGACCCACCCCCCTCTCCCGCAGAAAGCCGTCTCCTCGCCCACGGTGTCGCGGCTCACGGACACCACCAAGTTCACGGGCTCCCACAAGGAGCGCTTCGACCCGTCGGGCCGGGGCAAGGGCAAGGCGGGCCGCGTGGACCTGGTGGACGAGTCGGGCTACGTGCCCGGCTACAAGCACGCGGGCACCTACGACCAGAAGGTGCAGGGGGGCAAGTAGCACTCCCCCCCCGCCCCCCACTTCGTCACATTCCTGTGCTCGCCTGGGCAGAACTTGGACCTCAGCAGCCGGTGCTGTGGGGCGACGCCCGGCTCCCCCACAACCCGCGTGACCCCTGACCTCCCCAGCGCCCCCTCTCGACCCCGCAAGACCACCTGGTTCGAGGAGCTGGTGGGCAGTGGGGATGAGGCCCCCGGAGCCACAGGGGCCACCACCCGCCCACCAGCGAGCTTTCCAAGGGTGCACCCAGCCCGGCCCCTGCACATGCAGGCGTGCACACCCCACTCCCGTGCCCACCCTACGCCCGTGCACATGCACGCTCGTGCACGTGCATGCACTCCTGCGCGTGCACACATGTGCACACTCGGCCTGCGCACGCTCGGCCTGCACACTGGCCCTGCGGTCACTGGGAGGCGGGCTCACCCCTCTCCTCCAGGGGAAGAGGCCGTGGCGGGCCGGGAAGGTTTGGAATGACCTGTCCCTGGGCCTCTGGCCTGTCCCTGTCCCCACCTGTCCTCCGCGGGGGGCTCCCAGATCCTAGGGACCATGGCGGTCACCAAGACACCATATCCTCTGCCATGAGCATCCTCAGGCCAGCTGTGGCACAGGGCGTGTGCAGCCCCTCCCTGGACGCGGGCCTGGCCCTCCTGCCGGGCACAGCCTGCCGGCCCTGGGTGCACAGCAGCTTCTGCGCACGGGGGTGAAAAGCGGGGGCTCCCAAGCACCTTGCTGGGTCCCGGCAGCTGGGCACGAGGCTGGCCCCAGAAGAGCCCTCACCGGCTGAGGCTGCCCGCCCCTGGGCCCAGCCCCCCCCCACGCTTCCCTGCCCGGCACCTCCTCCCCAGCCTGCGGGTGGCACCTGCCTCGGCCACTCCCCTCCTGGCTCGGGGGGCTGTGCCATGGCGGGCGGAGCCGCCCTTCCCCAGCGGGGGCCCTGGGCAGGGAGGCCTGCACGTCCCACCAGACTGACCTGCGAGCCGCCCCGCCCGCCCCCGTCGTGCTGTCCCGGCGGCGACTCCCGCATGCTCCCGCGCCACCAGCTTCTACTAACCCGGCGACAGCGACTAACGTCTACCTGAGAAGGCAGGAGCCGCACTGCGGGGCGGCCACCCCAGGACACTGGCCGCAGGACGCTTATTTATTTATTTAACGCCAGCGGGTGGGCCGGAGGCGGTGCCAGCCAAGCCAGCCCTGCGGCCAGAGCGCAGGTTACTCAAGACAGTGTTTGTCCTGGAGCTGGAGGTGCCGCCCCCCGTCTCCGGGCTGCTCCCGCACAAGCAAGCCACTGCCCGCCCCCGCCGCACCGGGGTGGCCTCGCAGGGCCCAGGTGACGCGAGGCGCCGCCCCAGCACTGCCCGCGGCCGCGCTGACCCACTACTGAGGCAGAGCCGAGCGGTAGCGCGACCGCGACTCCGCGGAAACTTGAAGGGATCATTCCTACTGGTTTGTCCACGTTTTTCAGGAAAGGGACATGGTTTATACGCAGATGCAATATATTTTTACACTGGTTCCTGGGGTGGCCGAGGGCCGCTGCCAGCCCCGGCCCGCAAGCCTTGGGTGAAAGAGCGCGTGTGTGCTGCGCCCGCCCCGCCCTCGTGTTAACCGCGCCAGCCGGCAACGTGACAATAAAGGTGACAAATAAGGTGTCGTGAAGCCTGGGCTGGTCTCGTCTCTGCGGTGGGCTCAGGCCCTGTGGGCGCGACTCGTCCAGCGGACACCTGCCTAGCCCTGCCCTAGCGATTGCGCTGCCCAAAATAAAGGTGTTTTAGTCCCTAACGGGGCTCCCTGGGGTTACGTCACAAGAACCCCAAATACGGAAAGAAAGAGGTGAGGGTGGAGCGCCCTGCGGGGTGAGGAGCACCGAGGGGGGCCTCCGACAGCCACAGCCCTGCGAGCAGGGAACGTGGGCCTGGCAGATGCTGCGCGCGTCCACGGCGGCAGCAGCCATCACAGGAGAAACAACGGGTGGCCGGAAGCGTGGCCAGGGGCGATCTGACCACTAAGAGGCCAGCTGGGGTGCAGGGGGACGGCAGGAAGCCCCGCAGGGCAGCAAACCCCGCATGACTCAGGAGGGGCAAATGCAGATACTGCAGTGAAACCACGGGCCGGGGCCGTCCAGGCGCCCCCACCGTCCGGCCGAGGGGCAGTGGGTACCCGTGCTGTGGTCAGTGGGGCGGGGCCGTCCTGGCTCCTCCCCGCCCCCAGATGGCGCGACGTCGCCACCTCAGGACACAGCTCCACCCAAACGCCACTCCGAGCCTGGGTGTCGTGGCCCCAAGGCCGACAGGGCGGTCTTGAGCGGACTCCAGAGCTGACGCCGGGCGCGAGGCAGAGGCTCAGGGCCGCGCAGTGTCCTCTGCGTCAGAAACGGTTCTCCCGGCAGGGCCGGGGCCGGGGCGCCTGCCATGCATGTGGAGGCTGCAGACCCACTGGCGGGTGGGAAGCGCGGGCTCACGGGGTGGGCACCGCCACTCTGGCAACAGACGGTAGGAGTGAGGTGACGGAGTTAACGAAACGGACATACTGGAAATAAAACCTTCATGAAAAAGAGCCAAGTGGAACTTAACCATCAGGCCCAGGCCGACCCGAGGTTGGTCGGGGGCAGGACAGGCCAGGGCCTCCACGGCAGAGCCGGTCCCGACCGGGCGCCAGAGGGCAAGGCAGTCTCGCGTCTGTGGGGCAGTGTCAGGGGTCAAGGGGCTGCCTCCTGGGCGTGGGGGGAGAGTTTGGGTCGAACAAGAAATCTGGAGAAATGGCAACCAAAGCTTTTCCAGCTCGAGAAGCAGAATGGCCCACGGGCCCACGAGGGCAGCAGCGTCCACACGAGGCGCTGACTGCGTGGGGCTGGAGCACAGAACGGGCCGAACCAGGGTCTTTCAAGAACCAAGAGGGTGTTCTGAAGTGGAGGCGCCACGTTTGGTGACACGGCCCCCCAAAAGCCACCACCAGACAGGAGGAAGGGCTGGGGCCTCAGACCCTCCCGCAGGGGAGCCTGGCCCCCGGGCCTGCTCGCTCCTGAATCAACCAACCAACTGCAAACATGAAATCAACTAGAAAATTAAATGCTTCCCCTCAGCAAGCAAGCAGGACCCGAGACATGAAGCTTCCAAACCAAAAACCCCACTTTATGCCCCGCAAGGCCATCGTCTTCAGGGTCGGCCTGCGGCCCTGACTGTGCGGCTGCAGGAGGCGTGTGGGTGCAGGCACGGCGCCTGACGGTGGACACCTGGGGTGGGTGTGGGCGCGCGCGAGTGGGCACCCGGGCCTGGGGCGGGACACAGGGCGGCGTTGCGCAGAGACGGCCAAGTGGAGCGGCAACCAGAGGTGAGGCCACGAGACAGCCAGGGCGACCTCAGAGGAGGAGTAAAGATTCGAGGGGCTGGGAGGCCCCCCGGCCCCCGCCTGCCCGGCGCCCAGCTGTCCACACAGCCTCCCACCACCAGCGCGGCCCGGCCCGCTCCCCGCACGAGGCACAGCAGCGCCACGGGAGAGACGCAGCTGGAGCCTGAAGAGGCACCTGTGGGAACAACGTATGAGTTTATTGGCTACGACTCCTCCCCCACCAGAGGCCAGCGGCAGAAGGGCCACCTCGGCCCCGTCACTAGACAGTCATGAAAAAGGCTGTTTGTCTCAGAACAGTCGGCGCGTTCGTCTCACGAGGGAGCCTGGGATTAGCCCCGTCTTCGCGCGGGTTCAGAAAACAGCCACGGGCTGAGCACAGCTCACCAAGCCCCCTGGAGATGGCCGCACAGGCTGGACCCCACCTCCACATCTCACGAGCGGCCTCCCAGGCTGGCGCCGCTGGCGGGGGGGCCATGGGGGGCCAGGGCCAGAGTCTTCTTGAGCTGCCTGTAGCTCCAGTGCAGCTGCTCCACCTCGGCCTGGTGCTGCGCCTGCAGCTTGCTCAGCTCCTGCAGGAGGCGCTCGTTGGTGCTGACCAGGGAGCTGGAGGACACAGGCAGCCTCAGCCGGGCTCGCGCTGCACCGGCCCCAGCCGCGACCTCGACGGGCATCTACCTGGAGCCCAGCTCGGAGGCGCCGGTGCCCCGCCCCGCCCCGGACGGGGTGGGGGAAGCCACATACAGGGGGTCTGCCCCAATGTCCCCCAAAAGGTGTGCCTGACCCTGGTGCCGGCCGACAGCAGCCGCTGGAAGCTGCACCTGAGGCTGTCACCGCCCGAGCTGGAGAAGGGTGTGGCCGGCCGGTCTCTCTCAGACACACACCCACGCAGGTGGCCCGGTGCCCGTCCACACAGCCGGCCCCCACCGCTCCCTCACCCCGAGCCCCTCTGTGGCTCCCACGCTCTCTGCTGACCCGGAACGGGGATAGCCGCACCTCCTCCCAGCTCCCAGCCACCTGCCCGCCCGTCGCCCTGGAGACAGCTCCCCCCAGCACAGCCCCGCTGCAGGGCCCCGTCACAGCGGAGGGACCTGCTTCTCATTAGCTAAGGGAGCTCTGGGGGTTTCCAAGGCAACAGTGACCCCAGGTCCGGACCTGACCGCCCAGCCGGCCTGGACAGCAACACTTGCCAACCCCTCCCCCACCCCGTGCACCCCTCCTCTCCCCCAGGCTCTTCCCCAGCCCCTGCCCTGTGCACCTCCTGTGGCTCCCAGCCCCACTCCTTGGGCTCCCCAACATGCACCCCCCGTGCACCTGTGGCTCTCCTGCAGCATATGCGTGAGCTCCCGGGCCATGCCGCCATGCTCCAGGAGCTCCTTCAGCTCCACAATCTCGGCCGAGAGCCTCTTCACGCTGGTCTGAAGCCCTGAGGGGGAAGGGCCCACGGCAGCCTCACTTCCCGGCCGAGGCCGGTTTGCGTCAGAGCCGCAGCCGCTGGCCGGGACGCCTAGGCCCCTCTGCTGGCCCGCCTGTCCCCCCAGGCGCCACTCAGGCGGGAGCTGCGGCCTCTAAAAGGAGCAGCCTATGTGGCTGGGGCCCCTGGGTGCCCCCTGACGTTGCTGCCCTGCGTGTCCTCCGGCTGTGCCCGCCCAGGGGGAAGCAGCCTCCGGCCCCCAAGTCCAGCACTGGCACGGCCCGGCTGGGCCAGAGGTCACAGGGCAAGCAGTGGCAGCGGGGCAGGACCCAGGCTGCGAGGGCGCCAGCCGGGGGTTCCGAGGAGGGCAGAGGCGGCGCGGGGGGCCCTGATGCCCACGCTCGTCAAGCACCGGGCAGACAGAGAGAGCCGGTGGCGGCGCAGCACCTGCTAGAAGCGGCCAGCGCCCGAGCCCCGTGTTTCTGCTCCCCAGAAAGCGGCCAGACCACACCCGGGCTGAAGGGGCTCGCCAGGCTCGGGTGCGGCTGCAGCTGGGGCTGCTTGGGCACCTCGGGGCTGGCCACCAGTCCCCCCTCAACGACGGGGTCAATGGCGAACGCACAGCTGGTGGGGAGCCCTGGGTGGGGCACCAGAGGGGGTAGGACGGGAAGGCCCCAAGGGAAGGGCCATCCTCTGCGCCTGCCCCTCCGGGGACCTGGACCGAGTCCACCTGAAGAGGCAGCTGCCCCCCAGGCTGCTTAGAGCAGGCGGAGGCCATGGCGGCTGCTTCAAACCAGCCGCAGAGAGGGAGAGGCAAGAGGTGAAAGCAGCACTGGGTGCCCGGGGCGGGGGGCTTTGTAATGGAGCGAACCCGCTGAGAGCACGGGGCTCGCCACCTCAGTACAGTGACTGGAGAGAACCCGCGGGCGGGCCCCAGCAGACACGCCCGGGGCCAGCATCACCTCCCGCCAGGCGAGGCCGCGTCTGGGCCTGGGAGGTAGGAGGGGGGACAGATGCAGCCTCCATGAGACCCCAGCTCCCCCCAAGGGCACGTGGGAAACAAACAGCCCCCAAACCCCTTCCTTCAAAGCCCTGCATGTGAAATACAAAGTCCACTTTTAAAAATGGCAAAACGAGCGGGAGGAAGCCGAGAGAGGGTGGCAGCGACCCGGGTCTGGAGGGCACGGGCCGGAGAGAGGGCCTTGTACCTGGGGGTGGGGGCGCCTGGCGTGCACAGGACAGCTCCACGGCCACTGGCGCCCTCGGGGTTGCCCAGAAGGCCCACAGGTCCGGCCTCCAGCTGCAAGGCCAGTCCCCCGCACCCCCATCGCCACAGCCTCAGTGCCCGCTGCCCGGCGTCGGCTGGAGAGCCCGACTCACCTGAGACCTGCACGCCCAGCGCAGCCGACGCGTCTGCATCTCTTACTTCTTGCTTCATGGTGGACAAAAGCAATTTTAAGCTGCTGTTCTCCTGCAAAGATTTGTCCAGGTGTTGCTTCAAGTCGTCCTAAGGACACAACAAGAAACTTGAAACAGTCGAGTCACGCACTAGACACCCAACGCAGCCTTTCCAACGCGCGCAGGTGTGGTGATGGGCCAAGGCCCAGGCCGGCGGGGGCAGCGCGGGGCTCCCACTGTCCCTGGCTCCGCAAGGGGTGTGCTCCAGCAGGCGCCGCGGCCTGGAGCCAGGACAGCGGCCAGGTGACTGCCTGGCCCCTGCCCTCCAGGACGAGCCCCGTGGGTGCCGGGACTGCCACCCTCTCCCTCCAGGTCGGGGCCTGGGCCCCTGCAGACGCTTGTGGTGGCAGCAGCACAGACCAACCGGGGGCATGGTACTCCCTGGGGAAGCTGCTTGCTCCCGCTCCTCAGCCTGTGGACGGGGCCCTGACAGGGGGCGAGAGCCCAGGGCCATCAGAGCCGCCACCCTAACCCAGTCCCACAGGGCTCCTGCCTTGCTGGCAGCTCCTCTGCGGGCTCCATGGGGGCGCCTGCCCACCCCCTGCTGCCCTCGGGCTGGGGCTCCGCCAGGGCGTGTCTCCTCCGGTCCGGCCCAGTCTCACGGTGTGTCTGATCCAGCCAACTCCGTGCGGGGCGGGGCTCCGTCTCTTCCGCTGCTTCTGGGGGGACCCTGCGCCGACACTCTGCTGGCCACACGGCCAGGGCCTTGCTGCTGCTGCCCTGAGCTGCGCCCCGCGCCGGCCGCAGTTCAGCATGAGGTGCTGTCAGGAAGGGCAGCGCCTGAGTCCCGGAAGCCCGGGCTGCGCAGGGTTCTTGTGGAACCAGGAAGGGGCACCAGCCGCGGGGGACGGGCGCTGGGCTCAGGCTCAGCCGACACAGAGGGCCGGGGAGGCGGCGCCGCGGCGGCGTCCCTCCATCAGCCTGGCTCATCACGGGTCCAGCTTTCCCCATTTCGGGGAACAATCTTCACCCCCCTGTTAAGTTTGCCCCTAAATGTTCTGATCTCCCTGATGCCCTCAAGCAGGGCTGTTTTCTGGCTCCTCTGGGATAAACTGGGGGGAGGAGATGCAGCCACAGCGGCCCCGGCCCTCGCGTGTTGCGGCTTGGCCGGCGCCATGCTGAACGCGGCGGGGGGTGCTCTGCCGGTGGACCCCGTGACGGGCACTTGACCCCAATCTCTGAGCTTTGCCCAGGAGTGGCCCGAGTGCCTGGAGCCCCGAGTCTGCCACATGGCCGCGCGCTAGGCCACGGACTGCTGGGTCCAGCCTGCTGGTGCTTCTTCAGAGGCCCTTGCGTTTACCGTGACTCGACACAACGGCCGGACGCCCCTGCAGGTGCTGCTGACGCCCCCGGGATGCAGCTGCCACGTGGGAACAGAGGCGCCTCCACCCCTCCTCGGGAGAGCCCCAGAGGGTCGGTGCGACCCCCCGGGTCTGCACGTCCAGCAGATGTCGGCCACGACGACGACGGCTGCTCGGCTGTTCCCGGCCCTGCCTTCCGCTCTCTCGCCCGGCGGCGGCGAGTCTCTCCCGGGCGCCTTCTTGGTGGGAGGCGCTGTGGGGTCCCCCTTTCTTCTCTGGGCGCCCACGCGTGTCCGCAGCAGCCCCGGCTGTCCCTGCAGTGCTGCGCACCATGTCAATGTCTCCTCTAAAGTTCTGACTTTATTTGAACCTTTTTTCCTTAGTCCAGGGAAGGATTTGTTGATTTTGCACATTTAGTCAAAGGCCCAGCCCAGCTTGCTGATTTTCCCGGTGGTTTTCCCTTTTCCTTGGCTCCTCCCCGCTCCGGCTCTGCCGTTTGCTTCCTTCTGCTCACTGCAGCTCTGGCTGCGCGCCTCCCTGTGCGGGTGGACGCGGCGGCGGCAGAGGAGGGGCGTGTGCGAGGGCCTCCTGGGCCTCGGGCTGGGCTGTGCCGTGCAGCGCTGGCTGCCCTTGAGCGCCACCTGGTGGTGGAGGCCCCCACGGGTCAGACGGGACACCGTAGCCCGGCCAGAGAGCAGCGGAGACCCTGGCCAGTGCTCGGCCAGCTGCTGGGGCCCTGGCCAGTGGTCTGGGGTCCTGGGCCAGGTGACAGGGGGCCACAGGGACTGTCTAAAGCCCAGCCTCATCCTCTTCCTGTCTCCCCCAGAAGAGAGGGCAGCTGCGGCGGGGGGGAGGGGGGTGCAGAGATGGGGCAACCGGGGACACCACCAGCTGCAGGTCACTGGCACCTGGGCCTGAGAGTAACAGAGACAGGGGAGGCCCCTGAGGAGCAGCTGGACCTCGGGGGGGGGGGAAGGAGGCCGTAGGGGAGTGCGAGACGGGAGGCCCGTGAGTCAGAGCCCCTCACTGAGGGCCAGGGGGGCAGCAGAGCAGGCCCCTCACCATCTCCTGGCGCGCGCTGCCGAGCGCCGACACCACCTCCCTCATCTTGGCGCTGTGCTGCTGCTGCTGCTGGGCGAGCTGACTCCTCAGAGCCCTGTTCTCCAGAGCCAGGCAGCTCATCTCTTCACGCTCAACAGCCGAACTGTCCGGGCTTGTCAGTTCCTCAGTGGATGACAGCACGCGTCTCGCCTGAGCTGGGAGCAGGGTCACACGGGTGCTGAGCCACAGCCGTGCATACCGGCTGGCACCCAGGGCCTCCCGCAACCAGGCCCCGTGACGGGGCCCCTGGGCCCCCGCCAAAGGACACGGCCTCTGGGAGTCACGGCCACGAGAGCCCAAGCCCGGGGCACGGTCACGTCTCTAGGGGGTTTGGGGCGTCAGCAGTGGCACTCCGTCTCGCCACCACGTGGAAACAGCAGAACCAGACACTGGCCACCAGAGTCCCGGGGAAGCCAGGCCCAGCGGCACCAGCAGCCACGAAGCAGGGCCTCCCGCCCAGCCACCCGGGAGCCGCTTCAGGGCAGTCAGCCCTGGGGTCAGGGGCTCCCCGCAGCAGAGTGGGCAGCGACGTCCGAGGGGACGTGAAGGGCCGGGTTGGGACCGGCGCCTGCAGCCGAGAGTGGCCTGAGGGCCGAGCAGGCACCCGCTTACCCAGGAAGGCCTCGTGGCTGTGCAGAGACCTGCGGCCGCTCCAGTGGCGGTCCACCAGGTCCAGCAGTGCCTCCAGCCGCGCCAGCTCCAGGGCAGCCTTCCTCTTGGGCGCTGGGGCCACGGGCAACCTGGGAGACGCCTGGAGGGAGGAACAGGGCCGTGTCCGAGTGGGCATCGCCCCTGCATGCTCAGGCCCCCGCCCACACCACGCCCCAGCACAGCGACGGCCACGGCCCCGGGCTGTGGGTGGACAGGGCTCCTTCCAAGCTGGATGGGAACAGGACACTTGACGTCCCTGGGCAAGGGGTCGCATCCCAAGGTGTGACCGGGAACGCCCTGGGGCTGCTTTCTGATGTTCTTTGCACGCCAGGGCCTGGTCAGGGGGTGCCTTGTTAAGAAGATGGGAGCCATGGGCGGGAGCGGGAGTATGTCAGTGGACGCGCCCCTTCCTCTGACAGTAATAAGGCCGGGATCTCGCTCAGGTCAGCGCCCTGCGTCCTGCAGCCTCTCCGGGGCCTGTCTCTTCTTCATCAGGGCGTGCTGCTGACACCACCCCGAGTGGTCCTGGGTTTCTGCCCTCCCCCGGCAGCTCCTGGGCAGTGCCAGCCCACAGGGCCCTAGCCTCCCAGGCGACGGCTGACCCTGCGGGCTTCCTCCCCTCCACCGCGGGCGGCTCACAGGGTTCCTGGCATCCACCCCATGCCCCATCCTGGTGGGCAGGGGCTGCTGCCTCCACCCAGGGCCCAAAGGCGGCTCCCAGCCATCCGGACCCCACTGAGCCGCTCCTGTGCCCCCCTCACCAGGGGCTGGGACTGGCTGGCCCTTGGCGGCTATGCCTGGGGCTCAGCTCCCGCCCCCACCGGGCTGGGACAAGACAGCCCAAGGCGGACCTGCCCCTTGGAGGGCAGGAGAGCCAGGAACCAGGCAGCAGCCTTCCTGGAGGCGGCGGGGAGTGCCTCTTGCCAAACACACCTGCTCCTTGGAGCTGAGCGGGGGGCAGGCGCCCCCACGAGGAGGCCGCAGCAGGAGCGCTCCCGGCCGTACTGTCCGGGTCACAGCTGCACTGAAGGCAAGAGGTGCCCCCAGGACAGCCGCCCCCTGGCCACCCTGCGTGCACAGGGCTCCCCCGCAGCCTCACCTGTCTGGCGCTGCCCCAGCTGGGGGTCCTGGGCTCCCCCGGCTCCGACACCTCTTTGGGAGGGAAGGTCTGCTCATGCTGGCCCTCGGAGCTGCTCAGGCCCTCCCCGGGGCTGGCTGGGCTGGCGGGGCTGGCAGGCCCCTCGGGCAGCTCCAGGCAGGTCAGACACTCCTGCTCCACAGGGGCCTGGGCCCGCCCGCCCAGCACCCTTCGCTTCCTGCACTTCCCAGGCACAGGCGGAGGCTCCAGCAGCGTCTGTGCTGACAGACTCGGCCTCTGTGAAGAGGCGCCCGAGTCCCCGGAGTCCGTGGGGCCTGTAACAGACATGCCGGGCCCTCAGCACCCGCCATGCTGCGGTTCCAGGCAGCTCGCGAGCACACCGGGTTTGGGCACCACCTGGACTGCGGGAGCGAGGGGGCTCACAGACCGCGCTGGGCAGGCCTAGGCAGGCGCCCCGGGGCCCCGGTGAAGCCTCAGGAATGAGAGCAACAGGCCGAGCCCCAACCCGTGCAGCGGAGGCAGATCGTCCGGTTGTGCGGCACCCGGGGCACCGACACAGCAGGCTCCCCGGCTCGTCCCTGCAGCCCATGCATTGGCCACCCCGGTCCCGCCCTGGGCACGTCCACAGGCTGGCCGCACCTTGGGGACCACGGAGGTCCACCTCTCGCTCCTTCTGGCCGGAGCTGGCGCTCCCAGGGGGCGTGCTCAGACCCCACTCGCACTCGGCGATGAGGTTCAGCACCGCCTCATCGTCGGCGTCCAGGGCCAGGCCCTTCTTGGCCGCCGGGTCCTTGCGCCTGGCCCTGCAGAGGCGCGGCCTGCGAGGAGAAGCAGACTCGGTGCTCGGGCCCCGCCAGGGTCAGGCTGGATACCCCGCGTGGTGCAGAGAACCCCGGAAGACCGCCACGACAGGGCCCAGGGGCCGCCCTCACAGAACCTCCCTGGCTGTGTTTGAGGAAAGTGGGTCCACAGAGGCCTCAGCGCGGTGACCCCAGCAGGCCCAAGAGTGATGCAGGCGGTGGGCACGGCGGGGGTGGGGACTGCTGGTTGGCGGGACGAGCCGACAGGAGTCGCTGTTTCCTCATTACTCTCAGGCTCCTGCAGAAGGGGGCGTGGGTCTTCCTGGGGGTCTCCCATGAAATCCTGACAGCTGGCGCGTCCCGGCCTCTGTGGGGCCGGCCGCCACTCTGGGCGCCAGGTCACCAGCCCTGAGCTGTGTTTCTTCAGCCTCAAGACAACCAGACAAGCTGGAGCAGCGGATGGGACAGCCCTGCATGTCCGAGGCCGCAGACCAAATCTCACTGGAACATCAGTTCTGCGGAGCGAGCTATAGCATCGGAGCAAGCTCCAGCTAACCTCAAGCACACACCGTGCAGACTCGGAGAAAACCATCCTAAAACACAGGACTCTCGTGTGATTTTGAATACTCAGGAAAATCTCGAGAAAACTAACTAGAGAGCCGCAGCGCCCGGGCGTGTGGCGCCTGCAGGTGGGCCCGACGCCCACACCACACAGCCAGGACTGCCCACGGGGGACGCTGGCCGGGGCTGGGGCCCATGTGCGCAGGACAAGGTGGTCCTCACTCCTGCCAGACACGGAAACTGACTCCAAGTGGACCAAAGGCCTTAAATATAAAGCTCCGAGAAGAACACACGGGACAGAAGCGTCTCGCGCCAGGCTTGAGGAGCGACTTCCTGGTGCGCCGCCAGCAGCGCATGCAACAGAAGACGAAACAGTTTAGATGGCGCCAAAATGTTTAAATTCTGTGCATCAAAACCTAACCCGTAGAAACAGAAGATGATGCTTACAGAGCTCACATATCTCGCAACATCCAGAATATGCAGACAACTCCTAAAGCTCAACAAAAAAACGGGCCAAGGTCCGGAGCAGCTCTTTCCCCAGAGACACGCGAGGGCCGACAAGCACAGGGTGGTGCTCAGCACACCGACCTCCAAGGTGGACCAAACACGGCCAGCCTCGCGGTGACCGGCCGGACACCAGTGCCAGTGAGGGCGTGGGGAGCAGGGCCCTCATGGGCTGGCGGGAAGTGCAAGCTCAGCTGCGCGCCCAAGCGGATCTCTCCAGAAAAGGCAGAAGTGGAATTGGCAGACGATCGCGCAGCTCCGTTCCAGAGCATTCTGAGGACATGCGCCACCACAAGACTGGACGCTTCACGACAGCTCGACGGTAGATCTCGTGGGTTCCTCCACAGTGGAATATTTTTTAGAGACACGGTCATGAGAGACAGTGATAGAGCCAGACTCGGCTCTGGCACCAGTGCTGGAAGTTTCAGAACAGGCTCTGAAGCTCCGAGGGGCGCGCTAAGAGGGCGAGGGGAATACGAGCAGAGAGATGGGAACTTTAAGGAGAAGAAAAGGTGCCAGAGCAGCGGCAGACTTTCAGGCCTGGGCAGGGCCGTAAGAGGCTGGGTTTGTGAGGAGAGATTCTCAGCTGAAACCACCAAAACTGAAAAGCAAGAGGAAAAAAAGACACAAAACCCACCAGGATGAAACCCAAGAACCATAGACCACGCCGGTGGGCGCCTCGGGAGAGCCAGGAGACAGGCACAGCTGCCCCTGGAGTGCAGACCTTGGGGGAGGCAGGAGGCCAGAGGACAGCAGCTGCCCTGGGGCCAAGGAGGGCAGCGCCAGGATGGCCACTCCTCACACTGGGACGCCCGGGATGGCGGAGGCACCCACGCTCCCTGGACACAGGGCAGCGACGGGAGGCCGGGCAAGGCGGCGGCCAGGGTGCCTCGGGCCTCCATCCCCGTCCTGGAGCCCCATGCTCCAGAGTGCAGCCTCCTGGGAAATAAGGTGTCAGCAGAGTGCCCAGCTCAGGGAGGCCCCCGGGCGGGCACCCATCTGAAAGGGGAGACCCAGTCTGCAGCCGCAGACACAAGCAGGGGAGGGCGGTGCCTGTGGGCGACGCTGGAGGAGACGGCCCGAAGGGCGGGAGGGGCCCGGCATCAGCAGGCAGGAGGAAGCCAGTCCCAAGCCACCACCGTGGCACTCGGGGGCACGGACCCCGGAAACTACGGTGTCATCGTGCAAAAGATAAGTGTGTTGCACAAACACCTTGAATTAAAACACGAGCGCCACAAGCACTGGCAGCACCAGGAGGACATGCCAGGCCCCAGAACAGCCTGAGGAAGCCAGCGGGAGAGGGTGTGGGCAGCAGGAGGCCCAGGACTGCAGACCGGGGGCCCCCACCAGAGCCCAGCAAGGGGTGTGGAAGCCGCCTCGCTCCTACCTGCTGACCCTGAGAAACGCTGGGGAGCTCTGTGGGGAGTCCAAGGAGTCCTCGGATGCAAAGTGCAGCCGGGAGGCTGTCCGCTCGCTCTCTCTCACAGGGCGGTCATCTGGGGAGGAAAGGCCGTGGGGACCAGTGTGCCTGTGGACATGGTGCCCAGCCCCAGGTGCCCTGCAGTAGCAGGGCGGGAGGCATCTTCCGGAGTGTAAATGGCGCCCCTCATTGGCCCGGCACGGCCCGGGACCAGCCCCAGCCTCTTGGGCCTCCCCCTTGGGCTGACCTCACCCAGCACCCCCGCACCAGGCAGGCGGCCAGAGCGCCCTCTGCAGGCCACACGAGACTCGCACGCGCTGCCCTTCTCGCTCCTCCTGCACACCCGACAGGGTCCCACAGGCTCAGGACAGCTGTTCGCTTCCTCCCTGACGGCGGGTGGGTGCAGCAGCTTTGGACACAAGCAGGTGATGCCCATGTGCCCTGGGGGGCTGCCAGGGCTCCAGGGCCAGCACTCTGGCCTGCCCGGCTCAGTTTCCGGCGCCAGTCACAAATGGGCAGGCGCGGCGCTGCCAGAGGTGGGGGACAGACAGGATGAGGAAGGCACACAGAAGCGCCACAGCTGAGATGGCCAGAGGGGGGCGCCCCAGGACCCCTGAGTACCCCTCAAACACACGTTGTCCTGCCTCCTCCATCTCTTTGGGGACCCCCGGGGCACACCGCCTAGGGTGCCCGGCCACCGGCCTCCCCAGGCCAGCACCAGCCAGAGCGCCCCTCTGCTGACTGCGGCTCTGCACTCCCTGGGCCTTGCACCGCTGCCTGCCGCCCGAGCCGCGCCCTGGGAACGGCCCTTCCACGGCGAGGTTAGAACCAAATGCCGACTCACGTTCTCCCCAAAGCTCCTGACCCTGGAAAACCCTGTGCGCGTGCCCACGCACCTCTCTGCTCCTGCCCCACTGCCCCAGCGCCTTTAGATGTCCACTGGGGACCAGCAGGTCTGACCTCCTGGGGCTCCTGTGGCCAGCAGGGCCGGGGCTGCTGCTCCCGTGATGCCACAGGAGCCCGGGCCCAGACTTCCCCGGCAGGGAGCGGCAACCTGGACTGAGGCTGCAAAAATCCCCCACAGTGAGGACCATGACGCTTCTGAAAAGAGTCAAGACCAACTGTTTGTAAGTTACTTGATTAAACGACGACAAGAAATTCAGATGGACCCATTCCACCCGAACATCCAAACATTAAACACTGAAATTTAAAGCAGGTATGAAACAAAAGCGCACCTTCGGGGGTCACCACGCCCCACGCGCTCCCACCCGGGCCCGGAGTCACAGCCCACGTGCAGAGGGGCCGCGGGGCCACAGGCGCGGGGCGGAGACGCCGGAGAGAACCAGGAGACATCGCACAGCAGCCGCGGTCGGTCCGCAGCCTCAGCCCAGCCACGGGGAGGGTTGGGGAGTGCCGGGGCGCGTCTCTCCTGGCGAAGCTGCTGGGGGCGGGGTCTCGCTCCAGCTTCCCCTGGTCAGCCCCAGGAGATGGGTGCCCCGAGTGACCCCCGCCGAGCAGCCGACGGGCCCGGAGGTAGAGGGTGTGCTCTGCTCCTGGGGCGAAGGGCCACGCCCGGCCACCCCCGCCTGGCACCACCACGCCCACTCGCAGAAGGGTCAAGGGGTGCCCCACGTCCTCCCCTGCCCAAGGCCCCCAAAGTCACATGCCTGGCTCGGGCTCCGCTCTCCATGGCGGGGGCACCGGAAGGGCCGCCCGCGGGCGAGAACAGGGACTGTTCCTCAGGGCAGACTCCGCTGCCATGGTGCTGCCCCTGCTGCCCGTTTGCCTGTGCTACCTCCCAGCAGCTCCCCCAGCCCCGGGCCCTACCCAGCCGCCTGAGCTGTGGCAGCACATGCAGCACGAGCAGCCGGCTATCGGGCTCGCACTGCACCACGGGGTTCAGCCGGAGGTCCAGGTCCGAGAGCCGCGCCAGGGCGCGCAGCCGCAGCACCTCCGCCAGCGAGGAGATGCAGTTGTAGTACAGGTTGAGGCTCTGCAGGGCCGCCAGGTACTGGATGCCCTGCCGGCGGACAGAGAGCGGCGCTCACCTCGCGGCCCATCGCGGCGGCAGGCCCGGGCAGCCACCCCCTCACCGCACCAGGAGCTGCCGCTGCGACGGAGGAGCAGGGACGCTTCCGGACCAAACTCAGACACTGACCTCCAGGCTGACCAAGGCGTTGCGTGAGAGATCTAAGGATGTCAGGCCTGTCAGGTGCATCAAGGCGTTCCCCAGGTGCGTGATCTTTTCTTGGTAAGTTCCGGGAACAGATAACGTCCGAAGTTCAGCTAAAGATAGAAAAGTATGAGGTTTCACTCTTACTCTTCAGTGAACATAAGTCACTGCAATAAAACTACTGTAACAGCATCAGCGTGTTGCTTCAGCTCGCTAAATAAGTCGCCGTAATAAAGCATCGCGACGAGACGGTCTCCTCACCACCTGAGTCACAAAATCAACACGGATTCAGAAACAGGAGCTGGTTACTGGGCTGAGCTTACGTTTACCTCCACAATGCTCTGCTCCCCCCAGATGCTTCTCCCCTGAAGAAGTCACCAAAGTGGGGTGGCGGCGGCAGGCTTGGCACACTGCTGGCTCCGCCCGGTAGGGCAGAGGGCGCCGCCTGCACACAGCGCTGCAGGAGCACGCTTCTGTGACGCCGGCTGCCGGGGCAGACATGCCAGCACCTCCCAGCAGCAGGCATGTAGGGAGCATGCCCTGAATCAAAGCTGGGGTTCGGGTTTCCCTCCCATTCCAGACCAGACAGAGCAGACAGGTCACCGTCCCCCCACTTACGTGACGTAAAACCTGGACAAACACACACGGAGCACTGAGGGGACTGTCGGGGGTTCAGAAAGCCAAGCAGGGAGGCCCTGAGTCGTCTGGGGCTTCTGTTTGCGCTTGTGTCTCCCAATGTAAGAGCCAAAGGGGGTGGCGACACGGAAACACCAAGGGGCGCTGACCAAAATAAGGGTCAAAGGGCAGTCCCTGACTCTGCCGGCCCCATTCACCCAACACCACGAGGAAGACGTGCCCGCGCGCTGGCCCTGCAGAGCAGCCATGGGACCTCGCCACCGTCCGCCTGGTGTCCTGGGGGCGGCCCCACCCGGTCCCAGGCACCTGTGAGGCAGGGGAGGGACAGGAGCCTGGCGACCTACAGCGCCCAGTGGACACCACGGGTGCGATTTACGCAGGAAGCAACTTGTCACAAAGCTGAGAAAACCCACACAGAACAGGCCAGGACACCCGGCAGACACAGCCCTGCAGACGCAGAGATGCAGGGCTGGCTGCGGGGAGAAAGCCCCAGAGGGAGACGCCTCGGGGGCCCTGCAGAAACCACGGCGGCCGCAGTTCTTCCAGCGATGAAACAGCAGCAGTCCGCCAGAACGCCCGTCCCCCTGAACCGGCCTTGGGATCGGAGGCGAGAGGAGACACACTCCCGCGAAGGGACACAGGGACCAACTGCCTGCCCTCAGACGCCAAGGAAGAGCGGGGGGCCCGGGCAGGAGCAGGGGGCCCAGGCCAGGCAGGCGCGGGCGCTGCGGCGTCACAGGGCGAGGCTGCACGCTGCCCTGCTTGAGTGTCCACAGCGGCGGCCAGCGACCCAGGCACCCTGGGCCTGTCGGGCAGCCACGCGCAAGCCCAGACGCGCCTGTAAACTGCAAGGTGGCAGGAAAGGGACAAAAGAGACAAAACCAAGAGGAAACGGAAAACAAACAAGGGCAGTCGAGCCCCACCACACGGCCTGTATCGCCCCACGAATGGCCATGCTGGGGTGAGTGGACCAGATGCTGGAGTAGGGCAGAGCGGGGAGAACCCTGCAGCTCCACGCATGCGTAAGGAACGCGCCTCAAGCACCACCACCCGGATGGTCAAAGCTCAAGGCTAACAGGTGGGCAAGATCTGTCCAACACCCGGCAGCCCAGGAAGTGGGGTGGGCGCCCTGATGTCAGGCGAAGCAGGTACCCATGGAAAAATGGACAGGAGGAGCACGAGCTACAAGACCACTGACAAGATGGCACGACAGTCTCAACACGCACCCACCAGCACAGCATCCACTGCCAAATGGTCCAATCAGACTCGTGGGTGGGGGGTCCCCGAGAGGACGTAAGCCAGGGTTGGAGGGAGCTGGACAGACGACACCAGCCCCTGAAGAGGAGAGAAGGTTCCATCCTCCGAGGAAAGAGGAAGAGCAGCTCTGGCAGCCGGCCTCAGAGGGGGTCGGCCCGTCCTGCCTCTGACGTGGCCGAGGGAGCCCAGAGCCCCGGCCTGGCGCCCCAGAGCTGCCGTTGCTGGCGTCGCCCGGCCTCTCACAGTGGAGACACCCGGCGTCTCGGACCCGCCTCTGCGGGACCCGCAGCGACCATCACGTATGCGCTGGGGGAGGCGGCCGCCACGCGTGGCCTCTGTGAGCTCTTTGTCCCCCCGTTTGTAAGATGCGCCCTGTGTTGTCCTGGAGCCCGGGTCACGCGGCTGCGCGGGTGAGACCCACAGACGGCGTCTGTCCTCCGTGGGGCCCCCCCTTGTGGCTCTCGCCACGGCCCCTACTGTGTGGGTGTGTATTGCTGTGCCCTTGGTTTTGATTTTTGGCCTTTTGGGGCTCTGGGGGCCTGGTCTCGGAGCCCAGGCAGGTGAGCGGTCGTTCTGGCCTCCCCTCTGGCCTCCTGCCCTCTAGCCTGTTGTACCCGCTTCACTGGCAGTGCCGGGCCGGAGAGGGCAACAGCACGGACCCCAGGGCTCTAGGCCGGCGAGGGGACGTAGCCGCGCTGCGCTGCATGAATCTAACCACCTGCGCACAACGAAACAGTCTCCTCAAGGCAGACACCCCTGGGCCGGCCGGGATGAAAGTGGCTGACCCGGCAGTGGACACACTGGGACCGGCGCTTCCAGGCCTCAAGCCCCATCGGGGCGTCCACCCGAGACCCGCGGCGCTCCCGGGCCGGCCTCCCCACCCGCTCCCGGGCCGCAGCGCCCTGGAGCCACGACACAGGCCACGACAGCCCCGGGGGGCCGCACAGAGGTGCGACTGGGGTGCAGCGGCGCAGTGGGGCAGGGTGGGCTGGGGCTGCCGCAGGTCACCCCACAGGAAGGGGCACCCACCCGCCTGCCCCGCAGGCCCCGCCCCCGGCCCCGCCCCCCGCCGCAGGACACGCCCCGCCTCCCGCCCCCGCACACGCCCCGCCTCCCGCCCCCGCCCCCGCCGCAGGACACGCCCCGCCTCCCGCCCCCGCCGCAGGACACGCCCCGCCTCCCGGCCCCGCCCCTGTGCCCGCCCCCCCGCCGCAGGACACGCCCCGCCCCCCGGCACGCCCCCGGCCCAGCCCCCGGGCCCAGCGCCCTCCTCCGGAACTGTGCGGCCCGGGGCCGACACCCGGCCTGCCCCGCCCGCCCTCCCGCGGGCGCGCACCCAGGTCACGGTGAGGCGGCAGGCCGCTCTTCTCCCGGATCCTCTCCTCACAGAGCACCAGCCGCGGGCCCGCCGGCGCCATGTTTTCAAACGGCCAGCTCGCGCGCGCGCCTGCGCAGTGAGGCCGGGCTGCAGGCGCCTGCGCCTGCGCGAGACCCGCCGGCGCCCGCGGGCGGGGCCCGGGGCGGGGCGAGACTCCGTGGGGCGGGGCCCAGAGCGCCCCGGCCCGGCCCCGCCCCCCTCAGACGCGGAGCCTCCCGCGGCGGCCGGCGCGCCCCCGGGACCCCGCCGTCCCCGGGCCCCGCCCCGCCCCTCCCGGGGGCCCCGACGCCCCGCACCCCGGGGCCCGGGCGCCGCCGGGCGCTCGCCCTCGCGGGGCTCCCCCGCCCCGTTCTCAGGTGCCCGCGAGCCCGCCCGCTGCCCGCGCCCGTCTCTGCCGTTGCCGCGCCCCTTGCGGAGGGCGCGGGGCCCGGGTCTGCGCCCCCGCAGGCGCCCCACGAGCGCCCGCCCCGGCCGAGCGCCCGCCCCGGCCGAGCGCCCCCAACCGGGCGCCCCCCAGCCCCGCCCCGGCCGAGCGCCCCCACGTGGCCCCCCACGAGCGCCCCCACGTGGCCCGGCGCGCAGGGGACGAGCGCGGGGGCCGCTGCTGGCCGCAGTCCTGGGGGGCTGTGCGGGACGGCGCTCGGGGGGTGCAGTACGGCAAACAAAACGAGCCCGAACGGCCGTGCCATCCAGGACGCGGTGCGGGCGTCGTGCCGCGCCCCAGCCTCAGACGGCGCCCCCGGCTCGCGCCCGCCCTGCCCGCGCTGGACGCCCAGTGTCGCCTCCGCCCGCTGCCCTGGTGCCCCCGCGCCTGGAAACGGGGCGCTTCCCCCCCCCGAAGGCGCAGATCAGGGCGACCGAGCCCGCGCGCAGGAGTGCGGGGGTGCCCTGTCAGAGCGGGGTGGGGGTGCCCTGTGAGAAGGGCGCGGGGGTGCCCTGTCGAGGGTGCCCTGTGAGAGGGGTGCGCGGGGGTGCCCTGTGAGAAGGGCATGGGGTGCCCTGTGAGAGGGGTGCGCGGGGGTGCCCTGTGAGAAGGTGCGGGGGTGCCCTGTGAGAGGGGTGCGCGGGGGTGCCCTGTGAGAAGGTGCGGGGGTGCCCTGTGAGAGGGGTGCGCGGGGGTGCCCTGTGAGAAGGTGCGGGGGTGCCCTGTGAGAGGGGTGCGCGGAGGGGTGTGCGGGGGTGCCCTGTGAGAAGGTGCGGGGGTGCCCTGTGAGAGGGGTGCGCGGGGGTGTCCTGTGAGAAGGGCATGGGGGTGCCCTGTGAGAAGGTGCGGGGGTGCCCTGTGAGAGGGGTGCGCGGGGGTGTCCTGTGAGAAGGGCATGGGGTGCCCTGTGAGAGGGGTGCGCGGGGGTGCCCTGTGAGAGGGGTGCGCGGGGGTGCCCTGTGAGAAGGTGCGGGGGTGCCCTGTGAGAGGGGTGCGCGGGGGTGTCCTGTGAGAAGGGCATGGGGTGCCCTGTGAGAAGGTGCGGGGGTGCCCTGTGAGAGGGGTGCGCGGGGGTGTCCTGTGAGAAGGGCATGGGGTGCCCTGTGAGAGGGGCGCGCGGGGGTGTCCTGTGAGAGGGGTGCGCGGGGGTTTGCCCCGAGAGCTGATGCCTCCCCGTGCTGTGGATGGATGCCAGGAGTGGGGTGGCTGGGTCACTCCCTATTTCTATTTAAAGTTTTTTAAGGTAAATTCAAATTGATTTCCAAAATGGCTGCCCGTTCCTGGCCCGCCGGCCGGCCGCGCCATGCCATGGGGTCCCCCTTCCCGCCCCGGGGCTTGTCCTCGGGGCCTGTTTGTAAGTGCCCCTCTCGTGGGTGAGACCGTCTGGCTGCGGCTCCACCTGCTGTCCCCTCGAAGAGCGGGCAGAGAACGTTCTCCACCTGCCGGCCTTTGGGTCTCCTTGTTGGTGCATCGACTTCAAATCTGCTGCCCCTGAATTAATTGGTTTTTGTTTAATTGTTAAATTGCATAAATTTTTTATATATCTTGGCTATTAATCCATATTAACACTTTGTCACTTGTGCGATGTGAAATTGTTCTCTCTCATGCAGTAGGATATTTTTAATCTTCTTGTATTTTCTTTCACTGTATAAAAGTCTGTAATTTGAAATAATGCCAATTGTTTATTTCTGCTCTTATTTCCCTTACCACAGGGGTCAGGTCTTCCAAACCATCCCCGCTGCCGGTGGCGTGGGTCTGGGAACACGCACGCTCTCCCGTGCTCGTCATGCAGGTCCACGGCGCCATCTTTGACTCGCCCAGGGCCTGTTGTGTGTGGAGTTTGAGTGGCCCAGCGTCATCCTTTTCCATGTGTCCCCCAGTTTTCCCAGGACAGTTTGTTAAGAGGACCCTCCTTTTCCCACTGGACAGTTGTGGCCTCTTTGTCATGAAGAAAGTGTCTGTTTTTGTGCTGATGCCTACTGTTTTAATTACTGTTGCTTTGCAGTGTAGTTTCAAGTCAAATAATGTGATGCCTCTGTTTCTCTTTTTCTTGGGATTGCTTTCACTAATCAAGGTCTTTCATGGGTCCACATAAATTTAAATATCCTTTTATTCCATTTATTATAGCAGGATAGCATTGCAGGTATTTTAATGGGGATGGCATTAAATTTATATATGACAGGACGTGTTGGTGGATTTGTCATTGTGACTGGAGCGCGCCCTCACCTACGAGCAGCAGATCTCCTTTGTCACGATCCACGTGCTTGAATAACGCGTCGTGGTCTCCGAGTGTGAGCCCTTCCTCTCCGTGGCTGCGTTAACCCCGAGGCACAGATTCTTTCATTTTCGTTTCTTCTCACCCATTGTTTGTTTACAAAGATGCATTGGATTTTGCGTGCTGGCCTCGAGTGGACACTTGGCCGTGTCGGTCACTGTTTCTGAAAGCTTTCTCCCAGGGCCTTCGGGGCTGTCTGCGCGTAGGCGCTCACCTGGCAGAACGACGGTTTCATTTCTGCCTTCCCGCCTGGAATCCCTTCGTGTCCCGCTCTTTCTCTGTCTCGTCCGATTGCTCTAACTAAACCATCTAACACTGCATTAGAAGGGGTCACAGTGCCCCTTGCCGCGTTCCCCATCTTAAAGGGGCAGCTGGATGAGCCCAGACGGGGCGAGCGGGGCCCTGAGTGGGGCTCACGGGCGCCCCTGTCCCCCCCGCCCCCACCCCGGCCGCTGTGTGCAGCTCGGGCCCCACGAGCCCTGGCCGTGGCCCGGGGACCTTCTGTGGCCACGGGTCTCCATGCCGTGGGGCTGGGGCTCCCTGGCCCAGTGAGCAAGGCCAGGCACCAGCCGCGCGCTGAGCCTCACCCAAAGCCTCAGCTGCTGGGCAGGAGGATGCTGGGCCCTGCCCGCCCTGTGGGTGCGACTTCAGCGGGGGGCCTCGGCCCTCCTCCCGGAGGTGGCTGCTCAGCGGGGCCTCACCCAGCGGCCCGGTCCTTGGTCCTTGGGGGCTCTAGGTGCTGCCCCACCTGGTGCTCTGGGCCCTGGGCCTCAGTCCCTGGGGCAGGACCAGGTTGTCCCCACGGAAGGGCTGGAGGTGCGTCCCTTTGAGGGGCGGCCCTGCCCGCCATGCCCCAGGAGGGACGTATTTTTTGTGTTTATTTAACCGCGGATGACCGTTTTCAGAGCTCAGTTCCTCCAAATGATTTTTCAAAGGCCCTTTCAGTCTCAAGGAGCAGGAAGCAATAGCCTTTTAAAAACCAATTAGCCACACATTTTTGCTCATTAAATAAATACTTTTACTTTGGACCCAAACGATTTTTCAGATAGAGGAACAAAGGGCGCTGACTCACGCCCAGCTCGGCACTTTCCCCTGACCCTTGTGGCCCGGGCGGGTGGCCGTCCCTGCAGCCCGGCTGCTTCGCTCCCTGGGACCCCGTGCCAAGTGCTCCTGCTCCACAGGCTGCGGCCGCCTCTGCTGCACCCCTCCCTGCCATGCAGGGCTGCGGCCCGCGGAGTCAGGTGGCCGGCTGAGCGTGGGGGGACGCCAAGGCCCCCGGCAACAGAGCCTCGCCCCCACCCCCAGGTGCTGATGGAGACCACTGCTGGGTCACGGCAGGCGTAGCGGGGCGCCCCTGTCCCCATGGCCTGCAGGTGCCAGTCCGTGGACATGAACGGGGAGCCTGAGGGGCACAAGTGGGCAGGACGGAGCTGCTCAGACGGGCGGGGCCTAGCAGGCTGGGCCAGCATCCTGCGAGGAAGGGTGGGTGGGGAGGCCTGTGGGCCCAGGCCACGGGGCAGCGCTGGCCTCTGCAGCCAGACGCCTTTGTGAGTGTCACACCAGCGTTTCCAAGGCCAGAGGGCTGCCTGGACCCCCTCAGCTGGGCTGCTGTGGCGCTGACGACTGAGGTGCAAGTGGCGGCGCAGCAGACAGGCTCCCCGAATTGCGCGGCTCATGCTCAGCCAGTGTTTTAAACTTAGTGCATCAGAAAGACCCCTAGAGAAAGGTGGGTGCCGCGACCTGCTATTGCAAAAGGCGTAAAGAGAAGCAGCAGAATAGTAGGAGCTGCCAAGACGAGGTGGTTTAACACAGAACAACGCAGCCGAGGTGACCACAGGGGAGGCAGCGGTGGATGCAGGAGCGGGTGGTCCAGAGACAGCACGGGGCAGGGCAGGCACGTGGAGACCGTTGGGCCTCGCCACAGAGGCCCGGGTGGGGGCAACTTTGGGACCAAGCCTGGGCAGAGGAGCCCAGGAGGCAGCAGGAGACCCAGGCGGCCGGACCTCCGGGGAGCCGGGCAGTTCAAGATCTTTCTTGGGAGAAAGGTCACCTTGAAAACACCTTTGCGTGGAGAAGTCGGGCGGCAGGGGCACTTATTAACAGACATCGAGCTGTTTGCTCAGAAGGGGAATGACTTGTCCTGAGACAAAGGACCCAGCAGCTTATCAAGGGGAGGGAGCCCAGTCACGTCCAGCTAATCTAGGGCGGAGAATGAGGCCAGGGCCTGAGGCCAGGGCCAGGGCGGGGTGGGGCTGGGGGGTGGCTGGGGAGGCCGGAGCGCAGGGCGGTGGGGACAGACCAAGGGGTTGCATGACTGTGGGGCTCTGCTGTGTCTGGCCGTTTTCGGCACTGCTCTGGCCTCGCGG